GTGATTGCGGTAATTGTGCATCTTTTGAAATTTAAACTTACTCATAGATTGCAGTCGGAGAATCGGAGGCGAAAAAATGGATGAGATGGGAGGAGCGTTGACAAAAAAGGGATGTCTCTCCTACCTAGAATTTCTGATTTTACTATTGATAAAACTTACGCATCTGGTATTTTAAGTTTGATTCTTATCAACAAGTACAATAGATTCTATTTTATATTCTTTTCTTAAATCTTGAAACAAACCCATCCGAACTTGATGATTTGTTGATCGCCTGGGACAGGAATTGTCATGAACAACTTGCTGAAATCGGTCGAAACAACCTGAAATACTGTTTTTCAAAAGAATAAATTTTCTTCTTTTCATTCCTTTCATTCAATTTGCGAAAATTTACTTGTATCAATCTTTTTGAATGATAGAGACCGATCCAAGAAATCGACCAATTGGGAACAATCTTCACATATTGTCCATCTCGTTCCGCCCAAGGAGTTGACTATAAATCAAACTTGAACTGAAGAAGTTTAAGATTCAGTTCTTTTCCCCATTTTCTAAATAAAGCTTATCAAACCAACCATCGGTCTCATATGTTCTCCCTGTTGTCCACTCATAAATTTCACTCCATGTACAATAATTACAGTACTCAACGTCGATCCATGAAATGCACACCATCCTGATGGTTTTTCACCAGATGCTAAATTGAATTTTGTTTGAATTTTCGACTTTGGTGCAACTCACGAGATTGCATAAGCCATGGAATTGCTTCTTTTACTGAATTTACAACCCAGATCCGATATTGTCTGTCGAGCACGGCCATTCCTTGAAGTATACTTGTGTCTTTACTATTAGTGTTCTTATGTGTAATACCTGTATCACTTGAGCCATAATTAAAAATACAGTAATCGATAATCTCGGACTTATCCTAAATTTTTTACAGTTGTGTCAGAGCATTGCCGAGCTTACCGCAGAAAAGTAGAACGATTCATCAGATTGTCCATTTGCTCGATATCGATTCACACAACCGTGTCTATCAATTACCAATAATCGTTGAGCTCTCGACCAACCCAAACCGAATACATCACCTGAATTGCACTGCTTGACGAGCCAGGTTAAATCATTTGTGGTTTGTACCTTTTCTGATAGGTTTTTTAATAAGAGGCCTTCCCGATGAAGTTGTAATCATTACATCCCAACTAGCTTGATCTCGTGATTCGGCTATCGCTAAATTATATATTCATTACAATAGGGAAGAACAGATCCCAATCACATAGATTTGCAATTAATTAATATAATGATATCACCTTGTTTTTATGTTCTTCAACTTATCCAACTTATCTTCTTGCCAAAAGTCCCATACCTATAGGTCCTCCATAAGAACATCCAGCAAAATGAGTGGCTTTGTTGAGATTGATCTTTTCAGATAGCTCGTACAATGTGGACTCTCTGTAAATTCGACAATGGTACTGTTCAACTCCTTGCATCCCTTTACAATCAAATATTCTCACTCACTTACTTTAATTTCACGTGTCCTAGTGGTATCCAATCGCCAATAACACTAGCTTTATCGAACATCTAGCGTCTAAAAATCTTTATTTACAACTACTATCATCTAGCACTTGGCCAAATAAAAAAAGAACGGAATTGTTTAAACGATAAATCACAAAACTCTAAATCAAATGGAAAGACGTATCTTTCATTTTCTTATCGATATAGATATTCGGACTGGAGATTAGCAGCCAATTCGGGTTCCCATCGATCTCCGTTCAACAGCAACTTTTCCTTATTGTACAAAAGCTCCTCGTGAGTCTCGGTGGAATACTCAAAGTTCGGTCCCTCGACAATTGCATCAACCGGGCAAGCTTCTTGACATAATCCACAGTAGATACATTTAGTCATATCAATATCGTAGCGAGTAGTTCTTCTACTTCCATCGGGTCTTGTTTCAGCTTCAATCGTGATAGCCTGTGCCGGGCAAACAGCTTCGCACAACTTGCACGCAATACATCGCTCTTCTCCCGATGGATATCGCCTCAAAGCATGCTCTCCCCGAAAACGTGCACTCAAAGGTCCCTTTTCAAACGGATAGTTGATTGTAGCTGGTTCCATAAATACGTGTCCCAACATGACGCCAAATCCTCGAAAAAGCTCCGAGAAAAGAACAGAGTTCAGACCAGCATTGATGTCCCCGGCGAGCGTTCCATCAGTTGTAGCTGGCGCTCCAACATATTTGTAGTTAGTCCTCTTCTGCTGTTGCTGCACACCTCCAGTTGTAATGGCCTGTGGGGAACCCTTGTTGAGTCGAAGCAGCGCCTCACGCACAAAACCTCCGGCTCGCATCGACATCTAAAAATAAGTATTGATCTGCGTAAAGAAGTCAAGAAAAAAAGCAAATGGCAATTGTTAATTGAATAGAATTTGATGGTTATCCTTGGTTAATTTTTGAGACAAACGTTATTAACACCAGAAAAGCGCCTGTTGAAAGCCTACATATTGCGGAAAAGAACGATTTTGAGGCGGGATTTCAAATTAATCTTTTCAAAAAACAAGAGCTGGAAACCGTTAACAACAATACTAAGAGTAAGTAAGAGCGTTTTGTGTCAGCCAACACACTTTTTCAGAACGTAGAAATATGTAAAAATTTATCGCAAGCTTTAAATAAAATAAACCGACAATCGTATTTAAATAGGCAAAGAAGATACGAAAAATAATTCCAAGATCAAGCATACTGAAATATAGCTCTAACTATGAAATCATTATTTTCGTAAAATGATCGCAACAAAACAAAGACAAATGGTTATCAATTTGATGAGACAAAAACCTTTCCCGTCCGCTACACGTAAATCGTAAGTGGAGTCAAAGTGAAATCAGAGATCAGAGAGCACAAAAAGCGACAATATCGACGGACTGAATGAGATCTTCATGAGTTGATTGTATGTGTTCGATCAGCTCTTCGACGGGAACCGAATCATCCACAATCGACACGATCCTCAACTTGTGTATCCCGAAAGCAATAGGTATTCGTTTGCTTGGCCCCCACACAAGTCCGGTTCCTCCATTCACCCTTCTCACCGTTTCTTCCATGGTCGAAAGATTCGTATCTCCATCAGCCGGCTTTACATCGAACATCACAACTGATTTTGACGGAGTTCCTTTGTTCGCATTTTCTTCTTTTAATCGATCGACAAGCGCAGTTGTTCCCTCTTCTTCGTTCGTACATCCAAGGCTAAGGCTTGAGAATCCTGAAGGGCCCAATAATAGTTTTTCCACATCATCGATATCGCCAAGATCCATCTTTCTAAAAAAAGAATATTTTATCAAAACCGCCACGGCATAGGTAAAAGATAGAACTGAAAATATTGATCAAGAAATTAATTTTCATTCTTGCCGTTTCAGCCACCACGAAGCAATTGTTATTGCCGTTAGCAATTCCGTAATTGTCTTTCGCAAATCCAATGTAACAAATGGTCATAACCGGTTTTTTTAATACATCAAACACATCAAAAAAACTTTATTCCCACAACGTACTTTAATAATTAATTATGTCTACTACACATTATAAAAAGCCCCTAACGAAAATTCAGTACATATTTAAAGGGCTCTCTTTTCGGAGAACAGCACATACCTATTTAGTTGACAAGCAAGATAAGAATTAACAAAGAAATACCAGTGCAAATAAAAGTTATCTCAAAATGAATAGAGTAACCGATATGACAATCACAAGATAGTTTAAATCACAGAAAAGAAGTCGCTTTAGCGATAGTTCTGCTGAAAAGCTTGGGCTGCTTGGGAAAGCAATGACTTCAATGGTGGAAGAAAAGCCGAGACCTGTAAAAAAAATGAACAACTCATAAACTTTTCATAAATCATTCAAACCTCAACAAAATCTTGTCCTGTCGTGACCATCTGATGAGTAATTTGTTGAGCAGCATGAAAATCTCCTCGAAGAGCTGACTCGCCACAATGGTGTAACAAGTTCTTTGTCGTATCTCCCAACTAAAGATTATTTTTGACGGCCTAGGTAACTAATGTACGGTAGTTTACCTTTCTGTAAGCCAATCGTTCCGTTAAATCTTTATTCAGCCGTTTCTTCAACTCTTCCACCCGGCTTACCACTGCCTAAAATGAAAAAAATTATGTAGCAAATCAAAAGTTACCGATGAACGATTCATTGCCAAGACGCCGTCAGCTATTTGCACGATCCGATCAACGAGGCCTTGGTCCTCAGGTGTCAACGTTAACTAAAACTAGGTCAAAATGTCAAAACACATATGCATGCCTACCTTCAGCTCCTGGTAAGGAGATTGCTGTGAAGGCTGTCCATACGATGCAACTGCCGCCATAGCAGGACTATATCCAGGCGAAATCCCCTGTCCATAGGGCATTTGATTTACGGTCGAAATTGGAGGTAATTTTCCCATCATAGGCCCAGGGGCTGTTCCTTCAGCTGGCTTCCATTGAACCTGATTTATCATTTGAGAAAATACTATTCATTAATCACTATCCAGTAAGAGATGCAAAAAGACAAACCTGCATTACGGAAGGTGGTCGAGGTTGATTGGACTTCGATGGTAATGGCGGAGGATCGTTCCAACCATGGGCCTCCGATAAACGAGGAGGACCTGCTTCAGTTGGTTGAAGGGAGGGTTGACCTGACTGTGAGTAGCTCCGTTGTGCCATCAGTTGATTGTGTGGCAAAGCAAATTGAGGTTGCGACATCATTAGATTAGGATTTCCATACTAAAGCGGCATTTTAAAAAGAAGGCGTCCTTTGCCCACCGGTTGATTCGTAACTGGTGGGGTGGGCATCGTAGCATAGTTTGACGAAGCGCCGTAGATTGAACCTGCAAGTACTTTGATTAAAGAATTAACTGACAAACATCACTTCCATAATTTGGTTGCTGGGTCATTGATGGTGGCGCTGTCGGAAGAGGGGGGAGTAAATTTGAAGTAGGTGCGTAGCTGTAAAAATATTTTGACACAAACTTGAACTATGCACTTACACATTAGCTTGTTGCTGAGGGTAAGGCACCGATTGTCTTCTTCCAATAGCCGTCAAATTGTTGTCATTTCCATAGTGCTGAGCTCCATAAACCTAAATCACAGCTCGTTAAAAGAAATTTCTAAATCGCCAACTTGTTGCTGTACTCCACCAAGCGTCTTCTTGAGTGCATCACGAAGATAGATCAAACCCTAAAATCAAAGATCAATTAGGAAAAATTTCTAACGAGACATACCGGCAGAGTGAGATCGGCTTCTGACAATAATTTCATGGCTGCTTCCAAACAACCAACATCGATCAATCTTCCACATTGCGTGCCAACGAACGTCTCCCATTTCGGATCACTACATCGAACATGAAGTGCCCTTGTCAACACTCGAACTGCCGTTATTCGTTCCTCTAAATTTGCTGAGTTTTTTCAAATATAATCACTAACCAAGATTTTTAGACTCAAGCGATCCAAGCAAACCATCAGGATCGCCGGATATCACCGCACAAAGAGCTGATTGCACAAAAGATGTAGATTTTTCTGGAAAGAACTTAAACAAACTGACTAATAACGGACATACCATGTCTCCATCGATCAGCTAACACCTTCAGAGCTTTAACCATTTTTGAACGATCAGATTCTCTTGATAGCACTGAGCCCACAACATAGCGCCAGGACTAAAAACAGTTTACACACCACCATAATAAAGAAACGTGTAAAAATACTCACCTCAGGTGCTGATTGTGCATGATTAACAAGCGGTTCATATTTATGTGTAGCCAACAAAGCAAGTAAGCGTGAGGAGGCCGATAAATTTTCTAAACCGTAAATGCTTAAACTTAATAGCTCTGGGCTATTAGCTCATGATAGCCTACCTTGAAAATAATGGTTGACCACCTTGCGTAGCAGCATCGGTTCATCACGATAAAGCAAAAGTGCGGTCGTAAAATCTTTCTTCTCCAACAAGTGATTCAAAACCTAACCACAATTAACCACACAAATAATAAAAGGATAAACCTTCTCGTCATCACCAGATATTAGATGTCCGACTGTGGACCACGTTGAGTGATCTAAGATAAAACAAATTGGAAACTTAAAAATTATTAAATGACCGATAGCTGATAAGTCTAATGGAAGTTGATCGCCTGCTAATTCAGCTAATTCAGCCTCGCTATCCCCACTGTGAGCACTCAGTACGCTCCGACCACGTATGTCCTAAAAACTTTTAGTTGTCTCGAAGAACGTCAAACTGACCATATTTTCCATGCTAGTTGTTGTCTTTGCCACAGAGTTTAATGGAATTTCGTCCATAGGACCTAAATAGGCTCTTTTACACAAGTTATAGGTCAAACATACCAAATCCAAGCAAGCGCAAATACTCCTTTCTTGATTGGCCGCTTGATGCGGCAGTCAAGAATAACCATAAAGTTTGCATATCTCTAAAAACCCGTGAGTATTAAATTTAGTTTTTTACATATTTTTACATCTAGACCAACCGTTCAGATTCCGCATGTGCCTTATCTTCACAAAATCCGGCCAATTGTTGAAAGTCGATTGCTCGTTGGAATTCCTGTTCCTTTTGAAGAATTTGTGGATCTGGTTCAATTTTCTTGATTTCGACTTCATACTTCCATTGGTTCGATGTTGCGTCCCATTTACGTAGATAACTTGCTGATCGACATCTGAAAGTCACAATATGTCGTAATCCGAATTTTTGGTTACCCCAGTCCATATTTTGAGCCAACGGGTGATCGGCTGACCCAAGTCGGAATCGATGAAAGATCCACGCCCAAGTGTTGCAAATTCTATAAGAAAACTTCATTTAACGCAAATAAGTAATTAAACCTGCTCATCTTGCTCTGCAAGTGCTTGAAATCCTTGTAAATGAGAAATTTGAATCGGGTGTTGAAAATACTGGACGGCCACAAGATCAGGTTCTGATGGACACCACGCCATCGACCTAATGAGACCCATTGTTTCAAAACATGAAAAAGAAATACCTTGCCCAATCAGATGCTTCTGCTCCAATACGCCCATGTGAATCCCCAGATTCCGGATCGGAGAGAAGAATTTGATGATCCCGGGAAGCCGTTAACAAAAAACGCGAATCTTCAAGGTTCCTAAAAACTTTGCCACGATTTATCAGGAAGCAAAAAGCTAACCAATCGATGCAGGTGATTCCTTTACCATGAACTTTGTGATCTTTTACTGGCGAAGTTGGATAACGAAGGTCCCATTTGCACAAAATTGGATTCGCATCTAAAGCTTTGCGTAAATCAGACGACTTCACCAAATGTAATCACCTGCTTGAGATGCGGTCCAAAGAGTCATTGCATCAGCTGGACTCCAGCTCAGCTGTGCCCAATCACAACCGCCACCAATCTAAAAAACACATTTCACCTGTAAAATGCCAGAAAATACCTCTGCCAAATCGACAACTGGCGCCCCATTTTTTCTCAAATCCCAGATTGAAGCTCGATGAGAGGAAAGACTTGCCACAATACTTTCCATTTGTCCATTCCAACTAATATATTTCACCTAAATCGTATACTTATTGACTAAAATTTTAAGCATCCACCTGATCAGGACACGATGGTTGTCCTGGGCTGAATGGCTGACTCAAATTATTTAGATCCCAGAGAAGCAATTGACCCGTTCCACCGCCACTCATCGCCCATCTATAATGGTAGCTTAGAAAAGCAAATAGATGATACAAACTTGTTGTCTTTCGATATATCTGTAGCAAGGACATGTCCCTGATGATCCTTTCGAGAAGCAATCGTCTCAAGTCGTGAATCTAAATAACCCAAATTCAACAATTTCTGTTTCGCTTCCACACTACATCGCACAATAAAACTTACGTTGTATCAAAGCAGTCGGGTCGATGAAATGGAGAGCTCCACCTTCACCGCCAATTACGAGAATACCATAAGGTCGAGCCTCCGATGCGGCACCACACCATGAAAGAGAGTTTGCTCTAAATGTAATTTTTAATTTAATACGCACCATCAAACATCTACCTAAATGGTACATCGACAGATCTTTTTGGTTGAATTGTGGTAGATGGTCCGTTGAATAAATCCACTGAGAACCAGTCGAGTCGTTGTTTTTCTAAATTTAAATTTGAATGGTAACACAAAATCTGAAGCTATTCAACAATGGTCACGTAGACTATTGCCTAATTTCTTACGAAACCATTAAATACCTGGAGCAGCAAGTGGATCAAAATGCTGAGCAAAATCAGCGACGATTAAGCCGGGCGTTGATTGGAGCGTTGAAGGCGTCCAAGTGAAGACTCCAGCCCTTGAAAGCCTTTTGGCAAATGGCATTCTTTCGATGATTTGTTCGTTCTGCTTTCGTTTATTGCTTTGGTCTAAAACAGTAGAATATTGCATGAAACCTCATAAACACCACAACGAAACAACAAATCAAAAAAGCAAAAGAATTTGCTAAAGAAACGTGAACAGAAAGAGGTTTACGGGGGATCCACTCAAAAGTTTCTACCTATGTACTTAGTTTATAACCAAAAATGGTATCAAAAGGTGAGTGATTTGGTAGTGAAAACGTGTCGAGAGGTGAGAAGGCAAAAGAACTACTACACATTTCAAAAGACAGGTCATTTACCCATCGTCAACGGCTTTTCGCTAAAAAAGCAGAAAGTGTGAAAAAACAAATGACCAAACGATGTTTTGATTCAAAAATTAAATAGGTACTCTTCTTTTACAAAAAAAAGAATCTCAGTGCATTGATTGAATATTAACTTTATTCAAAAGATTTATAGAGTAGGTAAGAAAATGTTTCTGCTTCTCACAAATATCGGCATTTGTTTGTTCTCACAAATTGAAGATTTCAAGCTGAAACTTGTCTTTGTCAACATGAATGTGATGGATTGAACAAACATTTGAAACGATCGATGGTTGGATGTTCATCACTCGACACAGAAAATAATACGCTCCTTCAATTGATTCGCGAATTGCTTTTGAGCCCGCAAAACCATGAACTTCACCTGAAAATTGGGATTTTCCTGACATTAAGTCGATTTTAATTTTCCTACCAACGATTTCCCCGAAACTAACCCGGAAACAATTTGATCGCTGTTGGGATTCCTTTCTGTTTCAAAATCTCATGAATTCTTATTGAATGCTCCTTTGGCACGACTCGATCGTCAATTCCATGAAAGAAGGCAATCGGAGTATGGAGACTAAATGTGTCTCTTGTTTTGTCTTACCTCTCGTAGTTAAATATTTTTTATCAAACCAAATATTCACCGCTCTAAATGTTCAATTGGTGATCTCTCTTTGTAAATTTGAATCTCATCGGGATATTTTGCGACAAGTTGCTCTACATAATGAAGTTCGAACTTGTGAGTGTCCTGAATACTCTCATAATTAGATAGTACTGAATATCTCTCGAGACCGAGAAATACTCCTCACTTTTGTCAATGACTCCAAATCAGCAACACCATAATTTGAGACGGCCGCCACAAAGATTTCCGATTTCAAAATTGAAGATAGCAATAAATATCCACCAGCTGAACCCTTCAGTTTACAAATCACAGAAATCAATGTAACCCGATGCCCCCATAATTGCAACTCTTTTCGGATCCACCAATTTCTGATCGATCAATGCGTGTGCACCCGCAATAATATCATCTCGGTCAAAGATACCCCAATTACCATACAATCTGTTCGAAAAACTTCAATAATTACCCTCTATAGATGTCTCACTTTTTTCTGAAATCACTTCCAAATCCTGTCGATCCTCGATGATTGATGAAAAAGATGGCGAAGCCTCGAGAAGTAAAGAATTGCTGATTGAAATCCAACACGTTATAAGCTTGCTCTAGAACGGATTAATGTTCAGAGTACCTTCAATAATATGTTTTGTTTACCTGTAGGCCCCTCGTGCCCAAGAATAATAGCTGGTGGGAGGGATTCGGTAGGAGCTTCGTAATTGTCATTCTTAAATCTTTGTAATGATACTCTAATAATCTAGATCCAAGTAAACAAACTTTTGGTGGAAAAAACCATCCAGAAATAATCTCTCCTTCATTTTGATAAGAAACAATTCGAGGGATCGATATTGGATATGAATCAATCTCTTTTGCACTCCGCGACTCTCGGATCGCTTCTCCAATATACTTAGTGCTAAAATTTGAATAAATCAACCTTAACTTTTCCTCAAACTAACCCGTCAAATGAAATTTTAAGCAAAGTACTTGATCGTTTCGAACCCTGAGCCAAACAGAACATCAAATACTTGTCTGAAATGCATTTTTCTTTTGCATAAATAAAATTGACTTACTGATTACAAGAAGCTGAGAGAAAACATTGTAATCTGGCAAAACAATCTCCGAAATTTCCTCTTTAATTTTCACTTTTAGCTGGTTGCCCACAGTGAATAGGATTACCCTAAAATGAACTGTTTCATTTATAAAATGCAAATTTCTTAACCCCGATCTAACTGAATAGTGCTGTTCTCCCAGTTTCCACAATGGACCGCCAATCTCTTTATTGATCGAGTAAACAGTTTTGAGATCTGCTGGATAGATATATTGAGATTTCGTTGGATAATATCCTACACGATTCTCCATTTTTCCACCCATTCACTTCGTAAAGATTCCAATAATTTGTTTTATCTGATAACACATATAATTTTCCATCGTCAGACCACGATGGTTGCATGTAATTGATCTGAATGCAGTATTTCACTTTTGTTTGTTACTATTTGTTACTAGACTATTGTCCTCGTTATTAAAGTTTTTTAAAGGATATCCTTCAGAAAAGGTTACCGTACTCATTTTTAGATGTCTTTTTTAAAAGTTAAACAAATGAATGAACTTGTCTTTTGGTGCTTTCCACTTAATCACCAAGAAATACAGCGAGATTACGGTAACTTTAGGAAGGATCACAGTCTAATTTCCACAGTTTTTAGTTACATTTTTGCCGACTCCACTCAGAATCTCCCTCTTATTTTGCACAAATCCATCACTTGTGATTTCTGCCACAAAAATCGATGTCTCATCCCATGGCTGAAATGATTGAAATCACAAGATTTTCCCTTTGAATACCATATTATTGTGATTCCATTGCATCCACGTCAAAAATTTTCCATCTTTACTGATTCTTGGAGCTGCATAAAAGTCAGCTCCTTCAGCCTGAACTTACTCTTCTTTTTGATTAGCAAAACATATTCCCACAACATTTTTCATTTCTCCATTTCCATCTAATCTGTTCATTGCTATGAAATTCTTGGGATTTCCCGGGTTGAGATGATTTTCAACAACAGTCACGATAAAATCTCCAAAAGAATCCATGTCAGAGAAACGAATCGAATTTTGCTAAAACGTTTTGTTTAAGAATTCTTATTTCTTCACCTTTCCATCGATAACTTTCTTAATTTCATTGAATTCTTTAATCCAAAATATTCCATCAGGAGTTGAAATGATCGGTGATCCATCATTTCGATTAATTGACAAAGCTCCGCCACCATACTCATGAACTGAAAACGATTTAATAGCTACTTAGTATTCAGGTGGGTATTCAAATTGAATTGTTTTAATTTCCTTTCAACTTACCCGATGTCCCCGCAGAATATCCCTCAGCCAATCTCTTCATGTTCCCAATTTTTCCTTCATTTCCCATCTCAATCCACCACAAATCACCATGTCCCGTTTCCAAATTTTGTTCCACCCAAAGAATATTCTCTGAAATTATCTTTTACTTTTTCAACTTTTGTTAAATCAACTATCATTTGCACGCAAATCCGTGATTTTTGTCGCATTTCCTTTGGAGAAAATATCGGGTGTAATTGTTGAATTCCAGCTACCTGAAGGAATTATTATAATTGGATAACTTTGCTCATTCATATTTCAAAACTAATAAAACCGTCAGAAAAGTTATATTTTCTCAGGATGCTCCGAAAATGGGAGGTATTGACTGCTATTATCGTGAATCACCGTATTCTGCTATTGTGCGCATTGTTTGTGGCGTTCTATCGCAGACACTCTGAAAAGAATCAGTTTTCATCAGCTGTGGCAGTTTCGTGCTACAGCAAAATCCATGGCTTTTGCTTAAGCTTTAGAAACTTTCGTTGTTGTCCCAGCTCAATTTTGGAAAAACTTTGCAAAATAAAACTTTTATTTCAAAAATTCAAAAATCAACAAAAAAAGTACCCGTTCAATCGGAGAAATGGAGGCACATAAGCTGTAATAACAAAAATGATTTCATATCAGGAATTGAAAAGTGAACAACAAAATGGTTTTTAATCGAAATGAACACAAATGATATCCATCATTTCAATCCGTTTATCATTCCCCGCTTTTCATTTCCAATCACATTTCCCCTCTTCCTCCTTGTGATATTTCTTGTCTTACACGGGCTCTTTCATCACTTTCCACCTCCAATTGTCGCCGTCCTGCTGGGGTTTTCTAAAAATAAAAAGTTGTTTTATTGGTTTGATAAGTTTACTAACTATTCGCTTCTCATAAAAAATCTTCGCGAAAACTGAAACTATTATTAAAGTTTTCACAAAGTATTTAACACTATAGTGTGTAGATAATCTAACACTCACTTTATCGGGTCGTTTCCATTTATCGGTGTTGGCTTTTTTGAGAGGTTTCTTCGGTGTATTTTGGCTGCTCGACGGTCCTCTACTTGATCGATTCTCTCCTTGACTTTCCGCAAATGGACATCGTCTATCTACTGATGTCTGCATACTAAAAATAAATTTAAACTTTTGCAAACGGTAAATCTTCAGTTATTTCCAACATATAACCAAGTTAAGTTGTTACTTGCCCTTGCCGACCTCAAACATCGCAAATCATCAGGGAATGGATCTTTTGATACCAAGATGAACATCACTGGTGTATCAATCGTAACCCGTAGCCTAAAATGAGGTTTTAAAGCCCACATTTTATTTTAAGAAACACTAAACTCGTTGACTGTTTATTACCGCAAAACACAATAACCAACCTATCTAATCCGTCGACAACTGGATTCCAATAAACAATCTTTCGTCCGTAGTTGACTGAATTCCATTGATAAAATGGATCCTAAAAGATAGTTATCGATAAACTGCATTTATGGACTTTGAGAAACGACGTAAAAATGCAAATTTAACGAACATTTTTTATGAACTGTTTCATTATTGAAAAAAGCTGGCAAACCTTGTATCTTTTCTTTAAAACTTCAACACATGATATGCATTTATCCGCTCCATCTCCGACTCCTTTGAACATCACAAAACGATTGTTTTCATCCTAAAAATAAAAAAATGTCGTTGAAGTTAGAGTTTTTTTTAAGAGTTTCATTAATTTGGTGAAGTATTCAATAATTTTTTTAACGAACGTTTGTGTTCAGTAGCAGTATTTATAACAATTTAGATATTTTTGATCATAAAAATCGTAATAGAAACTATAATAACATAGAAAATTTGTATTTTTAAAGTTACTAACAATAAAAACTAAACATCCTAACTCAAACAATAGAAATGAGATAGGTATCTATTTATTTTTAACTTAAAACCCAAAATAATTGAAACAAACCTGGAAATATTTGATGACATAATCGATAATGTTCCCGAATTTCGTGTTTTTCTTTACATCCATTACTTTCATCGAGGCGACATCGTCGAATGGTGATGGAAATGGACTATTTGCTTCAATTTCTTGTTCTCCCTCATCTGGTACGTAGTTCTCCATCACCTAAATAAGAAAATATTGACAAAAAGCACATTAAATAGGTAAAAATTCAAGAAAAGTTTCAAAATCGGTAATTTTAACTACCTAGGCAAACCACAATTTGGCTTTCGAAAAAAAAATTTCTTGTTTCATTGCATTTTCGCGTAATTCTCTTCTTTATTCAATAAATTTTATTATTCCATGCAAAATTGATCACTTTTTTGATAGGACACAAAAAGGAATGAACACCTAGGTAAATCAAAAAGTTTTGACAAAATGAAAGAGAGCAAAATGAGGGGAAACATATTTGACAGCTCGGAAATGGACGAGGGACTACAAATAACGAGGACACAATTCATATGTAAGTCAAGGTTAAGTTCAATTTTTCTCCAACAAAAAACATTTCTCAAATCAATTCATCGATATTGGGCAAAAAAAGTGAATAGAGCATTGGCAACTCTTTATTTGAGGCGAATGAAAAACAGGTGAAGAAGAGATATTGAAGAGATTTCGAGGGATTTAGGGAAAGGGATCGATTGTGAAAAAGAAAATAGGATTGAGATCTAGACAATAGTTGTTGATGAAATTATGCCTTGCATAATTATGACCAAATTATGAGACCTGGAGTGTGTTCCACATGAGTAATGCGTTTTCTAAAAGGCCATTCGAGAAAGCAACCGTAGTCAGTTTATATCCAACCAACTCGATTTTGGTATCATGCGATGAGGAATCATAAGGCTCGTTGAATGATACCAAAATCGGGCTGATCGACGGTAAACTAAAGGTTTGACTACGGTATTTTTCTCAAATGGCTGCCTTTTAGAAAACTCATTACTCGTGCGGAGCACACTCTAACGAGACCTCTCGAGCGAATTCCTTTCTAAAAGGGTGTGCTCGCAAAAAAGTTACCGTAAACCCGCGTATTTTGGAGAAAATAATTGCTTTTTGTTAGTTAAAGCTTGTACAAACTCATTAATCACGTCTCTTGAGTGGGCAAAGAGCGATAATGAGAGTTAGGTCTGAACGTTGGTTTAAATTCAACATGTTTGCCGGGATACGGTACTTTTCCCTTAACTGTATGTAACCTAACCTTCTAGAAAAGGGCTTCATGAAAGGGCTTCAGTCTTCAGTTGTCTTCCATTCCAAACAAATTTAAAAAACGAAATACATACTTAGTGAACTCGTATTAATGATCTCTTAATGAAAAAATAGAAAATGATTATGTTCAGAACAACAAATATAATATGATTCCTAGAAGATAAGCTCATTTATGATAAAAGATTACATAAAAAAGTAATGGAAAGATTGAAGTATCAAAACATGAATATTTTAACAAATGAACAGTGTGAAATGGCAGGATTGGCGCTTTTTTGAATGATTATCACAGTTTGATGATCGGATACAAAGACGTTTTGCGGGGAAAAGTGGATGAAAAATGAAAGAAGATGAAGAATCAATTGGGAATGAGAGATCTGAAGAAGGAAATGATGATTCGGATCATCAAACATAGGCTGCTGGTTGCCAGATAAAAGCCCCGGAATCCACATCTTCATCATTGATGATCTGAAGTTGAGAGTTTAGGGACTTGTCTTTCTTTCATTCCATTCTTTCCCCACTCACCTTTGTTGCATAGATTGCAGGTGTTCTCGGCGTGTCTCCATTACTTTCTTTTTCCTTTTCTCCACCTCTTACACCCATTTGTGGACTTCTTCTTGTTCCAGGTATCGGACTTTTTTCACCTCCCGACCTTTCTTCGCCTTTCTGAAAGTATCGATTCGATTCATACATTTAACTTTTTTCCTTAAAACTTACATTTTTGAATATGGACAATCTCTTTTTTGCCGGTTCTTTTTGATTGGGATCATTTTGTGGTTCTTCTCCACAATACACTCCCGATGCAACTCCTTGTCCAACACTTCGTCTACGCACACCCGTTGCTAAAAGAAAACAATTTATCTACTTGATTTTTGTTCTTTCCCACCTTGTGTTCCCTTGAGACTTGTTTTTTGTTCCTTTGGTGGTTCTTCTTTATTTGTCACTGCAGCAGAGGCTTTTCTCAAGAATTTTGTCAATCCAAGACTGTGCTCACCCTGGAATTGATCAGCGATCAATTGTTTTGGATTCTCTACTTTTCTCACCCTCAATTTTGCTCTTTCAGCTTCACTTGTTATTTCACAATATGATATATCTCCATGTTGATGATATTGTAAAAGAGCACTTTGTTCTGGTGGAATTGATGCCAATGGATCTTTCCAATTTACACGACCCATTTCTTTGCCTTGTTGACGTTCTGAAAATCGAATATTTGATTGTATTTATTTAAAATTTTGGAATGATTACTGGAGTAAACTATCAGTAACCAAGTTTTTTTTGTGAACCTGTGAGTTTTCTTTCTTCAAACTCGCCTTGAAATTGAGCATGTGACATCACAGTCAATGTCTTCGATCCAATATTCCCAATTTGGACACTTAAACGTCTAAAAGTGATTCGAGATTATTGATAATCTTTTGATAACTTACGATATTTGTTCCAGTGTCCCTCCAATCACCACAACAATCATTGCCAAATCAACTGAATATTTTGCCAATAGTGGTCTCAATGCAGCAGCTGTTGATAGAGAATGTCGGGCACGCAAGAGCACAATTCTGAAATGCAATATATAATTTTCGCTCTATTATATTTTAAATCCATTTAAATTAAACTCCTACTTTGGTGGTGTTGTTTGTGGACTTTTAAAGTTGAAATTGCTTGGTAGTATTTCGATAGCCATTGTCACAACAGGGACGATTCTCACAAAACGATTCTGCAGGGCATCAATTGCTTGTCGACATGGATCGATTGTGCATCCTGTCTGAAAATTAACAAAGTTATGACAAAGTCTTCAACATGATCCAATATTTTGTTTTTTTCTACAACCTCTTTTCCTTTTTTCACTTACCTGTGCATCAACCGCTTCACAACATTTTGCATCCAATCCTAACTTCGCTGACAGTGTTTGTGTCCATTTTGCTACCGAAAAACTCTAAAATGTTGTGTTGAGATCAGCAACGTTTTGTATTTAATAACTAACGCATTTGTTTATTATTTTCACAAACCGGATCATCCAATTCAACAAGTTCAGATGAACACGAGTCTCCACTCATTAAAGTGCACGACTTTTTGATGACTCTTGGTGCAACTCGATGTGATGAAATTTGAGCATGAATCTAAAAATGAATGAAATGATTGATGGGGACATTTTGATTTGAACAAACTCATTTTCTTTAACAAATTCATGAAGGCTATGAAGTTTATTTCGTTTTGTATTTTCCATCAAATCAATCACTTGAAAAAATAGAAATTGCCCTTTGATTTCTGTTGTAAATGAGATTATTTTGTCAATTTACTATCTGTAATATATATTTACAATTTACTGTAATGTACAAAAATCTTCGAAGTTTGCGGTATTTTTGATATCCAACATTTTTGCCATATTAAAAGCTTGAAAACCGATTTGAAAGTAACGGCTACACAAAAAGCCGGTCTTACCACCATTTTCCATTTTTCCATTTTTTATAGCACAAGAAAGTTTTTACTGAAAACAAAGGAAAGAGTACGGTTACCTAAAAACAATAGGTTTACACTAAACTAAAAGGGGCATTCATTCACTTTACATTCATTCTCATTCAGTGCATTCCATTCCACAATAACTGAAAGTGCTTTTGAAATCACTAGGTGAAACAAAAATTTTATTTACAACACGACACTAAATAGAGAAAAGAAATGACTGTGATAAATAAAAAGATTATGTCGAAATTGAGAATAAATGGGGAAAGGAATATTCTCACAGACAGAACAAAAGGATTGAAAAGATGAAAACAACAAATAAACGACATTAAAGCATCAGAGTTAACAGTAATTGTGATTTCTTTGTGAGTGATTTCTACTAAAAAGACATCATAAATATCCACCTTCAAACAATTAAAATTTGAATTAAGCAGAATTTATGAGATGAGTCCATAAAACAGTCTGAGTAGGAAAAGGATGAAGGTTTGTGGAATGCTTGAAATTAAAATAGAACATTAAGCTACAGTTTGGAAGCAGATTGGAAACTTCAGATCGATTTTGATTCACAACAACTACCACCACAGCACGACAGAAAAATGAGAAAGCACTGATAGAAACAGCCATTCAAACAACAGTGATCGAATAAAATCAACAAATAAAAGATGAATTAGTGAAGTAATTTGAAGGATGTTTCTCATTCTCTTCGGGAATTCCCCTTAAAAGATTTTTCATTGTTCCCCTCAATCCCCTTTTGCTTTTTCTTCTTTGAATTGCTCTCATTCCTTTTATATCATCTTCTCGTAATACCTCAGCTGGCATTGAGATTTGTTTTCCCTGTGAGAAAAGATGTCTTCTTCGTGATCCAACCGATGAAACTCCTGGTCGCCCACCCGTTGTTGAGCAACACTCATCTTCGAGTTCAGAACTGAAAACACTATTTGGTAAATTTATTTGCAACTTGTTCAGCAGTGCTTGGTACTGTTTAATTTTTAACCTAGCCAAAGATACCTGTAACTTTTTCTCCTTTCTTCATTCGAACTTCCTCCTCTTGAAGAGCTTGTCCGATGTACTTGTGAATGTCTTTTCTCAGCAACAGGACTTCCCGCTCCTCCCGAACTCCTCGATCCTTGATGTGCCTCTGATTGGCCATCTTTCTTCAATCGACGACTAATCCGATCGAATCCATGCCAAAAACCACCCGATCGACGCTTTTCCTTTGTCTAAAAGTAATAAATAAAAAAGATTAAATATAGCATGTAGCTGCTGTAGGGTGTACGGTAGCTATTTTCGGGATACTGTCTTACTTTAGGGGTACTGCAAGAGCTGGGGGTGTACTGTAGAAACTGTTTGCATTAAACTCCCTCACCGAACTATTCGGGCTTCCACTGCCAGCAATAGCTGCAATCGCACTCGATGCCCATCCTCGTCCTTTTTCTTTTCCTCCACCTCCACTTGGTCCTGCTTGATCATCATGATCTCCTCGTCCATCTGGAAATCAATATACATAGTTATTATTTTATCACTTTCAACTTTAATTAACTAAAGGTAAGCCTAATTGTCATAAAACTAACCAGAATCTTTTCTGTCTGCCTCATCAGCCAATTCTTCATCGCTGAATTCGGGAGCAATCCCACCGGCTTTTAAATATCTCGGCCAACAATCGTACTTCAACAAATGAAAGATCTGAATTTTTTGGTTAAGATTTCATCAAATTTAGAATATGAAAAATGCATATTGTCAATCGTGATCTCACCTGATATTGAGCTACATCAAAAACTGTCCGATGATAATGTTGGGCGGAGATGGCTTCTCTAATCCGTTTACTCGTACTATTATCAACATTTACCTGAAATAAGTAAATAGCTATCAATATTTACATAGCACATAAGCTATCAATATTTACCTAGAGCATAAATGCAAATTTGCTAAATTCTTACCGGTTCCATTGAATTCGGAGCAAAATGTCTCTCGTATATCCGTCTTGCAACAAGCTCTCGATTTTCAATCTAAAATTTAATTCTTGATGTAAAGCAGGATTCTAATATTTTTTTTCTAAAAAACAATAACTTACAGCAGCTCTAGAGGTAGATTCATGGGGTAAATCATGAAATTGTTCAACGGCCACATAAAAGTTCAAATTCTCAGCACAGAATTGTTGTTCCAAGAAAAGATGAAACGGTTTGCGGAGAGGTGGCTCGCGAAGAACCCGTTTGAATACCTGAAAAATCAATGTTAAAGTGAGAAGATTGTGTCGGGATATGATTTCTACAAGATTTTTGCTGAACTTACTCTCATTTCTCGACTTGAATTTGTCTCTACAACCCCACCGCACAGTACAGCTGAAACTCCCAATTCTTCCTAAATGTTGGCGTATTTGTTTGAGACTTTTATACCAAATATTTCTATTGTTTTTATTTTGCCCACTTACCATATCAGGTGCCGATGATGTACATGGTTGTCCTTGTACATTATTTTCTTTATCAAAGTCGTCGCGCATTTCTTTTTGATGATGAAGATTTGTGTCTAAAAGGCAATATTTTAAAAAGATGTCATTAAGAACTACTTATTGAGGTACTTATTGATCTCTTCTTCTTCATTTACCTATAATAGTTTCTTCCTCGTTGTTGAATAAAGCATCACCTCCAGATGACAAGATCGACTGTGGTTCTCCGTCTAAAACACCAATAAAGAATTTTATTTACGATTCGTTTTGTTTGTCTAGCTAGCTTTAAATCTTTCAAATATTTACCAGAAGTATCAAGAAATTTGCTCTCTTCGTGAATGATCTGATCGAGAACTTTTGAGCAACGTTTAACAAAAGCCCCTTCACTTTCCGCCGATGGATCGGGCTGAAATGAAAAAATATTCAATTGCCTGACCGAATTTTTAGTTTTATGAATGTTTGAAAATCGATTTAAATTTACATTTCAAATGGGTAATCAGGAAAAATGAATACCGTAACGAATCGACGTTTTGATGACCAAGAAAGTTTGAAAATAGTCATATTTTGCCTTGTCAAAATTTGAGGAACACAACGAGCATAGTTGGCTTATATAATGTGTACTCCATGGGAAAACAGTTGTGAAATATTTAGCTGATCACAATTCATTTTGTTCCTTTTCTCCAAAATCAATCAAAAAGAGGTAAAAGAAGACTGGAGAATCAAAATATTTGCCCTCTCTCTTTCCAGACCCATAAATGCTTTGCGAGCGGTTCTCGTAATGACAAAAAACGGGCAAAAATAGGCTTCAGATCTCAAAAAATAACCCCAAAAGGTCTTTTTTGACTGTCGATTCTTCAAATAACGAGCGGACAATGAAATTAAAAGAATTTTGTAAACAAATTGAGAAAAACATCTCTGTTGGAAAGTTATTTTGTTGGAACTTTAGCTATTTTTAGATCGAATAAACCTTGAAGCCGTCATTGAAAGAGAGGAAAAAGAAAAAGTTAATAGGATTTCACTTTGTTCCTTATAATACAATATTCTGAAATGTACATGTTAAGATCCTAACAATAACAATTTAAATGCTTAGACAAAAACCTTTTGAAGCTTTAATATGGCTTCAAAAGAACACATCGGGAACCCCATATAGGGTGATCAAAATTAAAAAGCTTTAATCGGATATGAGGTACAATAAAAAATGATCCAAGCCTGGCTTTTAGGCAACAGCTAAACAACCAATGAAGGGGGAAAGCCACAAAATGCGAACTTTGGAAAAATTTCGAAATCTCGAATGGCCCAAAATAACAATGGTAACCAAAGATCGATTCAACTCGTTCCTAGCACAAAATTGAGGAAAAATTTCGAGCAATGTTCAAATTATACATTGACTTTTTCTTCACGAAACGCCCAATTTTCTATTCGTAGTGGCGCAAAAATGAAAAAAACTGTACCCAAAACGCCAAAGAGATTCCCAATCTGTAAATTCAGGCTTATCGTTGAATTTTATTTCCGGCAGTATGCATAAAAAGTTGAAAAATGACGTTTTTACACTCATTTTACAATCCCCAAAGAACGTTTCAATCCTAAAAAGCATCTTGTCTAATGAGGTTTTTATGCTTTTAAAATAGCAAAATCTGCCTCAAAATAACCCTTTTCAAAAAAAGAAATTGCTTGATAAGCGGATTAAGCCAAATAGGGTGGTTACTATCTGCAAATACTAGTTATCACTGTGCTTTACTGTACAACTATTTTCAAGATCAAATCTCTGAACAATATTCAAAATCAGTGGATTATTTTTTGCAATGAAAATTCTTAATGAACATTGTTTTACAACAAATGAATATGCCACCAAATAGGAGAACTTGAGGAAATCTAGAAATCAATTCGAATCGAGTGAAACAGCCTCGAGGAATACCTCAATATGTATTTGATTTGCGGGTGCAATGAGGATGAATAGAGGAACAAGTGGAATGTCTTTTCTCAAAAAGAGTGTCATGACTGGGTGAATTGAAAGAGATGAGTGAGAAAAAGCATCTCCATTCGATGGTAGGGGAGGGTCAGGGATAGGGAAGGGGTAGGGAAGGGGTAGGGGAGGGGAGGTGGGGTGCGAAATCAAATTCCCCGTCCATCCCTTCTCTTTTTTTTCAAGAGGAGGCTCTTCCCCAGTCCCTTTCCCTATGGGGGTGGGCCCCTCTTGACGCACACACAATCCTCCCCACCCCATGCCTTTCTATTGCCCTTTTCATTTTGTGCCCTTCCCATCTCACGGCCAGGTCGAGAGTGAAACCTCAGAAAGGGAAAGGCTGAGGGGAATACCCGTGAAATGGGTGAATCGAAGCGCATACCTCGACTCTTCTTTAGAAAAATCGAAGAGATGAGCGGATCAATCAGACAAAAGGAAAATAACAAATAGAAGTATTGAATTCTAAACTCAAACTAGAAAGGTTAAACTAGGTAGGTTGGCTAAAAAAGCAAGAGTAATATTAAGCTTTGTTGCCTTTGAATTTACTTTTGAAATTTGATCACAAAGACAAATATGCAAAACTCTAAAGGAAACCTTTAAATTTTTACACAAGTAGACCACTCACAATGCTCAGATGTCTAAAAAGATATTCATCGACAAGGGAATGGCCTAGACGGAAGGCACGAGATTTTGTTGGCAAGAAGATCAACGCCATTCGGCCCAATGGTGTGGGTTGTGCGCCGGTGCAGTGAGTTTTTGCTCTCGGGTTCAATTCCGATGCCCAACTTTTTTTGCTTTTTAAAAATTTAATTTTCTAAAGGAATTTAATTCAAAGGTCCAGGAAAGGCCTGTTTCAGAAGCCCAATCACAGCCTCTGGCGAGATCATCTTAAAAATCCGTTAAGAGTGAAAATAAAACAAAAAAAAACATAAAAGTGCACAACAGTAACAAAGCCAAATTCTGGCTATTTTGTTTTCTTCATGATTTTCATCGTTCTTAAAAAAGCAAAAAAAAGTCGGGGATCGGAATTGAACCTGAGAGCAAAAATTCGCTGCGCCGGCGCACTACCCACACTATTGGACCGCATTTTACCGAGCGTGATAAAGGCCTCTTAGCCTTCAGGAACTTTTTTCCGAACAGATGTCCAAATTTTAAACGCGCTTTTCTCGAGAATGCGGCCTCCTTGGCAAAAACTAAATACAGTATTAAATTCCCCATTGCCGAATAGTGTTTGCATCTTCTTGCCATCAACATCGTACTTTCCGTTTGGACCATTCCCTTATGAGAGGCCTGGCATATGAAGCTAGTTTCTCAAAGATCTTCCTTTGAGAGGGAGTTTACAAGAGAAACATCAAAGCTTTGAAACTTCAGAAAATCCGATAACTTCTTGTTGAGAAATCAACAAACCTTGTTTACATCATTTAAATCAGAAAAACTCAAAAAGCCTTGACTAAATAAAATCATGAAAATTGCCAAATGCAAAGTCAAAACGTGCAAAAGAACTAAACGCTTGAAGCAATTTCGAAAACTCTGAAATGCCGGAGAGAAACAATTGGTTGACTCTCTCAAATCATACACAATAGCTGAAGCAAAAGCAAATCGAAAAAGAAGGGGATTTGTTGGAAGGAAGAGATTGGCCGGGGCAATTTGCCCCCTCGACCCATTCCCCCTCTACTGCAAAAGCTCCTCACCCAATTTGAGGTACTCCCTTCCCCTCCCCACCCTCCCCTCACCCTTTCCCTTTCACTCCATCCGTTTGTAGACGTGAAACACAAATCTCCTTTTAAAAGAGAAAACGGAAGTTGTTCCCCTTCATTCTAACCTTTAAGGAGTTGGATGAGTCGACTTAAACAATAGTAGCTGAATCATTTTGAAGAAGGGCAAACAATGATAAACACTCAATTTTGTTCAGCACATTTTGTATTAGCTTGTTTAAGGATTTAAGCCATTTAAGGGATATTTGTAAGAGAGTAAACGTATTAGTATACTTCTGCATGTGGCTTGAAGTTCTAAGCGTGTCTCGTTAAATCGGATCAAAGTTAGTTTCAAATTAATGTCATTAGCCGAAGAAGGATCTCCCAATAAGCGATGCATGTTTGAAAGAGCCGTTCAGAGGGAACTGAAGGAACTGAATGGGCTAAGGGGAAGGATGGAGTGTCCCATGTGTGGAAACCCTTATCGGATGTCCGTAATAAATTCCGGAGCTCTGCTTGGTAGGGCCTCTTCTCACAACGAAAAGGGGCAATTCAGAAGGCCTTCCCTTCCCTCGATGAGTGGATCGAAACAGTCGCTTCCCCTCTTCTCTTTTTCAGCCTCTCTTTCATCCTCTTTTTCATCTTTTCATTGCCTCTCCCGGCTCTCTTCTGAGCAATGAGTGTGTTGTGTGTGCTCCCTTTTCGCCTTCTTTTCAAAGACAAGAAGAGGCGAAAAGTTAATTAAGCTCACCACGCATCTCCTTCCCTTACTGGTCTTTTCTGTCAACTCACAAAATTTGTCAACACAACTTTCATCCACCCTCACCTACCACCCTCAAAACGATCATTCATCCATTGATATCAACTAATTACCATTTGGACAAGATCATCAGAAATAGTCGGATAAGCAAAGCTGTTCTTTTTAAAAGCTAGGTGTTTTGTGAAAAATGTGCATTTGTGATCAAATTTGGGTTAACTATAAGTAATCAAAGCTCCAAGGATCAAAATAAAGACTAAACTGTCGTTATTTTTTGATGGCTAGAAAAGAAATAAAAAAAGCTGAATTTGGTGGTTCTTTTGAGAGCAATGAGATGAGGGAGATCGGCTTGCAATTTTGCATGATTAGAACCCGTCTGGCTGAATCTCATCCAATGCAATGAGAACAAAGAGAACAGGGATAAAAGAGATCGGAATGAGAAAAAGAAGAGGTTAAATCAAGTTTAATAAAAAAAATGATGAAACAGTGAACAGTGAAGGACGTTGATTGAAGCATTATAAAAGTTCTGTATGTTTTATTTTTATTGAACAGTATTAAGAACTTTCAAAATAAGATTAAGCTGATGCTGAGATAAACACGCTTGAGACTGTCATCTTAGATGGTGCGGTATGAACTAAGGAAGTAGTGGAAAATCAGTGCGGGGGTTAGGTAAAAAAAACTGAGAGACGACAAGAAAAGAGGAAGAGGCGACAGGCCGACGGACGACCCATCCATCCATCGCACGGAGTGCCCAAGGAGAGCGCAGACCGAGAAAAAGACCGCGCTCGCGCCGCGTAAATTATGCGCTAATTGCGTGGTGCTTGATAGAAGAAATTGAGAGATACGAAAAGAAAAGAAATGTTGTGATGAGGTGATGAGAAGAAGAGATATTGAAGGGATTCATGGAGATGAATACACAAAAAAGATAGATAGAACAAGAAAAACTAGTAAAAATCTGCAGACAAGGAGAGATTCGAATCGAGTTTTAAAAGAAATAAAGTGACACTAGAGAACATTCTAATGTTGAACAGAAGAGACATACAACTAAAGGGGATTGCAAAACAGCGATAGTGCAGACGACAAATTGGTGACAAGAGATTCAAGTAAAACTAGAAGCTCGAGTGCATAAGAAGGAAACGACGAGAGTTGACTAGAGATCGAGAAGTAGTGTGGAGGAGAGATTGAAAAGAAAGACAACGAAGAAACGTGGAACCAGAGGGCCCAACCAAGGCCTCTTCAATGAGAGAAGCGGGCACAGACAGGGCCTTTCCTGAGGGGAAATGGAATGGAATGAAGAGAAAAGGGAAAGAAATGCAAGGAGGAGAAGGAGAAGGGAATCCAAGGGGCACATTCAGAATCAATAGACGCCCAACACTCGCGCTTTTTGAAGAAGAAAAGAGACGAGTTCTGGATGCCCTCCCGAGAAAAGCGCTTCCATTGAAAAGAAGACGAGGTGCAGCTTCTTTTTTTCCTTTTTTGATTAGACTAGGAGGGGTGAGGACAGACATATCCCATAAAGAAAAAGAGGTACTCTCTTTCCCTTCGGAAGGTGTGTGAATTATTCTATGTGTGGCCGAGAGGACCTCTTCCTTTTCTTCTTTTCCCTCTATTACCTATTACCCCAAGTTAACCTTCGTGAGAAAGCCGAGCTCTCCTTTCAATTCAGAGGCCGATTTCGGGAAATTCGCCAAGCTTCAACGGATTTTGGGTTGAATTCGGTTTAAAAACAAAATCCGATGTGTTCGGATAATATCGCTCACCTGACAAAATGGACGTCGTCTAGCTCGAAAGCTCGCATCATCATACATGCTTCTGGTTGTCATTGTGGATGAAGTCTAAACATGTCATTTCCACGGATCAAGTTAAATAAAACAATTATTGTTAGTGATATAGCGACTATTTTACATCTACACCACAGTTAAAGAGTTCTGATGATTTTAGGTTTTGTCAAACTCACCCTGGCATATGGGGATAAATGACGATCTCGAAGTGGATTTCCAACCTCCAATTTTGAATCTTGTTGAAGATCTTCCAATCCTTCCAATCGTCGAATCGATTGCTTGCATTTTGGCACTTCCTAAACATTCAGATTAAACATTGAGAAGTCGATCTTTGTTATCAAAAACTTTTAAGCATGAAACTCGATTAATCCTTTTTAGCAATAACTATTCACTTCACAACTTCTATTGCTCCTTTTCTCACAATCCTCCCTTGAATTGGGTATAGTTGATGCACTGTGCTTGCTAGTACTCTTTTGATTAACAGAAACCAGTTTTGAATATTTTTGTATTCTTCTCGAATCTCTCAAATTAGTGAAGCCTCGAGTTAAACGATATGAAGAAGAATGAGAAGTAGATTGAGATGAAATTGACGAATGGGAATGATCATCTTTGAGAGGAGATCTCATTCGATCATCCATCCGCCTATTTTTATGCAAATGTTTAAAACAACAAAAAAAGTGAAGAGCAGATTTAGATTTGGAGGATCAAACACTATCAATTGAACGCGGATTATGTATTACAAAACTTCTATTTTCATGGCTGATTTTTGAAATCTAATACCTTTAAGAGAAAAGAAAGTTAAGAAAAGTTAAGAAAAAAGAAACAGATCAAAAAGTGTCTCCGTGGAACGTGTGACATTTCTAGCGTACTATTTGTCAATTCTTTCCATCTATGTTGATTCACCCCCATTCACTTTTTCTAAAATCAGGCCATTCAGCGTTCAATCGATTACAAAACAAAATACTGACTATGAGAAATAAAAAGAATACGAGGCTTTAAAATAAAACCTTTGAAATAGAAATCACAGCATATTTGATAGTTTTTACATTGTCCTTATGATTACTCACTAACAATAACATTTTGTTTACTCTTTAATAACCGTGATTCATGAATTCTTTCAAAAAAATTATAAGTGAGAGGAGAAACTAAAGGCATAGGTGTTTGAAACAAAAATTACAGCTAACGTTTCGATGTTAAAAACCTGAAATGGAGAATAAAATGGAAAGTTTTTGGAAGGGATTTTCTTAAGTTGAAAGAATGGTTCAATGTCAACAGGTTGTACAAGGCTGTCTCTATAAGAAATGTCAGGAGAAAAGAAGAAAAATCGCTGAAAAGAGGCAAAGGAAAGAAAGGACAAGAAAAATGGCTGTGAAATGGCGCGCAAAACACTGATCCCCGTCCCTCAAACATGGGTAATTTTGAAGAGAAATGAATTGTTAGAGATGGGAAATCGATTGAGGATAAAGAAAAAAGAAGATGGGGACTAGAATATGTTTATGAGATTCTGATCTAGTATTCCTTTCTATAAAATTCCTCAAGTCAAGCTCTGAAATTGAATACTTGGACCTAACCTGAACAATTTCGGGTGCTACAAGCTGACTTTCATTGAATGAAGCTTCATCATCCGGCCTCGGATCAATCGAGTATTCCTGAAAATACTTTTCAACGAATTTTGAAATTACTGTTTAGAAGACATACGGCAAGTCAAATGCTTACCTTTGGCAGATTTGGAGAGCATAGGGAAACGATATCTGTCCTTTGTTGCTTTCGCCCAAAAATTTCTAGAATTTGAATTAAACAGCTTTCTGGAATCTTGTACATTCTTGTAAATCTAATGCTAATCTAACACTTGTAAAATTTTATTAAAATAAATAAAACCTGATAAGTCGGAATGTCTTTTGAATCGTTTCAATCCACGAATTGTCCCGAAAATGAGTTGCTTCCTTTCATCATTTGCATCAAGTGGAGAAGTGTTCTTGCGGAACCTAGAAAAAACTATTTCATCCTCGCAGTGATAGGTACTGTACTGACCTGATAGGTAATTTAGTGTACTGTTTACTATACTGAGTACTATACTTGTTGTGCAAATAAACCAAGGTTAGCCCGTTAGTATGCCTGACTCGTGATATCATTGTAATTTTTAAGACCTACTTAACACCGGGAAATTCATTGAGTTGTTGAGAGTGTGAAGATGTTGTATTTGAAGAATAAACTATTCTTTGTGGTGATCCCATCACGGTATAGGTTGATCGTTGAAAACTTCTAAAAGGTTGCAAGTTCAAAAAGCATTTTGTAAATAGTAGCTTGCTTGTAAATTTACACTTTCTTACTGGGTAAATTAGGTAATTACTGAAAGAATGAATCTCGCAAGTTCGATAAATTCGACTTGACTTTGTATACCTTAACCAACCTTGGTTTCTCGCGAATTGACTTCAAGAATTTTTTCGATGAGAATTGCAAATCCATCAATTGAGCTAAATAAATAAAGATTAACTAATCGGCAAAATGTAAAAGATCAAAGGAAAATTTATCTATAAAGCAACGATCAAAATATTATGAGCGCGAGGAATGACTGGCGGGCAAATCGAGAAATGAAATGAGGGGAGGGGGTGATGAGAGGGGAAAGATCTTCTCGTCCCCCCCTCCCCCACATCCCCTTTTCACTCACTACCGATCATCCTTATCAAATCAATTATTTTCGAGAATTGCCATGAGGGAAATTTCAACTGTAAATGGTATCAGAAAAGGTAGTCGAATTGGGAGACCCAAATTCAAAAAAAGCAAAAATCTGGCTGGGAAATTATTTTGTGATTCCTGTAACTTATATTTGTGAAGGGCTGGGTCTGATACATCGTAAAAAACAATGGACTTGCACATTCAAAATCAAAAAAAATCCTATCGTAAATTAAAGAAGGACATGGCTACTGATTCTAAAGTGCAACGTAGCCGTATTATGCACTTTAGCCCTTCTTAACAATCGTTTTTGCAACTAGATAATTTTAAGGACAATTACAGTGTTAAAGCAAGTTGACAGGTGGTATTCCATAGCAGCCGCGATAATTGTCAGCTGTAATTAATTGATAAAAACAAGCTGGCGACTTTGGAAGCGAACTTATTGAAAGATAGCATAAAATGAAATAGATAATGATATTACAAGACAAGATTTAGAGTTAGAATGCAAAACACAAAAGAGTTGAACTCCGTTTCTTTCCCAATGGTCACAACACAAGATCCCTTTCTCTTTCTCTTTTTATGTGTTAATGTTGCAAGAAGTGAAGACTGATTGGTGGGGATTGTCTCTCGTTGACAACAATAGAAAATCTTTTCTTTCTTTTTTCCAATCATGGCCATCCGATGGAGAAAAGAAAAGAGACAAGATTGGGGTCATTTTATGCAAATGATTCTTTGTTGTCAGGGTTGTGTCAATCGGAATGACTTTGAGTACAAGAAACGATAATGAATCGGTTGGAACAGGACAGGAACCCTTTACCTAATTTATTTCAAAAACCTGGTCTGGCCGGAATTACAAGAAAAAACTGTAGAAAAGTGATTGTAGACGTCCATTTTAAACAGTCTTAAATTGTTTTAAAGTTTGGAACTCGCGAGCAAACGTTTTTTAAGCAAAAGAATACACATTTGGGTCTCTCCTTGTAACTTTTCAAAAAAGAAAATAAGGAAAGATTGATCTCGATCTTTTGTGTAAATCTTTTGTGTATCTCGGGGTGACGAGTTGTGACGCAATTTTGACAACATTGAGCAAATAGAGATGAACGGAAGAGAAGATATGAACGGACATATGTTGATGTTCTTATGGAGGACAGTCGGACTTTGGAGAATAACCTTTGTGTTGTGGAATCTTTCGATGATAATGATGTGATGGAAAATGGCCAATTCGTTTTTAAAGCATAATATTTATTTGGTTGGGAAAGAGGTAGGAAAAACAAACTTGCTCATTGGTAAAGTTCAATGCCTAATGGGAATCTGCGCATCGGTATTTTTAAATGGCTCTTAATCTATTATTACCAATGAACAAATCTAATAGAAATACAGTACAGATGAAGAGCAAAGATTTTTAAATAGCTTTCAGTTTTATTTTAAAATGGAGTTTTCGGGCGGGTTTCGATCCATTTTTTGATCTGTGGAAGCTCCTCAATGCGGCGTTTGAATGCGAGCATCTAAAGTGTTACTTTTGGCAAGAAAATTAAATTGATTGATTCAAAATGTCTTACGTACCTCCGGAAAAGTGCTGAGTGCATCAGGCTTTAATTGAATGACAGTCAACATATGATCGGCAATCAACAAATCAGCCCATGTTGCTGACTTTCCAACCTGTAATTTTGTTAGTTTAGTTTTTTTCAGCCCATCATACCAAAAATCCGGTTCCATTTTTCTTGAGTCTCTGTTGAAGGAAAGTGTAGAATTTATCTCGAGCTGGCTCGTAAACCGATTTGTAGAGTTCATTCTATAAAATGCTAATAAAGCTATTCAATAAACCAACTAACTGTTTAGCTATCCAATAAACTAACTTTATCGCCTTTATTCATAAATCCGAGTGCTGTGTAATACCAATCTTTCACTTCATTGTAATGATCTTTAAAGAGATCAACAATTGCATCAACCCATGCTTCTTCGGCGGGAGTTTTTCCACCGAGGCCTCAAATTATTTGTACAGCACAATAGTCTTTGATGAATTACCGAATTTCCTAGCCACAAATCGACCAATTGCCGCAGATTGAGGGATCATTTCCCCATCGACTTCCAAGACGGGTACTTGACCAAATGGCATTGCTAAATATGCTAATTTTAAGTGCTCTTTTTCTAAATATAAGCGGTTTGATAGCAGGCAAATGATCTAGTATTAGACAAAATGTTAATATCAATTAGCAGATTAGCAGACTCATGGGATTAACTAGTACTCTCGAAAGGATTAAAAAGATGGCTACCCTATTGAATAACACCAGTTTGGTTTCAAAAGTTAATACCTTCCTTATGTTTTGGCCATTCTTCCATGCTGAAACGGATATCCTCGAAGGGTTCATTGGCAAGTTTGAACACCTGGAAATACATGTACTGCCTGTTGGTTCTTTTGATATTGATTTCTGACAAATAAACGCCTCAATCATTTGATAACATCACTTTCCCCACTTACTTGTCTAATCGCCTCTCCCGTTCCACGACCGTCAAAATAGTACAGCTTGTAGGGCATCTTTTTCTTCCCAAAGCTGAAAAATTGAGCTTCAAAATCAAAACCTCAAGCAACCCTCAACCTTTGATGAGAATTTCTAACCAATTTCCGCCACTTTTATACCTCAAAACTTTAGTTTTTCTACCTTGTGCCTACAGATTTCTCCTCAACTTTTTGCATTGAAATGTATTTTGTGCATTCATTCTCTGGAGAATTACAAAAGAAACTAGTAAAGAAATGAGTTCTCGAGAGATTTAGAGAAAAAATTCGCTCAAAAGTCAAAAATTACCACTGACCACAACAATTTGGGAGCCATTTTTCGTTCCTTTTTCTCTCTCAAGTAGTCCTTTCGTGTCAACGAGAAAACTGAAAAGGAGAAAATGTTTTGGTAAACATTTGAGTGAATACAAGAAAAAGTTACAAAGTTTTTCAATTTTGGAAAAGAGTGAGTTTTGGGAACATCAAATCTTTTTACTATACATCTCACAAAATATCCAAAATCGGCATTGTTTTAAGATTTTATTACGACTTTAAAATTGAGGCTTTGCCATAAAGCTAATCTATAATTTAACACATATGAGTTGCCTACTTTTTTGCAAATTTTTGAAAGATAAATACTTATGGGTGTGCCCTCCTGAAATTTGTCCTTTTCGCGAAAGGAAATCATCCAATTAGTCAATGAAAAGTCAAAAAAGAAGTGAATTTTATGTGAAGTAACAGTTTGTGATTTTTGTGTTGAAAAGAAGAAAACAAAGAATAGAAACTAGAAAATAACAAAATAGAGATTTTTTGGTTTAAACACAAATTTTTGTCTTTCAAAAGAGATCATAGTTTTGACTTCTAAATTTGAGGGTTTTGCGGAAGTTCTAAAAATATAAAAGCTAACAAACTTAACAAACACCAAGGTAACAAGTAAAAAAGATATACAATAGTTCAATATTTTTGTATAGTACTTCAATTTTAAGCTTGGGACATTTGAGCTTTCACAAACGTAAGGCTGAGACATTGAAATTCATGCCTTACAACAGTTTAAAAACGTTTAAGTTTAAAAATTAAAGAAAAGGAGTCGAATTCAAAATGACATGACAATGAAAAGTTTTCCTCAAATATGGAGTGTTTCCAAATATCCATTTCACTCCGAAATTTGTGTATCGAATGAATGAAATGAGGCTGGCTGTGTCAACAAAATGTAAGTCGATGAACATGAAAGGGATTGCTTATTTCAATCGGAAAACGATTTATGTTTGGTTTCAATTTGAAATCTCTAGACAAACACAAGTAAATTAAGAATACCGTATTCTCTCTAATAGTAGTGCCGGTGAGCCGAGTTGATGACTATTTTACGGTTTCTAAGTTTTCGCAGAAGCTCAGCACTCTAATCCCCCACAAGATCTCATCGTCAGCTACATTTCCCGACCCCACATCGATAGGTTCTGATAAGCGCTTTTCGAGATTTCGAGCAATTTAGGCAACGCTCAGGGTGCACTACTATTAGAGAGAATACGGTAATCTGAAAAGCCGAAAGTTAGCTGCTCTGTTTTGAGTAGGATAAACTTTTGCACAAAGTGACAGCACCTACACAAAGGCCTACACAAAGTGACCAAAGTAGGTACTCCAGCAAAGTTTGACTGTGTTCTTTGATGACTTTACTTCAATTATCAATGCAGATAAAATGACTTTAAACAAAAATCAAATTGTCGAAATCAAAATAAACGATAACGATTTGGAAATTGTTATGGTTTATTATACGATTTCAAAATGGCATCGGGGAGTTTTTTTCGCATAACTGACTGCCCTCCAAAAAAGTAGAGCCCACTCACTCGTCACGGTCGAAATTTTGTGAAGAACCGCAAAATTGTCAGAGGTTTTTTTTCCTGTCAAGTACATCTCTTTCGCTTTTTTTTTGCATTGAATGACCTTCACTTTCCTCTTCGGTATGGGGCTAATTTCATTCATTTTTCCTTTTTTCTTTTTTCTTTGCATTTTCTCTCTAGGCTCACCGCTATTCAATGTCAACAACACTCAACGGAGAATTGCCCAATAAGTGAAAATGGTTTACAATTTTGTGTGCTGAACTTTGAACAAACAAGAATATTATAGATAATTAAAACAGGCAGCGTAAAACAAATACAATGAGTACAATGCGATGATACATTAGAGTTGGTTCACTATTCTACAGTTGAGTTTAGAAGGTTCTGGCCCTGCTGACTGTGACCAAATTCTACAATGATACAGAAATGTGTGTCAGCTTTCAAAAAACAAAATGATCGTGCTTTTGTTTGGTTTTTCCAGGACTCAGACCAAATTTGATATGGATATACGCAAAATATTTACTTTAGCAATGAACTTTGAACTTCCCAAAAGTTCGCCACAACTTGTCCAACCAATTTCCAAAACACCAGAGAATAATAAGCATAACTCAAACCATTTTTGTGCTTAACAAGTTTTCCCATTTTCCCTCAATCCCATATTTTGAATTCTAAACCGGAAAATATCGGCAATCAGTGCGTTTGGAATTTACGAAAATTCATCCCTTTTCCCCACCTCGCTTCGAATCGGTGATAAGAAAAGGGCGTTACTTTTTGCACATCGCCAGACCACACTCATTCTGAAAGTTTTGGTAGACTTTTGCAGTAAACCCTCAAAAATTCTAAAGTTGTAAGTTGTTGGTTATTGATTCTCACGAGGAGCTTTGTTTAAAGCCTAGAGACCTTTAAAATTAAAAGTACATCCTCAACTTAAATGTATATGATTAGATGTGCGTTTATATATCTTTGAAATTTACTTGATTGAAAGTCTTTGAAGTCTTTGAAATGAGTCCTTGCAGCTAAGTCTCTTTGAAATGGAACTAACTAGTAAGCGTGATTCACTCATTTCCACTCATTTTAATCGATAATCGACTCGACTCTCTCGAACTTCCGGAAGAAACCGTGATTTGGAGGGAAATTGACTGAAGACTGAAAATTGTGAAGAGAAAAGAAGAAAAGAGACAATATTGAAGTGATATCGCCTACAAAGATTGGGGAATGGAGAGAGAGATTGGTGAATGGAATGGATGGAAAGGGCTGGGACGGGATGGGTGTGTTTCTAAACTCTTCTGAATTCCCCATCAAGAGATTAAAAGACAAAACCCTTTTTTTTCGGGCTTCTGGTGATTTGAAATTTTTCAATATCAGATTTTCAGCAACTCACTCCTTTGAGAGAAGAAATTCTCGAAAAAACTGTGAACTGGTTGAAGTCACAATGCTCTTTGTCTTCCCATTTTTTTTGATATCAATTTAATTTTTAAAAAATCGCGTCAAAGATTGTCCTTTGATTAACAATAATAATAATTTTTCATTTCCGAATTCTAGGTATGTTGTGGGTATCTTTGGCGTGGGCCCTCGGGCTTACCACAGCCTATCACATGTTACCACCAAATAACTTGGAAGACCGTAAGTTTTCATAGTTTTAGTGCTGTGCAATACAGATTGATGTCCTAATGTCTAAAGATAAGCTAATTTAAAAGTGTGAGCATTGTTGGCAATGTTGTACTTGCCTCGCAACAACTGAACTTACCAGAACGATCTCTGTATTGCCAAGCACCACACTTCTGAACAAACTCTTTCATTTTGTTTTAAAAGCCAATCTTTAGAAGCGAAATGCCAAAACGATGGTTTCTATTTGAATAATAATACATGCTGGTGTAAACCGTATTTCAAAGGAGATTCGTGTCAACAACGAATTTGTATGAATGGAGGTCGAAACTATGGTGAAGAAACAACTAGATGTATTTGTCCATCCGGATTCCTTGGGGCAAATTGTGAACCAAGTAAGTGTTTGATTTCAAACGAACAGGTATCTCGGTTTTCTCAAAAAGACAAAATTTCATTTCAGGAGCATGTCTGGGTGATGTGAACGATATTTTCAATCCTCCAGTTACCAGAAGGAGTGCCACTTTTCTCTTTACTTCCACACCTGATATGAACGATAAAATTAAAAAATCTGGCGATGATTTTCTGACTCACATTCAGCAACAATTTGATGTATGGCAATATTCGGAAATAAATTTGATCATTCCCGGGGAGTTTGGGTGCATGAGAATTGGTTTGTTGCTTAAATATCATCGAGCAATCGCGCTTTTATTAGAAACAAAAGATCGTGTTGGGTACTTGTTTGGAATCAATCAAGGACATCTTCTGTAATGAAGAGGACGGATATTGTCCCATCGATTTCATGCCGTATAAAGCTGTTTTGGGGGCTGTTCGACGATCATCACCCAATTCACCGGTTGGTAAGCCGAAGAGTTTTGCTTTGTTATGGGGACTAGGTTATACGGGTTTCCACATTTTTTATTAATAAAATGGTACTTTTTTGGTTTATTTTTTGGCTTATATTTTTTTTTTTCAAACCCCATGAAAAAATTTTACAGCCTAATTTGCATAGCGCCGATTGCGATTAGCAATCTGAGGAGCTGGGTGGGTAGTTTTTGTTCGGTCGATCCATTTTGTCTTGCAGTAGCATTGCAGTAGGTATTGCAGTAGGTTGGATGATCACTACGTAAACTCGACTCATTCTTGTTTTAGCACCAATCTGTTAGTATCTTTTTTTTGGTTATTTTAACTATTAGGTTGGCCCATAAGTCTTGGCAACACTTTGTTTTACTAGTGTTTATAAATGACAAATTCACCAATTGGCCTACGACTTGCTCGAAACAGAAGATGTTTGGCATTCATTTTTCTATCATTTCAAGCCGCTTTGGATCTGTTTCCAAGTAAATTCGAGTGCAAAAACTCGTTTTTCATAAATTTTATAAAAAGCTCTACCAAAAAAATCGGCTGAGCAGATTATCCTAAAAATTCGGCTATATACCTAACTTTTTGAGCTCTATCTTTTATCTATTGACAGCAACATAGGTTTCTGTAGACCAAAACGCCTAAATTGCATCTTCGGGTTGTCACCTTTTTCCGACTTCGTGCCCCCATAAAAAACCATAGACAAAACATTTTCATAAGATTCAAACGTTATTTTGTAGAAAAATAGTAGGCCTTTCTAATTGGTAAACTTGTAATTTATAAACGATAGTAGAACAAAGTGCTACCAAGACTTATGGCCCAACCTAATATATTACATGATTAGAAGCCTAAAAGCATCTATATGTCATGAAATTTTTCTATGGTTTTGGGGAACCTAAACCGAAAAAGTACCAATAAAATATTCAGGTTTACATCGTCACAAGTGTTCAACTAAGCAACGACACAACGGATAATAAAGGAAAACTATGAAACAATCATCCAAGAAGCCACAATGATGGGAGTGACAGTTTGGATTTTAAAAAAAGATAAATTTCAATTGAAATCTAGATCAATACATTCCTTTATGGACCAGCAGGAATCAATCGTGATACAGTCTACATTCAAAATGGGTTTGCCGAATATGGGGAATTTGCTGCAGCAACGGGAGGATTCTACGTGACACCATACAATTATCAACAAAACGCTCTGATGGGAAATGTTTCTGTATCGGAGGTATGTTGTAAACTATAGCTATACTGCGTTGGTATGCACCTCCTTTCATGATTACCCTTTATGATTATAGGCTTTGGATATCGTTCACAATGTGATCACCACATCGTATCCTATTCACTTTGATCCAACACCCGATCCGACATACTATCACTCGGAAAATGGAGTATTCTACTTCACGTTCCGAACCAATGATACAGGTAAATCTTTTCTTCTTCAATATTTTCATCGTTCATCATTTTTAGCCGATCTCTCTTTTTTCATTTCATTTATTTTGCCTGAACCCAAGCGCATTGATTCATTTGAGATGACCCTCACTGATGCTGGGTTTACAAAGGTTTGACAGTAACAACACTTTTTAATAAGTAAACTACCAGGGTCATTTGTTTGGTACAACAAAAATTATGAAATTAAGTATGAAGATAAAACCTTGTTTTAGATCTACACGCTTGATCTGAACAGTACCAAATCAATGTATGCCATGCTGCAAACTACTTCAAATGGTCCAGTGCGCGGTGTTCGAGTAAGAAAATTGGCTCTATCCCAAAATAAGGGTCCCAGAAAAAATAAGGATTCAAACTCCAAAATTCATTTGCTATTTACTCAAACCTTAACCATAACCATAAGTATACTTTTAATAAAGATATTCCGTTCTACTCTACTTTTAATAAAGAATTTACCATCAATTGGCATGTCTCTACCTTCATTGATATTTCTTCCTTTCTGTTCGTCTTGAAGATGAGGTAGATCTGGGGGAATTGGTTTTGGATGAAGCGAATCCGGACGAATTGGACTCGGATAAGGAAGGATCCGGAACGATCTGGAAGTTGGTGGTGGTAGCTCTGGTCGTTTTGGGAATTGCAGGAAATGAGTTCGTTTGAGTTGAGCTCTGTTGTGGTGAATTCGGGAGAGATGGGCTTGGATGCGGAGTTTTTTCACTGGAGGGATTGCAATCGAGAACCAAAACTTCTAAAATCGCTTGAAAACCCCACTCGAATTCATCACATTGCAATTGAGGGTAATCTCTTCATTAAAAATATACCTATTGCTACAGTTAAGGTTTGAGTAAATAAAAATGAGTTTTAGAATTTCAGAGTTCGAACCCTTGTTTTTTCTTGGACCCTTATTTTGGGATAAAGCCAGAAAATTTTGTGATGCATAGATTGCATTCAGAATATGCAAACGAAAGTGATATTCAGGTATACGGTCAACCATCTTATCCATTATCTTTGGCCATTTCTACAGCAATTCAAGTCGATGCATCTCATCCACACGCTGTGCCAATTCAAGGAATATCACCAAGTACGAAAAAACTGCTGAGCCTATAGCTTCAAACTGATTGTGAATAATTTTTTGCACAACTCTTACCTACCTAAACCCCATTTATTATAGATGGACCAAACATGTTGGTAAGTGCGGGATTAAACATCTCAATGAGAGGACAAAAAGTGGGCAATTGGGTGATCGCAAAAAATGATGGAACAATGAAAAGAAATGATGGAGATACATGTCTGTATCAATCAATTATTGGAACAATCAAGAGTTGCACACAAGGATCCACATGGATTCAGGTAAGTAACATATAATCATATATTTTCATTTCTGATCATATACTTTCACTACATGTTAGCGAACAATTATGTAATGTGACACAGTGCAGTACTTGAGCAAAAAAACTCTAGGTGTCGGATGGAAAAGAAGCAGAAAGTACAGGAATGATTCCATTTTATTGTGGAGATGCAATTTATGGTGGGATTTAATTAAAATTATTTGAAAATGAATAATTTTTTTAGGAACAAGCATTCCACCAAACATTTTCGACAATCATCAGAGAAATGATGAAAAATGGACACCAAAAAGTAGAGCGGATACGACCAGTAAGTATTAGCTGTTGAGGATAATATTTTGGAATGATAGATTCTTGAGATAAGTTGGTTGCGTTTATTTTGAATGCCAAAAAAGGGTTGCTTTCAGAATGCTTTGAACCACCGGAACCGGAACGAACAAAATATGTGAATCAGGGAAAGCAGATCATTGGATTTGTTATCGAGGACAATCCAAAAATCACAAACGATTTCTTGATAGGTGGGAAATAAAACTAACATTAGAGCAAACTAATTTTTAGGCCCGGGTAATATTTTTGGGAAGTTTCTTACCATTTTCACGCCTGATACTATTGCTATCACAAATGTTGTCAATGGAGACAAAGGATATACGGTAAAAAGCCAAACTACAGTCGACTCACTCTATAACGGAATGGAAGGGACCAAAAAATTTTTCCGTTATATAGAGTGCCGTTATATATAGCTTAGCGTCGGCCCGGACCAAAGTTTCATTCCGTTATAGAGAGAGTCGACTGTATTGATATTGCTGAGAAATTGATTCAAGTTGGGGAGACTATTTTAAAACGAATAAATTTTAGTTTTCTGCTACTGGAGACATTGGCACTGTAATGGGCAACATTTTGAATAATATTGGCTCAGAAAACCCATCGACAAAAACCAATTTCTACAATGCCATCAAAAATGCAACAGAAATCAATCGTGACGCATTATTCTATGATTTGTTTGTGGTTGGATTATCATCGAGTGTGTTTGAGTTTACTGAGACAACTCCCGAATTCGATATGTTTGGCTATCTCTACAAGCAACGGATCAGGGTGCGGGAAGATTTGTGTTGAAAGTCTCATTACTTATTACTCATTCATTAGAAGTTCATCATTCAAAGTTTTGTTATTTCTACATTGAAAGCTAAATTTACGATAATTTTGAGATGTCACTTTTGCAGAAATCTGCTTTAGCTTCATTGGTTGTGGATTAAAAACGAAAGTCCCACTCCTACTCCTACTTCCGCTAAGGAATTTGATGAAGCCTCAAAGAAATTAGCTGCTGGCACTGGTGGACTCTCACATCTTTTTGATAATGCACAAGAAGCGGCAAAGGTAAGTGTTTAAAACAATACTTTGCTTTTACTAGCTAAACATTTCAGTTCATCAACAACTTTGATTGGTTTTTCGGAAAAGAGTTGGTGTACAGTCAAGAATTGAGTGACATGATTGAAACCATTACTCCATTACAATTACAAATCAATGAAACGATTTATGTGGTTCTTGATAGTTCGGCTACGACAATTCGTGAGTCGCCTTTCAATCAAATGGATCATTACAAGAAAATTTTCAGCGGATGTTGCAATCAGCGGAAATGATCTAGGAAAAGTATGAGTATTCCCCAAGTGACAAACAGATGCAAATTTTCCAGTTTGGACCAGTAACCACTTCCAGTAATTTTTTGTGTTCTTTATAGATCAAAGCAATGATTGTAATTGTGTAACCAGTTAATAATTTCAGAGACCTATTACATGAAAATTTATTATCCAATTGTGAATGGAGAACATTTATCGATTCGAGTCTACACGACGGTTCCATCGTTGCATTCTATTGCGTTTGCTTCAGGGAATAAAGACGAAAAAGATGGTGATATGTATGGACCAATCTTTGGTTGGTTTTAAATTGAAAAAATAATATCAGTGAGATTTTTTCTAATTCAATACAGTATTCAAATCCAAATTAATAAATGCTTAGGTACTCCTATTCAATTTCCCGTTTTCGCTACCAATCTTGATCTTCTAACAGGGAATGCAACATTCACAATTTCTCTTCAAACAAACAGTGCCAAGGATTATGTAAAACTTTGAGTCTGTGCTGAGAAAATCAATGAAATTTCAGAAACCCCTTCAAACTAGCGGTTCTATTATCAAAAACGACTGTGACGGCGACTTTGCCTTTTTGTATTATTTTAGCTACAATTGGGTATGCTCTCAGCCGGGGAGAATTTATCAACTACAGGTTTATTTTAAAACAATTCAAAATTTATTTGATTCCTTGAGCTTTCCGAGCAGAAAACTTGGACTACAAGAACGTTTTCCTTTGTTTGTAATCAAGAAAATCCTGAAGAAAACAATTTTTGTGGAGCGCACGGTGAACCGGTGGGTTAGAACTGACAACTGACAACTGACAACTGAGAATTCATTGGCCGAACAAGTTTCGGCCAAAAAAGCTGGATATTTTGTCTTTTGGTATATTTTAAAGTCCAACTGGGCTTTACAGTTCTTTTTAAGTATAATGTGTTGACTTTGAAAAAATTTCTTTTAGTACAAAGATAAAGGCCTATGTGAATGTAAAGCTGGATGGACGGGGCAATTATGTGATATGCCTGATTGTCAAAATGATGGAATAGCTTTAAGTGGACATACATGTGATTGTCCAAACAACACAAGAGGATTCTTCTGTGAATATGGTAAACTCTCTTCATAGTAAAGAAAAATCTTTTCATACAAGCTTCATACAAATTTCATTGACACGGTTGCATATTTTTTCTAGATACAAACAAAACATGCCGTCCTGAAGATGTAATTTTCCCCGAATATCGCTCAAAAATTGGCTCTTTAATTTTCGTGATCGAGGAATCGAAAAGTGTTTGGGACAAAATTAAAACATGGATTGATGATGTTAATAAAATGAGTCGAGATGAATTTGAAGCTAAATTCCAATCGACACAAATTGTTCTCGTCACCCGTTAGTTTTGTAGCAATCGATCCAACAAATAGAAGAACTTTTCAGATGGAAATGATGGAATGAAAAGCAGACTTGCAACAACCGATCCAAAATCATTAAAGAATGCTTTGAATGATGGGACGAAATGGACAACTTATGATGGAACAACCAGCGAACGAGCCCTCATTACAGCTCTCAATTTACAAGTTAGTAACAAACAATCAAATGTTACCAATTTATATGATTTCATTTTGAGTAAAGCTTCAAAAGAGTTAGACTACTTTTTGCAGAAAATTTTACTTTTAGACAACCGATCGTTCTCTTTTGATTTGGGTGACATCATCGGTATGGGAAAATGGAAAACCAACTGATGATCCTCAGCGGAAACTCTTCAAATTGATTGCTGATCGAAGAGCTGATATTCGGATCTATATCACCGATCAAACAACACCGGTTAGCTAAATGGCTAAAAGTTTCAAAGTAGTTCCAAACTTTAGCTTGGTGGTGACCCGTTATTGAACAAATTGGGTTTGCTCTCTGTTTCTATCCCAATTCAGTTAGCTGGTGTTACTGATTTCCAACAGGTATTTTTTTCAAATTGTATCATCTTTTCTGAAGGCAAAAATATTATTTTTAGGTGATTGGAAGGTACATTTACCCATCATTGCCAAGAGATAATCAATTCGCGCCAATTTTGACAACTATTGACTACAGCTCCGATTGTTCGCCAGACAACAAAACGGTAAGCGAAATGAAAGACATTTTACAACCTTGAAAGGTTGCTTTAACTACGTAGATTAATCCCCCCCCGCGTCGCGCGACGAGGTTCTTTTTGCAAGCCCCGTACCAAAATGCGGCAAAAAACCCGAATTTCGCATTTTTGTATCTAGCGCGCATTGTAGCTAACCAATGTCGGAAAACCGTCCAGCTAGACTCGCACCCGCCGTCATTATGGGGTGGGCTACAGGTATTGCTAAAACTTCTGATTTTAGCTGTTCATTCCCCAAAATTCGGGCTGGTTTCTTTCTACTATTGGTTTGGAAGTCACAGTCGCCGCTAGTCAAAAAACCCCAGGTTTAAGCTTTTTCATTGATTCTTTTGAGAATTCAAAAACTATTGTTAGTTTTTCAGTTTTACCAACACCTATTGTACCAGGCCTACAATCATTTGGTGAGAAAATAGCTTTATTTTTGCCCACAACAAAAAGGTTTAGACCGACTTGAGAGTGGAACAAGTTACACATTCACATTCACCCCATCTAACGAAGCCGCCTGTGGATATTCTATTGAAGTTCTGGGTGAAGAACAAGTTGCATATGGAATTGCGAGTAATGACGAGGATCAAGAATCTCTCTCTTCAGTGATGAATGCACAATGTTTGTTTTGAAATTGAAAGCTCTTTGTTAAGTAAAATGTGGTTTTTTAGACTAATCCGTTGAAACCTGTAGAAAGATAAGGTAATTTTCACAAGTTTGCATGTTTTGGAGAATGAAATAGTCAAAATAGACTTACTTTAGTGTTTTTTTGAGAGAAATTAATGGAAAATGTTAGCTCTTCAAATATTGATGTTTTTAGATGACAACTACCTGAATATAAAATGGAATGGAGCTATTGTGTCTCCCTATACCGACCCTGAGTCTTCTTATGCAGCTGATGTCAGTGCTTGAAGTGACACTTTGAGCAATTTGATTGAATTCTTATCGTTTATCATTTCCATTTCAGTTCTTCCAAAATGCACAACAATGGACGGTGACCGAGAATGACAAAGCCCTTTACACAATCGATTACACAATCCCGGGCACCAATCGTGTTGCATTGAATCACAATCTCAGCGATACTCAATGTACTTACCCATTTTTACCAAAAATGCTTTTGTGTGAAAATGGCACTGAAGGATTTGTGATAAGGGTTTGTAAAATACAATTGAATCTTCTGAAGTATTGCATTTCAGATTAATTCCCCATCAAAAGAGGATGACACAAAGGTTGTACAAAAGATGACCTACATGCCATGCATCAATCTAACAACATGTAGGTGAAATAACTTCAAAATAATGAAACTTTCACAAAAAAATAATTTTAGGGTGTAAAAATGGTAAATATGGTGGAGAAATCTGTGATTGCGATAATGGATGGAGTGGGTATGATTGCACGGTTTGTAGTAGAACATATTTTCGATTTTGAAAGTAACTTTGCACTTTTTATCATTTAACACGACACGGAAAACAAAAAAATAAGCGGATTGTTTGTAGATTTCGTGCCCGAATTTCATTTTTCTCTTTAGATCCCAACATGCGAACATGGGGGAATCCGTGATGGAACTGTGTGTAATTGTCAGAAAGGTTTCATTGGACCATTCTGTGAACGTATTTTAATAAGTCTAGTAAAAGAAAAGGTAAAACTTTCTAGCACCCCCCAAATATGAACTTTGCACAATGAATGCTCGCCTTGATATCATGTTCATGATTGACGGATGTTTTTCTGATCAAGAAGATATTACTTTGGTGAGTTGGTTTCAATGTTTTTCCCAAAAATAAAGCTAAAGAAGGAATACCATCTGAAACAATCTAGGTGTACGATGTACTCACAAATTTCTACGAAAAACTCTCAATGTCAAAAAATATTGTGAATGCGTCTGATTTTTGTAATGATCAAAGCCAGTGGAAAGAATGGAATACAAGGGTTACAGGTAAGGAAATAATCAAATCATTGGGAGATTCAAGGCAAAATAAAATGAGTAAAAGTTTCCCTTACAATTAGTTATTTGCTAATTTTTAGGAATTATTTTCAATTTTAGGTCAAACATATTACAAAGATACATACAAAGGAGTTCTCCCACAATTCTGTCAAGATCAATCACTTCTAATTGCCAGTACAGTCAATGGCTTAAAGCCTGGCTCATTAAATGTTACTTCAATGCAAAAGTGAGCGCCTCTTTTATTTAAAATTCTTTTTTAGAATCACTTGGTTTACTAGATTCGGTTTTCATGATGAATCTTTAGAATCATCAACAGAACGAGTCTTTTCATTGAACAGAAGGGATGTGTTTGTCGAAGAGGAGTGAATCTAACCGACTATAACGTGGCTGCAAAACAAGTCATGATTTGGATGCCATTGACACCAAAGTAAGTTTTTTACGGAAAAAGTAATCTTTTACACTAAAAACAAAGTTGTATCTTGATCAGTTTCTAATATTATGAGCTTAAAAGTTCTTCTCTATTAGGCTGGCCGACTAGTCCGAAGAATTTTTTATTAACTTTTAAAGTGTAATTTCTCAAAAACCCCACCATCAATCTTTCTGAAAATTTTATAGTAACTTTTAATAAAGGTAGAAAGTTTTTTTGCCAAAAGATGAGTTTTCCTTTTCCGTGTTACTTTTATAAAATAGAAAAAAAGTGATTGCAACAGTAAGTTAAAATCTATTTTTCCAGCGTAAAAACAATATTCAAAATAAATGGGTGACCACAAACCCATGTCAGAATTTTATTATGTCTGCTTTTAGCCACACACTTTCGATAAAGAAGCTCATTTAAAGATTTTGCTTTTTTCGAGTTTTCGATTTTTACACTGACAAGTCAAAAGAAAGATGCGTTTTTTAAAGCTAAAGCTTTATATGAAAAACGGTTCCACCAGAAAAGTTTCCAGTCTTGTTTACTTCATTCTGTTTTTGAGTCCATCATTTTATCTAAAAACTGGACTATGAAAAGACTCGATTGAAGACAGTTCCCTCAAAAGGCGCCAGGAACCAATCAACTAATGAAATCTTCAAATCTGGCTGCTAGATTGCTCTCATATTTTGGCAAAAACTTTTTCAATGATAGGTTTTACTTGTTGCAAAATTTTAGAAAAATTGATGTTTTGGTTTTTGAGAAATTGCACTTTAAAAGTTGATAAAAAATTGTAGGAACTTATCGGTCAGCCCAAAAGATCTTATCTTAAAAGCTCTTATTTCTTATCTTACCATAAAATTTTTGATTCTCTTGAGTTTTTTTGGTCGCAAGGTCAAATTTTTCCACTTTTTAACTAGGCATTTTTGAGCAAATCTGGCCTCAAATTCGGATTTTCCATGTATTTTTCAGTCTAAAAAGTGTTTTAAATGTGTTCTGGCACGGCACGCGTACACAACTCCTCAAAAAGTTCAAAAAAGGCCATTTTTGACTGTTATTTGGTCATTTTTAACCACATAATATTAAAAACTGATCAAGGTACAATTTTGTTTTTGAGTGCAAGTCGATCTATCGATCCCACAAAGAGAAAAAAGCTGCACCGTCTAAATCATTTTGAGCGCTACTGCATATCAAATAGAAATCAGACATTGTTCAATACAAAAATTTAGGTATGGCGAAGAAGCACCAGAGTTTAAACGCACTCAACTTTACAGCTTTGTTCATTACCTCTTGCCTTATAAATTCTCACAGAAGGATGCTGATGTAAGAATAACAAAACGAACCAAAAACTTCTTTTCAGGTTGATCCAAATTCGATTTGGCCAAAGATGGAAGAGATGAATTTGACACCGACGAAAAGCAGAAAAGAAATTGTGCAAGCACTATGGGATCTCGTTTGCAAGTGAGTTTCTCAATTTTGAAATGAATTGATTTTACATTTCAATACATTTCAATTTCTAATCAAAAATCATATTTTCAGTATAACTGGTAGCATAGGAGAACGACCAATTGCCCCAGATGATTGGACACCGCCTGAAATATTATTGGATCAGGATGAGGCTTTTCAATTGAATTCGGGAAGTTTGGAGTTTGAAGAAGAAAATGATCCAATTGAAAGGAATTCAAAGAAAGAAGAGACACCACATATCCTATCAAAAAACCGATTTGGTTTTCGATTTTTGGGATGGGATTTTTAAATGGAAATGAAGGGTTTTGTGTGTGTTTGTTATCTGTCCTTGATTTGTATTTAATGTGTTTTGTGTGGTTGAATCATGTGAATTGCTAAAGTTAATATATATTTGAAAAACAAAAAGATGCAAAGTTGATTTTGAAAATTAAAGACAACTTTTCACAAATTGACAGCCTAAAGTTAGACAAACATGCACAATTGAAAGAAAATTTTGCCTAGTTCATGTTGTTTTTGATATTATTCTCGATGCGGTCATCGATATTTGAAACAAACGAAAAATTGCGAAAACGAGAGTGATACGAGATTTTATAGCGAAAGAGAGATAAACATGTTTTTCTCGGTGCACTCTCACGCCTCATTTTTACTCGAATTTTTGTTGACAACCGCTAGACACATTTTCTTTTTTTTCTTTGTATACCTGGTTAAAATTTGAGATCGTTCATTGATAAGTAACCTGTAATCCTTACAACATACAGTCTCTACATTTGACATGTAGCTTTTAGATTTTGGACTTTTGGCGATAGCTTAGAGTCCAACCATCTCTCAAGTTTTCTTGTGAGAAATTGACCAATCATCGATCTTCTTCTGTTAACGAAAGAATGAATTTTTGTGTAAATTAGAATGAAAGCTACCTGAAGGATCTGACCCAAAAAGGAAAGATGAGGGAATGGGTAAAGAAGAAAATAAAGGAGATGAGAAAAAAGGGGTTAGGAGGGAATAGGGAGGATGGGGAAGGGGAGGGATGCAATGGGGAGGATGGGGACATGGACCGGTTCTCTTTTCTTTTCTTTCTTTTCATCCACAAATGACGGGTAGCTCTAAATTTTCTTCTTCTTTCTGTCTTCAAATCCCTTATTTTTGTTATTTTGTGTGTTATTACACCTCTTAGAAATCAAATTTGACTCACTTTTACTTGAAATTAATGCCATTTGAGTTTCTTGTTTTGTGCTATAGGCCAATACCTTTTCAGCTTTAACACCAATCTTTCCTATTTGGATATTGACAATCAGCTCACTTTTAGTGCATCAAAAGATGAATGAATCAATAACTAAACTCCGTGAAGTTCTTGGATCGAATCTTTCACAAGAACATGACACTGAATATCATTTGAAGAGATGGTTAACAGCTTATAATAGTGTTGGTTAAATGAGTCATTGTTACAATCAATTGTTTAGAATATTGAACGAGCGAGTATAAAATATCTGGAGTACTCAAAAATTCGGCAAAACTTGGGATACGACAGTGCACAAAAAGTGGAAAAATTCTACAAAGAACAAGGTTGGAAAAATTTCAGAGAACGGAATATCGAACGAATTATCGTTAACTCATAAAATAATTGATTAATCATTTTCTTTTCAGAATCGACTTCTTGTGGCCGCTTCTCTCGTCAAAGCCCCTTGGATATTTCTTGGATAAACAAAAAAGATAATGGAATTGTTTTTGTGGAAATGAGTGTTGAAGATCCAAAACGAGTGAAATCATTTTTGCATTTTTAATTCAAGTGAAAAGTTTTAGTTTGTGAAAGCAGTGAGTGTCGATGAATATCTTCGGTCATTTATGGGATACTGCGAATATTTCCAGAATCTTGTACTTGAACATGAAAAGAAATCTGGGAGACCGTCACATGGAATTTGCATTTTTGATATGAAAGTGAGTTCAGCTTAAGTATTTGATAACATTTTCTTCACAAAGCATTTACAGGGTATGGCAGTTGGACCCTACATGAATCCAACTTCGGCAATCAATTCACTCATGCAGGTTTGTGATAAAAAGGCCACACATCAAATGAGATCACTTACAGGCTAGGATAAACATTTGGCTTGAGTACTATGCAGAATTGCTGAAACAGGTGATTATCGTCAATCCTCCAATGATGCTATCTCTTGTTTGGAAGGTACTTATTGCTTGATAAGTAAACGATAAGCAAGAAAATTCATACTAAAGTTCCTAATTTTAATATAATTTCCTAATTTTCTAATAGCCTGAGCCTGAGCACTTATTCAGGTAGCTTCACTTCTTCTCCCTTCTCATGTCCATTCTCGATTCGCATTTGCCTCAAAATTGCCCTCACATCTTGAAGAATATCTGGATATAAAAGCGATTCCACAAGGATTTGGTGGGAATAGAATGGTAAAGATTTAAATGGCAAAACCTAAAGATCCGATACAATTTTTAGCCTCCACCCGGTTGTTTGACAAATTGCTCTCAACCAGCTGAGAAAATCACTGAAAAAGACGAAATGGTCAGTAATATATAAATTTTGTTGTAGATTTTCGGAAAACTTTAGAATTTTGATGATTTCTGGATATCCCGGGGTTTAACTCCAGATATGAAATCGGTGACTGTCAAAGCTGGAGATGAGACTGTCATCGAATTTGAATCTGATGGAAAATGTCTCACTTATGAGATTTCATTAAATGGAGAGGCACAATGCTGGTTTCAAAAAGGTTTTTGAGATAAATTAACTAACAGAAATTAAATTTCATTCCAGATGACGAGGATTTGACACCCCGATTCAAGTATTCAACCTCGAAATTACCCGTAACTGGCGTCGTTTCTATTAGGTATTTCTGTGTATAAGACTTTGAACTATTTAGTAATAAGTGAACAAAGTTGTTTCATGTTTGTGGCTATTTATTTCAATATTTTCAAAAGGATTACTATTTACGATTTTCAGAACCCTATCAAAATCTCCGATCATTCTTCATATTATCAACACAAGTCGGATATTTTCAATCAAAGCTAAAATTGCTGTGAAGATCAATTGAGACAAATAAATGTTATTTTCCACATTCAAACAAAAACAGAAATTATTTATCATAAGCTTTCATTTCATTTTCTTCTTTTTCCCATCATCATCGAAGATCTCATCCCTTTTGAACCAAAAGCGGCGAAACGATGGATATTTGATGGAGAAGAACCCTCATCCATATCACTCAAGCCGTTTGAAGCTGAATCAAATAAGATCGTTCTTAAAAAAGATAAAAAGCTGCTGAAGATTTAGAATTTTAAACATGGTAAACATGTATAATTCTAAAAGAAATAAACAAAAACACTTCACCGTAAAGCCTGCTAGATTTCTTTTCAAAGTCTAAAGCTGATTGTGAGCAAATCCAGACAACAATTTTTCGTTGGATACATGAACAACAAAGCTTTGTTAGTCGATAAGATGTGGGTAAGTGAGTACATGCATCACACATTTCCCTCAATAATCAATTGACTGACCACCATTTCTTCTATGTATTCTCGCTGCTTTATGAAGTGTTTCAAACATCTCGAGCGGAATTCCAAATGAAACAGGCATTGAGAAAACCCTTTGATCGTCCAATTCATCATTATTTTTCGTTCTTTCTTTTTCCATTGAATCGTGCTTATTTGTGACTTGTTTAACTAAAGTCATAACATAAAGATAAACGATATAAAAAGCCAAAAATCACGAATGAAGCTAATAAATCAAATGTGAAACAAAAAGCCTAATTGAATGAAACAAACCATATAATGGACGGCCATATCCACCACGGAATCCATCAATCGGATGAATGAAAGAAAGAAGAGAAAATAAAAAGATTGCCATAAATAATTGCATCTTCTTATTGATTGATCTCCTTGGGGATTACTGTAACTTTTGGAGATTTATATGTCATTGAAAAGACACGTAAAGAGGAAACTCAATAATTAATGCTAGACTTAAAAGCAATTATCGTAGTCTCAAGAAACAATCACTAAATTTTTATTTGACATTTTCTAATATTTGTATCGAAGATTAATTTGGATTATTTCCATTTTTCATTCAAAACTTTTAATGAACTTTTTTATTAAATGGTTTTCTGCTGAACACCTGTTCACCCGGAAATCATGACGTCAATCAGATAAAGTTCTTCTAAAAATTGCAAAGATATAAAGCTGGTAAGAATATTTAAAAGGTCTACTATAATAAAGCTAAATACAGCTAAATTCAAAACCTCAATTCAGAGCTAAGTTTTGTGTGTTCTTTTCTAAAGATTTCCCACCTCCTTTTCCCATCAAAGGTGTCACTAATCTTATAATCTCAGCCCGATGAAATTGAATCTCACACCGATTTTTCTTTTGAACTCAAAAAAGAGAAAATGATTAAATTCACGCACATTCAATACAAAAAGGACTTTACATTTTAAAAGAGAGGTCTCGACAATTTTTAGCCTTTAGAGGTTTTTGGTGTTCAGCTGGGAAAATGTTCGTGATGGCGGACACAAAATTCTATGAAAGATTTAGAAGAATGCGCGGAATGCACAGAAAAGAAAAGGTCTAAAATAACAAGAATAAAATAAAATCAGTCTATTTAGACTGCTAGATGAAGACTCATAACGAGGGTAAATGGATACTAGATAAATGGCGGGAGAGATCCAAGTCTAATATTGCTAAAAGAAGTCACAATTACACGAGAATTTTTTGAAATCCATTTAAATTGCAAAGAAATAAAGAGAAGATGTCACTACATCGGATCTCCAGGAAATTGATGAAATGAAAAACGAGATACGAAAAAACAAAAACTATGAAGAAAAATAAAAAGAGTGCACAAAATCAACATTCTAGTGAAAAGCACTAATTATATGAAGATGTGGTTCTAGTTTTACAACTAGTAAAAGACTATCATTTAATATCTCTAAGCTTGATATTAACAATAGTTCAATTATAAAAATAAAACAATAGTTACATATAAAGTAAAAATATTGGAAATTGGCCTTCTTGAAACTGGTAATAGGCATTGGGGTTAACTGGATTGGCTGATTATGTGAGTAACGATTTAGAACTGGTTTATTTAATGGAAAACAGTTCTAAGTCAAACTAATCTTACCATTAAACAGAGTTTGACAAATTATTTTATTATTTTGTGTGCACATTGGAATCTTTCTGTAAACACATTCGGAAATCTTTCTCCAATCGTCTGTCATTTACCGTATACACGCCATATTTTGTAATTTGATCTGAAAACTAATCTTGTTTTCTCGCAAGGATCTCATTTCAATGAGTGCAAAACGATATCCTCTAAAAGTAACCCAAACCAACCAAGAGCTTTGTGAGGGATGAACAGGCGTCCTTCCTTCTTCTCCCTTTCCTCCGAATGTCACCCACCAATCATCATTTCTTTATCCACCAAATGCCCACCTCAAATCTCAAAGAGAGAATCTTTTCTTCATCTCGTCCAAACTTTCACTCCAACCCACGATGTAACCAGAGAACTGATAAAAAGTTGGGTCCAATCTCTTTTGTCGATAACCACCCCCACAAACAACTGATTACCAGTTTTTAAATGAAAAAGAAATTATCACTAGTCACATTTTGACACAGATGCCTTGCTCAAGGTCGAACAAATCGAGAAGCCCTTTCTATAGCACTAACTCTTTCTCTTAGCCTTTTCTATATATATAAAGCCCTTTCTATATATATATAAAGCAGAAGCGACGTCTGTCCGTCTGTCTGTGTGCAGCCATTGAAAAAAAGTGGCGGGACTTAGATTGCGTGGAAAATGTGAGCCTCCCCAGTGGAAAAGGCGACCGTTAGTGAGCGTTTACCGTTAGTTTTTAGTAATTTCGGACAATCATGCTAATTTTTCATCAATTTACAACTTTGTTGCAATGAGATGCAACAATTCATGTCAGGAATTGTATTTCAATTCTAAAAAGTATAATAGGTGAAACAACCGGTTTAGTAAAGCGGCAGCGTAGCGGGTGCCCAACGTAATTGGTGTACTATAATAAGCGTTTTACCCATAAAACAAAGTCTATGATTGAAGTTTCTTATTATATTATACAAAACTTTCGTTTTTGCTTTTTAATTGCTTGATGTTTTTTACTTTTACAATTCCTCCACAATTTTCTTTGCTACATCTATTTTTGTGTAACTACACACCATGCTATCCAATCGATGCTCTTTAAAGTGTTCGATTGTTTCTCGTGTCATTTATCACTCTTGGTCCCTCTCGACTTTTGTTTCGCTTGATCCAAAAATCCGGGTCGAGAATCAAACATAAAGAAAAGAAAAGAGAAGTGAGAATGATCATGTTAAAAAAAAGACCAAAACCGAGGGACCCTAGCTGTCTTTTGTTATTTTCTTTCCTCTCTTTTCCACCTCGTTCTCCTCCAATCTCTTTTCACCAATTGAGAGGGATAAAGAAAAGGTTTACAACGTGATCCCCTCTAGATCGTTTCTTCTAAAAGAGACCCAAACTCTCTTTAGATCTGGAAGATTGAGAGATTGGATGAAATGAGAGGATATTGAAGGAAATCTCTCTTTCACACAAAAAGGAGGCGTGGGATATTACTCGATTGGTTTTTGGGGAAATGGGGAGGATGGGGGATGGGAAGGATGGAGAATCTGACAGAATGGACAGGATCGGGAAGAGATCCCAACTGATACAGAGCCACGTCTCATTCATATCTACGATATCTTTTTTATTACTTTATTTTTCAACAACTCTATTATAAATGGCTCGTCTCTCTGTTTTATCGTATCTTTAGCATATTGTATTAGATATCTACATGAAAGTTTAAAAATATTTCGTGTGTGGCTTTTTATCGCATCCCGTTTGCTGTTTCAAAAGTCATGTCGTCATTTCATCGTACATCAAAACGACAATTTTATTTCACAATGACGCGCATCTTTTGCCGTTCAAACAAACTTCGATTCCATTTTCGACATTTTGCTTATTGTGTTTCGCTTGTAATTTTTTACACTGATCATTTCCCTATTTTTGTTTGTTCATCTATTCAAGACGCCTCCGACTTACTAGAAAATTTTATTTTAGGGTTCCCGGAAACCTAAGCCAGAGAAAATGGCTGACGAGGTACGGTAACTTTTGTCAATTCATGAAATCAACTCAAATTTCAGGAAGCACAACGCAAAAATGCAGAGCGAGAGCAAAAGAAAGCCGAGGTTTGAAATTAAAATGAAACAAATGACAAGAACAGAAACAGGGAAAACCGAACAATTACCCCCACCATAGAACTATTACCCCCATCCATACAAAATCGCCGGTGGGGTGGGGGTAATTGTTCGATATCCCCGGAAACCAAAAAAGGAAAGTCAAACGTTTCTTTCTGAACTGAATAAATTTCACCTAGGTTTTCTATCAATGTCAAAATTCAGCTTTGAATAAAAACTTTAAAAAACAAGATTTTTCGAAGAGAAAGAACAAAAAGCGCCTTGCATAAATAATTTTATAAAATTTTCAATAACAATTTAAGTCCGTTTAGGTCCGCAAGCGGCTCGAGGAATCAGGAAAAGCTGGAAAGAAAGCAAAGAAAGGATTCTTGACTCCCGAAAGAAAGAAGAAGCTCAGAGTAAGTTAAAAATAAAAAATATAGAGGAAAGAAATTTGGAATATTGATTGAATAAGTGTTTGGATAAAGTCTATGCAATATTACAAAACTATGGTTTATTCCAGAAATTGCTCATGATGAAGGCGGCTGAAGATCTCAAGCAACAACAATTGAAGAAAGAACAAGAGAGACAACAGGTGGGAAAAATGAAAAGATTTTAATAGAAAACATCATTTAGCATTTTTTTAATGTCTTTCATTTTAAGACAGGTTAACTGTGGTCAAGATCAGCAGTTTTTAACAACTTTCTACCAACTCTAGTAGTCTTTTTGTTATCGAACATTCAATTCAATTGCAGGCTTTGGCCTCTCGTTGTCCCGCTCTTGTTGATATCGATTCGATTGAAGATCATGGAAAACTCGAATCGATCTATAATGACCTCTTTGCCAAGGTTTGCTATTAACACATTCTTGTTCTTGACCAAAGCATTGACCCACTGGTGGGCCATACGCAAATTTAGTACTTCTTTGAAGCCAATTGAGCTGAAAATTCGCAGTCAGGGGTTTTCGAAGGTAAGGAATTCGAATTCTTAGTTTTTAAAGCGAGCTGCTCTATTTTTAGATATTTCATTCGATTTAATTACCCAAATGCGACCCCCAAGTGCCAGAAGGCGCGCGATTGCAAAAACGCGAAAATTTTCATGTTTACATAATCGCGCCGGTTCTGGCACACGGCCTTTCGGGATATAGGACAGAACCCAAATTCGGTTTTGCCTTTCCTCTCCATTTTGTTCTCATTACCCAAGTTTTTAGAAACTTTTGCGACCATAGCGGCGAGCGACCGTAGTGGCTCGCTTAAAATCTAATAACGGATTCAGATTCACCATCCCCAGAATGCCCGCGGTTACAAATTTTCAGGTCTTCTCCCAGTAAGAAAAAGTCAAACCTAAAAAATCCCCAATAGTATAATTTGACCAAATGGATAGATATGCATTACCCTTTAAGCCAAACTTTTTTAGATCAACTTTAAAAAATTTTTACTGCATCAAATTTCATTAATCTTTTCAGGTGTGCGCCCTCGAGGATTCCAAATATGACGTCCTCCAGTTGGTCAAGGTGACTTTTCAAGTTTTATGAAAAAAATCAAGTTAATATTATCTAAGCGGGAATAGCTATCTTTTAGTTCAGAGCAATATACTTTTGTTGAGTTTTCAAGAAGTCATATATTGAAAATACTTTTCCAGGATGCCGATCAAACAATCAACACCCTCACCATTGAAGTGAACGATCTCCGCGGAAAATAGTGGGACATCTATCTATTGTTAACAAACTTTGACCCTACGAAAATTTTGAAAACCTTAGCTGGAGTTTGATTAAGTTTACGTTCACTATAAACTTTTTATTTGGTAGCTAAGTTTACTTTGATTGATTTAAACCGGTTAACAATCCTATCGCAAATAATTTCAGCGTGAAGCCAACCCTGAAGAAAGTGTCGAAATTCGACAATAAATTCAAGAAATTGGCTGCCAGCAAAGAAGGAAGTGAAAAACAAGATTTCCGGTAAGAAATTTAATGAAATAATGACAGCGAACTTAACTCTGCAACTAATAACTTTTAAACGACAATCTCTTCACAATTTGAATATCATCTGTTTAGAGCCAACCTCAAAGTGGTCAAGAAGGAAAACATCGAAGAAATCATGGAAAAGGTAATGGGGATTTGAAATGAAATCTACTATTCTCTAGGCAATACTTCCGTTTTGATTTCTGACAGAATTTTCCAATTTTTAGAAAGTGAAAAAAGACGACAAGCCTGATTGGAACAAAGGAGAACACAAGGAAAAAGCTGAGAAGAAAGAGGAGAAGAAAGAAGAGGTGAGAAATCGGGAAATGGAAAGAAAATAATCATTTAATAATTTAAGGTTGGCCGCTTAAAATTAAGCCTAGCTAAGAAAACTGCTAAGAACTGCTAAGAAAAATGCTTCACTGGCGATTTTTGGACAATTCCCTTTTCCAGGCCCCAGCACCCGAACCAGAGCCAGAGCCAGAACCAGAGCCAGCTGCTGCTGAACCAGCTGAAGAAGAAGGTGGGAAAGTTGTTTGAACACTGAGATGCAATAGCTTATCTACACATTAAAAACATATTCCTAGCATTGTATAATTCATTTTTTTTCAATTTCAGAAGGCGAAGAGGAGGAGGGAGAAGACGAAGAAGAGGAAGAATAAATTCAAAACAAACAACTCTAAAATAACTTTTCTTCTTTCCCATTTTCCCCTTTGTTCCCTTTCAAATTCCGGTTTTTTTGTGTGTTCTCATAACTTGTTCATTTCTTTTTACCAATTTCCTTTGCTTTTTTCCATTTCTTTCTCCCACAAAAATGTTTAGGTCTTCCAAATTAAGAACAAGAAAAGAGCATCTTAAAAAGAATGGGTAAAAACAAAAAAAAGGATGAAATTGATCGATGAACAATTATCCCTTTTGCTCGAGACACGTGTTTCTGATAAAGATTGCTTACAAAGATTGGTTTTAATGAAACAAATGAACGAACGTTACAAAATGGAAAAGCTACAGAAAAATGGAATGTTTTTAGAGTAGGTTGGAGAGGTTTAGTCTTACATTTAATTTCTAACTCTTATCGAAAAGCTTTCTGTAACCAAGTGACAGTACAGGGTGGCTGAAAAGTGCTGTCCGCACTAGTAGATCTGTCTCTATAATCAAACTCGTAAAAGCCTAAAATGTCTCAAATTTTAATGATTACACAATTTTTTACTCTACGCCAACCATATAAACCTGGAGATACGAGAACTACGTTTTCAAAAACCTTTTTTTTATTATTTCCTGTGAGCCAATACCGTTTTTCATTTTGGTTGTGTGCCAAGTTTTGACAGGGTGCGCCATAATTGTCGCAACAAGATAAAGTTCTGATTTTAAGACAGACAAGAGAAAAAAAAGATAATTTTTTTTAGCTGAATGATATTTATTGTACATTAACGATTATAAATCAAATTTCAATTCGAATCGACCACCATTAGCATTTGAGCAGGCTCGCCGGCGTTTCGGGAAGGCGTCAACGGTGGCGACCAAATAGGCTACATCGAGCTCTTCCCACCCTTTCAACAGTGATTTCTTCGAGCTTTGGCTTCTAGAACCGACCACACTGAAAAATCCATTGGGTTGAGGTCTGGAGAGCTTGGTGGCCACTCAGAGAAATAAATGAAGTCCGGGAAGTTGTTTTGGCAGAACTCTTAGACTTTCTTGGATTTGTGCGCCGGTGTGCCATCTTGAAGATAAGTCCAAATGCGATTTCCAAAATGTTTACGGGCCCAAGGCAAAAGCTCATCCTTGAGAAGAGCCAAGTAATTATTGTCCTTGAACGCGCGTGATACCTTGTTGCGACAATTATGGCGCACCCTGTACAATTCGTTCTCTAAACCAGTTTTGGTTTCCTTAAAGGCAAATTTTGTTAACCTATCTGAAAGAAGAATCATTTTTTTTAAAAACCATACCTAACTAATATCTATTTCCCCAAACAAACAAAAAAAAAAAAAAAAAAAAAAAAAAAAAAAAACCAAAAAAAAAAAAAAAAAAAAAAAAAAAAAAAAAAAAAAAAAAAAAAAAAAAAAAAAAAAAAAAAAAAAAAAAAAAAAAAAAAAAAAAAAAAAAAATTAAAAACTAAACCCCCCTTCCCCAAAATTTAAAAAAAAAAAAAAAAAAAAAAAAAAAAAAAAAAAAAAAAAAACACCACAAAAACAACAAAAAAAACATCCAAACCCAACAAAAAAAAAATAAAAAAAAAAAAAAAAAAAAAAAAAAAAAAAACAAAAAAAAAAAAAAAAAAATTTAAAAAAAAAACCCCCCCTCCATCCAAACCCCACTTTTTCCTTTATTAAATAATATTTCCCCAAATGAAAATTATAGCTTGTGGCCAACACTATTTTTCTTTTTTTTCTTTTTCCAAAAAGTCCGGCTCAAAATTGGCAGGTGCCTTCATCAGGCGAAATATTTTTACTTAATGATTGAAAATGAAAATGAAACGCTCAAATGAAAAATTTTTGATTTGAAGATACTTATCTGTTGTCCAAATCGAAATTTGTTCTGCTTAATTTTGTGCTACTTTAGCACCATTCAACATTAGACTTACAGTCAAAAAGGAAGGCATTCTGGAGAATCTCATCTTCATAACTTACCATAACAAATGTTCACTCTCATCAATCTCCATAATGATATTTTTCCTGTCCACGTTGAGATCGAATTCCTTCTGTTATATGCGGTAAAAATAATTGGAGGAACTCTGCAGATAATCTTGATTATTACCTGGGCAAGATTATATCTGACAGTACATGTTTGTCAAAAAGAGCGGATCATTGTAATCATTTTTTAGATGGCTCATCCAAACAATACATGGTTATTCATTGTTGTTCTCACAGTAAATCTCCCCCCACAAATACTTGAATATTTTACAGTCATGCAGCAAATGGGGATAATTCAAGTTGTCGGTAAGTTAACTATGTTATACGGTATTGTAATAAAGTATAATACTACATAGAGTACTAGATAGACTTCATAACCTGAAACCTTATGTCACATTTACAAACGATTTCTTAGGTAAAGCTGATAAAGATCTAATATTTCAATTATATAATTTATCTCGTGTCTGGACGGTTTTCTTCGTTTATTTCATCAATATTTCCGTTGCATTAGAGAGATTATGTGCGATCATTTATCTAAATGATTATGAACGAGTTGTCAGACCGCAAATATTCTTTGGTTTACTATTTTTAACAATAACTCTAGCTACTTGTTCTAGTTATTACCTATTAAATGGTGGGAGTATTCTAGATAAAATAACTTGATTTATCTTTTAGAATTAGGCGGTCTTCTTGGTTTGATCGCTTGTATGTTACTGTCTAACTTCTTCGCGATCACTGTAAGCAAATTTTCATGAAAATATCAAAGATAAATATCAATTTTAGATGTACTGGTATGCTGTAACAGTGACAAAACGTCAACACAATCAATTGTTTCGTCGAAGCGTTATCTGTATTTATTCGTTATCCGAACGATATCAGATTATCGAGAATTTTCGAGTTTTCCGGGTAAGCAGATGTAAAACATGGGCCCAATCAAAAGACATCTTTTAGTTATGCAAAAGTTTCTTCATCTCAGCCTCAACAATGAATATTTTTGGTTGTCTAATTTTTATCGTACCATATGTTATAAACGTTAATGATTATCAAACGGATTTATGGAAAGATATATTCATGGCTTTCTTGAATATGTAAGAAAGTTTTAAACTTGATTAGTACCAAAATTGGATAGTTTAAAATATTTCAGATATGCAATTCCCGTATTGACATGTCCAATATTTGCCGACAAGGAAATGAGAATGATTTTTAGAAGTTTGTGAAAAAAGGAGATAGGCATCCGTTTGTTAACTGCCTAAATTTACTCAAGAATAGAAGATCAACTAGGTCAAATCTTAAATGTTTTTGTGCTCAATTGCATTCAAGTTTCCATATGCATTTAGCTAGTTCTAGTTAAATTACTTATAATATACAATTCTGCTCTAACATTTTTTCTTTTTAATCAAATCTTCTAGATTCTTTTCCCTATTTTCATATTCATCGACCACTTCCACACGAGAAAACTCCGCCAAAAGGACCCGCCGAGTCAAATGAATACTTCAAGATGCTCAACTTACAATGGAATTGACAAGGAATCCCTTGATTTTGCCGATTACTCTTTCTTGAAGAAATCTGAATCATGCATTGAATAAAACGAGGCACTTTTTATTTACAAAATACTATTCAGAGATCAATCAGTTTGTGAGTTTTTCAAATAGTTATGCATTCAGTATGGCATTATTGTCTTCTTCTCGACAATTTCTCATCGCTTCTTCGAGAAAACCTAAAATAGGTAGTGTGAATAGGGATTTGAATGCTTAGATAAAGTTTATGTAGAAATTTGTAGCTTTTTAGCATGTATTATAATTAACTATTTCTGAATTTCTTACGAGAAGTACCCTCACCTTTTTTCATTTCTCTCACTATCACAGTCATCAATTTATTCCATCCAAGTCTTGCCACATAATTCTCTCCATTATATGGATTGGCCAAGTCCTGAATTTTGCATGTATTATTAAATCAAACTATTATGTAATATTTGCAACTCACCGCCAATACATCAGCCGTCAATTTCTGTTGCCCATTCGGTAAAGTTCCCTCTTTTTCTGCCGTTTCCCTCAATAATTCTTCTTCTCTTCGTTTCTCGAGTTCATGCAGAAAATCTTGCGGAATTGTTACCTAAAGTATACAAGTCCTAAGTAACATACAGTCGACTCTCTCTATAAAGGAATGGAAGGGATCGAAAAATGTTTCCGTTAGAGCTTTCCGTTACACAGAGTGTTGTTTTATATAGCTTAGCTTCGGCTGGAGCCAAAATTCCATTTCGTGATATAGAATTTTCCGCTATATAGAGTTCCGTTATAGAGAGAGTCGACTGTATTTAAGTATTGATTTGCGACAGAAAAAAATTCGAGCTTGATTTAGAATTCCCTTTTCTCCAACCTGATCAACAGTGACTTTCTTGAAGACCAACCAGTTCTCCGCCCCAAAATTCACTCCTCTAAAAGTTTATTTTGTTTAAATGGGTTAACTGATCTATTGCTTTAATTTTAACACAGTTTAAACACATTAGCGACCGTGTGTTTTTCGAACAACTTTCAACTTAGACCCCAGTCAGCCAATAAAGCCGTGAAACAAGGTTCCAGATGATAGCTTTCTTGTGCGCTTTCTTGTGGGTCACGCGGTCCCCAATGTGTTAACCAGTATTTCCAAAAATTAATTTTTGCTACCTATAGAAATGAATTTGTCCAACTCGATGTGCCATATCATAAATCGAAGAAATCGGACAAAATCCAAGCGATCCAACAGCTGTATCCAAAAAGTTTTGAATACGATGAGCCTGAAAATATCCTTGATCATACAAGGGATTTTTTCAGTCCCTTTTTCTACATTCCATCTAAATTATAAACATACTTGTAGCTGAAATTCTTTGACTTGAGTGAGTGCTTTCATATCAAGAGATTCTGAGTGAATACCAAAGTATTCCGCAAATTTTGGTCGTTTCTCAATCAACGTTTGGAGGATCTTTTTGCCAACATCTTCTGTTTTTGCTCTAAATCGATTTATTTGATTCAATAACTTGAATAATCCTAAGATATGCAGTCATTCACCCTAACTATAAGTAATAAAAATCTCTTGAAGGGCTCATTGTGAGAATCATTTTGGTTTTGAGGGAGATTTTGGGGTTTTGCTCAAAAGATTTCAAATTCTCTCACTTGACCCAAACTTCTCGAACTGCAGCAATTTCTTCATCAGTTAATTCTGGAGATTGCTCACGTTTCGATGAACATCCACCCATCTGAAATCGATCAAAAAGAATTTGAAAAAGGAATTTTCAATGGTGGATGATCTTTTAAAACATGTAAGCTAAAAAAACTTTTAAATCTTTTAAAAAAGTAAAAAGATATGGAGGTTATTGTGTTGTGCCAGTACAATTCTGTTAGATCCCCGCAAATACCGTATTCTCTCTAATAGTAGTGCGCACTACTATTTTTTTCAACCCTCTCCTGGACCGCAATACTATTAGAGAGTGCAAATACTATTAAAGAGTTTTATCATTTACCAAAGTAAGACAGATATCAGATTTGTTCCTTTCTAAAAATTTATTGGCTTCTGATAACAAAAAGTTAACTAGACAAAAAAATCTACAACAGAATCATCATCCTTATCCAGTTCAATATTTGTGAGTTGATCCTTTACTCCGTTGATTGATTGTTCGAGACGAGCATTGGCGAGAAGTGTTGCGCCTTCAGGAATCGGTCCTTCTTTTTTGAAGCAATGAATGCTACCATCGTCAGAGCCATCAGTAGCTGTGGTAATTGCACAACCCTTGAACGAGCTTATGATGAGGTTTTTTGGGAGCTCGTTCCAAGAATTCCAAACCCTTTCAAGGTAAGTTTCCATCGGTGGAGGAGCCGGGTTTCCATTCCGGGTCAAAGGTTTGGGTCCATTCATCATCCATCCCTCGTATTGTGCTCGAACCCTAGCCTTAAATGGTGCATTCCACATGACACCGGGAGCTTGTATGTACTTGGTGCATCCTCTGGGCACAAGAATCGAATCAATTTGCAAATCCTCTAAAGTTTTTTTGGTTGCTTCGCTTTTATGGGCAGAAAAGTTGTCCCAGACAATTAATCGTTTTCAGAACAGTGGAGCACCAAGAACCCTTCGAAGGTAGGACTCAATTGAAGTATCATTCATCCATGTAGACCCACTCCAGTGTAGCTCTAGCTTGTTGTGGAACTTTGTAATTACTTTAGGATTCGGTCTAATTCGATTCAGCGACACAAAGGGCCTACACTTGAAGCCATCATTACGGGCTGCTAACATCACGGTGATTCGCATCTTATCGTGACCTGTTGAAAGAATCGCCACCTCTTTGGATCGAGATTGAATTTTCGAATCCATAAAACGAGTTCCCATAGAGAGCCATACCTAAAGAAAAAGATTATTTAGACAATAGTAAAGGTGACCAACAAAAATTACATAATATTAAAATCGAACATGATGGATTATTTTCTAAGATTGAGCTTTGATAACAATAAAGTTTAGCGCCGCAAAAGTCAAGACAATTCACAAACTTTATACTGGTATATATGAGCAATAAATGACTATAGCTCTGCGCGAACTACGTAAGCAAATTTGAGCTAATGTGCCACTAAAACAACGTGTGGAAACAACAAAAAGATCTTTTTGCACTTTGCACAACAAGCTTAGATTTTTTACTAACTTTTTCAAGTGAAGAATGAACAAATTAACAAAAAACAAATGAATAAAAAAAGCTTCACTTTTTGTAGCTTGCATAAAAACATTAAGAATGTCATAAAAACATAAAGATATTCAGTCAAAAAGGTTTAGATGAAAAACAGCACTATAAATGCAAATTTTCAAGGGTGCACTACTATTAGAGAAAATACGGTATGTATGTCCCTGCTATACATTTCGAGTGTCCCCTTCTGCCTTTCATTTTCTTTTACTAAGTCTTTTTTCGACGTTTTTTCCACAACTTTCTTCGAACTTATTAGACATCAGATTCATTAGATCATTAAAATTGTTTTTATGTAAGAAATAAAATGATAACTAAATCAGTCGAAAAAGTTAAGGTTGAAGAAAATTATGGGCAAAAAACGTCGAAGGGCCACTTAGGGGGGCACTTGGGGGACAGAGGGGCGGGGACACTCGAAATGTATAGTCCCTGCATCAATCCTGTTATACCCCGCAAAATTTGCATTATTAAATGGGGATTGATGGAGGGACAAATTTTGCGGGCGTATAACGGGAAAGTATCGTGGTGCCTAGTAATACTAATGGTTTCAATGATTCAAACGGAATCTTTTCCCTGAATGCATTCCAAAGCTGAGAAAAGGCCGGCCAATCCTCCCTTGCCGCTCCTCCTTCTTTAACTGCTCATTTCAATTAGTGAAAGGGTTTTTTCCTATTCTCATCCATTGATCCTTTTAATTCTTTTCATCTGTTAAATTCTCCAATCAACAATTCAACAATGTAGATCTGAATTTTTGTGCGGGATCAGGGTTGTTGATCAGAACTTTTCGTGGAAAAACTTCAAAACTTTCCGATGCACTAAAAGCTTAAAAAACAAAATTATTTTTCTTGAAAAAGGAAAATATGTAGAATTATTTCTAGAATATGAAAATGAATTCTGAATTCTACACATTTTTCGAGAAAAATAATCCCATGCAAATTTCAAGAAATAAATATCGGAAATTCAGGATCCCAAGAAATCTTTTCAACGGGCCATCCATTCATGGCCATTTCCCCCAAAAAGTTCCAAAAGTCAGACGTTTTTGCTTGAAACGAAAAAAGGCCAAAAAGAAACCGCAATGTGAATTAATTGTGATGATGTCTATAAACAATCTTTAATACTGGTTGAAAGCTTTCTTTCTCCATTATCTCAATAAGGAAACACATGGGTGAATATTACTGAATAATTCACGAGAAGAACCCGTCTAATGGATTGTTTTGAAAGTATTAAGGGTGCTTGTAGATGAAAATCTTTTCTTACCTTTTTCTGCGAATATTTTCTTTCTCGATGTAATTCATAATTCCTTGTTCTCCATCGCAATAAAATAGGGAATATCTCACAACAGAAATTGAGAAAACGATTATAATTGAAAAGAGATGGACACATGAATCTGAAAAATAGATTTTAGGATGTTGACAATGACGAATGAAAGATACAACATGCAAAACTTTAGAAGGAATAACGAAGAAAAGCATAATCCGGCTCTATACTGATAACGGAATCTTTTCTCAAAATATCGTGGTCGTTTCCCGGTTTTTTGTGTGAATCCTAGAATTGTGGTCCAATGACAGGTTCAATGAATCCGCTCATTGAACTTGGACATTGGATTCCTAAGATGCTTTCTATAGAATAGACGGTATTTGAAGTAGACTATGACCGAGGCTAGACTATGGTTCCACATGTGCTAAAGTACTGGCTTAAACTGCCCTGACCACATCTTCGTAGTGTTAGCGGCCACGAAAAACTGGGAAAGCATTACGGATCTGGCTGTGCTATGATTTGCCCATTGAGCAACGATTTCAGGATAGAATCAAAAGTTTTTTGTGGCCAGCCTTTCTTTGTACCATATATTCGAATCAGAAAATAATCCGGGAAACGATCCCGATATTTTTAAAAGGTCCGCTATCAGTATAGAGCCTTAAAAATGATACCAGAAATAGAAAAGAATGAGAAAAAAAGTGTTTTCATTGCATTCAATTCTGAAATGAACTCGCTATAAAAAGAAGAAATGGAGTTAAATCGAGTGAGAAAAAGTGAGAGAAGAGACACCGGAAATCGTCTTCATTCCAACTATTTCAATCAAAGGTTTGTATAAATTGGAAATTTTAAAACATTTAAATCAAAATATTTCTTGTACTATAATATTCTTGTATTTTGTTTTTGAGGACATCAAAAAAATTTGCAATCGCAATTTTATAAAATTTCTTTGGGAATTTTCAGTAAACATTCAGTGATGTCATGTCGTTTCTTCCAATGAAATTTTTTAAAAGAGATCTTGAACAGGAAATTCGTATCAAGATTTGGATTTTATTTTTAAAATTAAAACTTCTGAAACTCAATTTTCTTGAGAAATAATACGTATTAGGGTTTTAAATCGAAAAGTAAATTTTTAATCTGGAAAGAAAGCCTATTCATACATTCTAAAGCTTTAAAAGACAAGCCGATGCATCATATTTTATAATAGATTCACTTTTAGACGCGGTAACTTGCAAAAACTACCATGATCAGGTCTCTAGATTCTATTTTAAGAACCTACGAACCTTACCGAATTAAGCCAAACGCAGGTTTATTGGATAACAACTAAGTTAAAATTACGATTGTTTTCGGACGTTGACACTTTGTTGAAGACGTACCGCACAAGAGAAACACATTACCTCGACAACTACATAATATCAATCCCCACAATCCTTTTTATCCATATATCAACTTCACCTGTGTCCATCTTATGTCAATGTATGTGTTAAGTTGTTTGATTGATCTCTTTCTTGTCCTCTCTTTCTTTTGTACATTGTTCTCCTCTTTTTTCTACAAACAGTCCCCTCTTTTTTCTTTGTTTGAAAGTCCAAATAATGTCTTGCGAACAACTCGTGAATAAATATTCGATTTTTTTGTCTCTTCCATTTTTCTACTTGTTCTTTTTGAAATTATGAATGGTACTCAAGAAAAGGAGAACTTTTCCAAGTGAGAGTAAATTTACAAAATGTGCAACAAAAGCGAAGGATTTTCACAAGAAAAAGTGAACCAACGAGGCAGGTTGGATAATGAATCATTAAAATTAAGAAAAGTTTGCATTTTCTCATTTCGCAGTTTTTAAAGTTGAAGGATAACTTTTTAACACATTGAGGCCCGGTTTGTTTTTTTGAAAGCTACCACTTAGGACCAGTAAGGCTAAAGGCTCGGAACTTTTTTTCCGAGGGCTTTCTGTGGTAAGGAATTTTTTGTGATCTAATTCATATCTTCAATTTACCCTTTTCCATCCGGGGAAGATTGGTTGAACGAAAAGAGATGCTTTTTTTGAAATCTCTATCAACAAGAGCATTTGTGCTATTGACGATGTAGTTGTGGTGATTTGAGCACAAAATAGAAAAATTCGGTCCTCTCTTTGCAAGTTTGATGTGATTTCCTATACGATGTTCGTGTTGCACAAATCCTGAACTTCATAGATTTTTTTATACTTTTAGCAATTTTGCATTCAATCTTATATTTGCATTCTTTTATTTACTTGAAATTGATTGTGTGAAAAAGTTCAACAGAAGAGTTATTCTGGGTTGCTTTCCGTTGACAGAAATATCATTTGATAGGATCATTATGAAAAGAAAATGAAATGACTGTGGGAAAAGAAAGAAAAGAAGACAACAGACCACAATCAAGAGAATAAAGGACAATAGAAAGGGAAAGAAGTAGTAAACAGACAAATATTTGAAGGGAAAAGAAGGGGAGAAGGGGCACTTTTGTAAGAGGACCTTAAAGAGTCTGACCCACAAAGGCCAGACATTTGATTTGAAGCAGTTTTGAAGTAGATTTAAGTAAAATTAAATAAAATGGCTGTACGTCACTGTTGCAACATCAAATGAGATACGGAGTGTAACAAGAGTATAAAGAGCGCACTTTAGAAAGGAATCGGGCAAAGAAAAAGGAAAACCAAAGTTGGTCGGAGAGTCATTGTCTGCTCTTTTTGCCGTACTTTGTGATCAAAATAAAGCACAATCAATTCACCATTCAACTTTCAACATTAAACCTTACAAAACTATCAATAAGCACAAACAATTTCCCTTTAATTTTCAATGTCATTCTCCAAATCTCACCTACAATACCCTACCCTTTATTTTCTCTCATGTAATCCAATCTTCATTGTCTTTTCTTTTCATTTTTGCAAGGGCACAAATGCCTTTTTGTGTGTTGAATAGAAAATGAGAAAATTGTGAAGGAAATTGAGGAGAAATTTTCGCGAAATAAAAGAAAAACGGTCGTTCCCAGAGGCGATCATCCCTTTCACCCAAAAAAGAGTCGCTCATTTTTGTAAACTTGAGATTTTATCCATTTACGTGAAAACTTCAAGTAACACAACAAATTCCTCCATGCTTATTTTACAATTGTCTCTTTTTGAAAACTTTTAATTTTAGATTTTCTACTTTTATTTGAATATAACAAGGGTTTTAAAAGCTCCAGTATTTATTCTCGACATGATTGACCATCCTGTCTCTTCCAAACGAGTTTGCCACAAATGAAAAATATAAAGTGTTCAGCTTAAACAAAAATGCACTTTTTGTCTTTTCAAGTTTTGCAAATTTAGAATAAAACCATTTGTCTGTGTACATTCGTGTATATTTTGTTTCTTTTTTTTTACTTTTTTCATTTGCCCCGTTTATTTATTTTTCTTCTTAAGTCTGCCTCCCCTTGAAAGCTACTTTTCCAATTCAAAAGCGATTCCCGATTTTTGACCATGTTCATTTATTTCTTGACCACCAAAGTTTGACTAGTAACAAAAATAAATATTCTTTTAAAAATCAGAAAGATTTTTGAGGAAAATGTGTGGGAGATGTTGACTGTCAGGTTCAAAAAAATGGGCGGAGTCAAAAAGAATTTCATTTTGTGCCCTCTTTTTTCCTTTTTTCTTTTTCCCTTTCACTCATCCAGGCAAGGGATTTTTCACAAATACCCACCCAGACTTTAGTATAAAAGAACAATTCTGCACGGAATTTCTATCGGAATTCTCATGATGTGGACCTTTGCTTTACTTCTCGCGTTGGTCGCAATCACGAATGCAACTCCTGGTAAGCTTTTACCTTCATTAAAAGTTTAAAGAGCTGAAATTGAAATAGAAATAGAAATTGACTTTTCAAATCAGGTTTCTGTAACACTTAATATACGTATTTTGACCTCCAGATTAGAATATTACATTAGAGAATAACCCTACTGTTACAGTTTTTAGAAAAAAGAGAGTTTAAGGGCAATTTTTGGTGCCATGGAACCTTTAAATACCCCGCGAAAGGCCATGTTTTTAAAGATATTCAGTTAATCACTTGTATTCATTGAACATCTTTAAAGGATTGGCGGCTAAGCGAAATTTGTATTTAAGCGAGCGTTTTGTCAAGTAAATTTTCAATTAGGAACTGCATATTTTAAGTTTTGTGAGGCTGCCGCGAGTATATAAAGGTCCCAACCTATTTCTATGTGGATCTGTCCCTTTAAACCATAAAATTCTTTAAAAAATTCAACGATATTTATAATTAGCGTTTAGACCCAGCCAAAATTTACCAAAATCTCAAATTACAGGGCCGGCGATGATCGATGAAACAACACGATGGAGTCAATGCAAAGACACCAATCAAAGCATTTACGATTTTCAGGTTTATTTTTTAAAAAGCTTTAATTAATAGCTTTTCAAAACAATTTAGACTTTACCATTTTAGCTTGAAACTCTTCAAGGTGAATACACGGATCTTTCGCAATACAAAGGTCAAGTCCTTCTTGTCATCAATGTTGCCACATTTTGCGGTGAGTTCTTGAACTTTCAAAAGTCAAAATTTGTAGGACTTTTTTATTTTAGAAAGATTCAAACTTTCACCAAATTTCCAAACTTTATTTTTCTCTAATATCTGGTGTTTGTTAATGGGATTACCTAAACGTTTTCCCTACTCCGTCCCCAAAAATAAGTAACCGGTTTTGATCAAATCAAGTCTATTCATTCATGTTTCAAAAATGAATGTCGATAGATTTGAACACAGAGATAGAAATTTAAATTTTCCCCGGATCGAGTCACGTAATCGAATAGAAAAACGAAGAAAATTGAATGTTTTCTATTAGGAATACGTGAAATTTTGCGCCTCATAAATTGCAGAGAGTCAAGGTCGAAAACATGTTCAAGTGCATGAAAAAGAGAGACAAATTGTTGTAGGAAGGGAAATCTTTGAAATGTACAAGATAGGAGAATGAGTAAACTTTTGACAAAATCGAGATTGATCCCAGAAATTAAGCTGTGGGTGTTATGAGATATAATACAATTTTGGTGGTTGGTCAAGGAAAATTCCATAATGGTCGGAATAAAGTAAAAACTACCGTAAACATTCTATATAGAGCCGGCTTTTTTCAATGTCCCTCTTAGGCTTAGGGACATTGAAATATTTTTTAAGCCTAAGCCTTAAATTCTTTTTAACACCCTAGCTACAGTATACCCAAATTTTCAAGAGGGCAAAAATGAGCGTTTTTGTCGTATTTTCATCCGGTTTTCGACGTCATTAAGCTTTTTTAGTCTATAACTATCATTTAAAGCCTTTGGAATTCTTTAAAAAGTTGAGCATTTTGCTACCCGAGAGTTGACAAATCCGAAAAAATTAAAAATTTCGTCTAAAGGGGGTTCTTCTATAGGAGGGCGCTCTTCTAATAGAGAGGGATCTTCAATTGGAATAAATACTGTATGCAATTATCTATGACGTGAAGCTTTTATTAAAGAGCTTGGACTTCTATAATACTTTTCAGCGTACACGCAACAATACACAGATTTCAACCCATTGATTGAGAAAAACGCAAATGGTGGATTCACAATTCTCGCTTTTCCATGTAATCAATTCTATCTTCAGGTCAGTTTAAGAAAGCTTCCGTACTTTCACCTTATCTTAATCTACCTTAATTTGATTTCTGAATATTTTTTTTCCACTCCTTTTTAGCCTAAAGGAAAATCTTGAATTTTCTGCAGCACACAAAAAAAGAAAAAAGACGATCAGATAAACTTTGAGGAGAAAAGATTTCTTTGGGTCACTTTAGATTTCGCTTTTGTTGTTTTTTCTAGCTTTACAAGATTTTATCTCATTTCTTCTTTGCGAAAAGCCTAGTCTAAAAATTTTGCAGGATGAGGTTTAGGGTTGAGATATTTTACGAGACAATTGTAAAATAACTTCTGTAGTTAGGCAATAAAATAGAACGCAACATAGACGTGTTATTATGGTAGAAAAGGAAGATTCTTTCATCTAAAGATAATATTTATTTATCGTCGAATTTGTTCCCTTAAAGAAAAATGTTGTAATCCAATAGACGACCAATATCCGAACTTTTCAGGAACCAGCCGAGAATCACGAGATCTTGAATGGAGTGACAAAAGTGAGACCGGGAAATGGATGGCTTCCACATCAAAATCTTCACATTTACGGGAAATTGGAAGTGAATGGAGAGAACCATCATCCATTGTATGAGTTCATCAAGGTTTGTTTGGTTCAAGGAGTTAAAAAAATTTTCACTTGCATTTTTGAATCTACCGAGAAGTAATGGACTAGGTTTATGATCAGTAGTCCAGCATTTAAGTTCTTCTCTTCAAACTATTTAAAACTATTTAAAACGAATAAGCGTTTAAATCCACATGAGTGTTTAGTTTATGAGTCAATGAATAGACTTACGATATTTTGGAAAAGAAAAGAGCAAACCCCTCACATCCCAATAAAAACCTAGTTTATTTTAGCGACTGAGTTAGGATTTGTTTGAAAGACGAAAAACATTGACTGTGTCCTTCGCAAAAGTATCATCTTTTTCTCTTTACATTGGAGTTGTTTATTCTTTTACTCTTTTCTTTGAGGGAAAGGAAAATTTGAAAAGAATGAGGTGAATTTGAAAAAATGTTGGTACATGGAGAGTTCTTTTAGATTTTTTCCTGGATGATCGAAAATCGGCAAAGGTTTTCAAAAAAATTTTAGCGAATAAGAATTAATAGTTCGGCTGGATTGTCCGACCGACGCAAATTGATAACCCTGATCGCAATTTATTGTCATGAGTTTATAAACCCAACAATAATAGTTGTAAACAATTGTACTCTACAATATTTACTTTTAGAACAGTTAAATTGAATCTGTGATTCACCCATACTCTCAACATTCCCTTTGAACTTTGCCGCCAACCCTCTGAAATTATCCGTCTTCGTCACTTTCCAGAAATACAAAAGTTTTTCAAAATATTTCTAGCGCCAGAAAATAAACTGATATTCCTCAAAATATTCTGAGAAAATAAATCTAAATTCATTTTTGGAACCCCTAGGCGACCTTTGATATCGCCACCAGTTTCTGTATTTTCAACTTTAGCCAAAAACGGTTAAAGATTTTTGAATTCTGATTTGACAGGCCAAACCGCAAGAGTCGTTTACGTTTTGTCTCGAAAAATCAGAACGAAATCTCTACTGGGAGTGGAGTTAAGATCTCAAATTTTCCCTTCTGAAAAGCTTTTCCTGTCTTATCAGCGCCAACTGTTTTCAGATTTCACAAAACTAATAACAACACATCACGGTTTATTTTTCAGGATTCGTGTCCGCAAACTGTTGACAAAATTGGCAAAACGGACGAATTAATGTACAATCCAGTGAGACCAAATGACATCACATGGAATTTTGAAAAATTCTTGATTGATCGACAGGTTTGTTTAGAAAATTATTCCATGATAATATCTATAATTCTATAATAATAATATTGTTTTATTGAACATACTTTCAGGGTAAGCCACGATTCCGATTCCATCCGACCGCTTGGAGCAAAGGTTTATTCTTTTTCAGTATTATGGATTCAATGAACCAGAAGATCAATTACACAAATATTAAGTATTAAGGAAAAACTTCGAAAAATCTACACAAACTTATCCATTCATTATTTTAGGTGCCGTCGTTCAGCCATTCATAGATCAACTTATGAATGAAAAAGCCTAACTTCAAAGCTGTCTTTTAAGAGTATTTTCATTAATTGATGAATTTTTCTCAAATAACCCAACATTTTTGAGAGACTCGAAACGAAACTTATCCTTGCTACAAATCAGTATTTTGGATGTGATTTAGTGTAGATAGAATCCCCTTCCTAATCACTATAATCTCTACTTCCCCCAAATTCCCTTTTGCTTTGTTTTTCATTTCTCTTTTCCCCTCGGGTACTTCTCAAAATCTTTGCTTTTCAAAATTTCATCATCATAACATTTGTGTGTACAATTGGAGAAACTGTCGAAATAAAATATTTGTAGTTCAAATAAAAGTCCGAATAAAAAAGATAAACAACACAAAGCTCATAAAATGATCGACGCAATGGAATTTGGAATAATTGAATGATTACTCATGATCTTCTATCAGGACATCGACAATATGTTGCATCATTGCCTGGTGGTCCCCTAACTCCGTCATCACCTGGGAATCCATCAAAACCCGGATTGCCTAGAAGTAACTATATAATGCTGCTACTTAAAAGTAATTTCAATTACAAACTAAAATTGTAGCCTTAATTTTAAATTTAAACAACATTCATAAGTTCGGAAAAGACAGTTAAAGTTTCCCTTCAAATACCGATTGTCACTTACCAGGATCTCCATCAATTCCATCAAATCCTGGTGGGCCCTCATCACCAGAATTACCCTGAAAACACATAACATAAATTGACATTTCAATAGAATAAACTACAGGTATTCCCGGGAATCCAGAGTTTCCTTTAGGTCCAGGTGGTCCAGGAGGTCCCGGCACCCCCTTTGGGCCCTTTTCTCCCAATGATCCCTCACTGCCTTGTTCACCCTGGAACGATAGATAAAGAACTTAAGTTAATTGCTCATGTTCGTGTTTATCCCTTACTGGTTCGCCATCTTTCCCTGGCATTCCAGGAATTCCAGATATTCCATCTAATCCTGTTCTGCCCACTTCTCCCGGTCGACCGTAAAGGCCTGAAGGGCCGTCGAGTCCCTAAAAAAAATAAAAAAATAGGATATTAAACGTTGAATTTTATATTAATGAGCAGTTGCTTATGCTGATAAAAGTTCCATATGGCCAAACCCTTCTTCCAGGTGGTCCTCGATCTCCATGAATACCCGGAGGCCCTCTCATCCCACCAGGACATACTCGACAACCCGGTTTATAGGCTAACTTGTAGTCGATCTCCATGCCTAATTAAATAAGCTTTCATTTATTTAGTAATTTGGGGCAAACCAGGTAATCCGATTTCTCCAATCTGCCCAGGGAATCCAGGAAATCCATTCAGCCCGGGTAGACCAGGTCGACCCGGATTTCCCCGCGGACATCCGTTATCCGTGCCACAGGCTGAATGGAACATTACACGCTCTATATCTATTCCATATATAACCAGCTAATGAAATTCTGAATCGGACGTAACATATATAGTAGATTACGTTTGTCTGTCCGTCCGTCTGTCCTGTTTTATACAGGAGCCGGTTTTTCGGGCTGGAAATTTGTGCTCGGGGGTTTTCGACTGCGCAGATTCCGAATCCGAAATCACAAAGAGGCGGACGAACCCCCAGACTTTCCCCAACTCTCTAGCTGGTGTCCCCCTGTATAGTCATCGGCTGGTTTTGACAGATTGACAGATTACATTTGACAGATTTAACTCTACCGCATTGTCCGGTAATCCAACTTTGTCTCTTCATTATCATTTTTCTCCTTCCAGGATTTTTTTCCAGAGTGTGCAAAACTTCTTTCTAGATTAGACAAGGATTTCCTTAAAAAATAAAACATTACCTCAATGACTTTGAATTCTCCAAGTCCTTGATCAAGTAAATGAAGAATGATTTTCACTCGTGAGTTCATTGTAGAAAGATGTCCGAATAAAAGAAGCACAGTAATCAATGAGATTGGAAGAGAAATTATTGTAATACTCCATGTAAAGCTCATCTCTAATCGTAAGCGAATACAAAAAATTTTAAAGCTTTATATTACAATTTTGTGTTCCTAAATAAAGCAAACCCAATTGTGCAAGTATCCTTTTTCGTAGTAACGGAAAGGAACAGGCCAAAATTAGCCTCAAAATAAGTGTCTTTTTCTGGGTGTTCCCGCGTGCTCAAGAGTCATGAAATAAGAAAAAAAAGGAGAAAAAAGAGATCGAATAGCAATTCTCGAGATAATTACCGTTTTTACAAAAATTTCTTCTTTTACTTCGTTCGACAAAGTGAAAATTTACTAAAATTGGTGAAGGAACATTGTTGAACTGACAATGACAATTATAAGTAATTAACGAGAATGGACATGGACGTGGGACGAGATTTTCACGGATGGGATAATGTGATGGGATATCCCATTATCTATCCTATCCCATCGCCCTATCCCAGCACTATATAAATAAATAAAATCAGAACCGTATCGTGTTTGAATTTGAACAACTGGATTGGTGTATTGTGCTACAGTTTTTGAGCTTTGGATGCTTCTGAACGTATTCGCAAACTATTTATTTGGCAATGAGGTACGTGATTTGGGTAAAGATTGTACAGTAAGCTAAATAAAGAGAAGTTCAAAAATAATCAACAACAAAAACATTATTAATAAGTTAGTTTTGGTTTGTATATCAAGTAAATTTGCATTCAAATCAAATCATGTTTTCTTTCCATACATTGCTTGTTCAATTGGTTGCTCAAGAACAATAATATGACGTGTACCGGGTGTTGGATATTCATAAGATATTCTTTCATTCATTTCTTTTCTCAATGAAGGCCCTCGATACACATTTGAGAAAATCTGTAAATAGCAAAAGATATTTTTGAAGACAAAGGTATAAAAAATAACCAACCTTGTAAGTAGAATATCCAATGTAAAAAAGAAATATATGCCCCATTAATACAAAGAAAAGATGACCAACCAATTTTGCTGTCCATTTTATTTGATCTAAAGTTGTTTTTTATGAAGTAATGATAAGAGTATTCTGGGACTTCAAATGTTTGCCATTGTGGTGTATGATATTTAAGGCAAAATCTAATGTGTTTGGTGTTTTCATTATAGTCTTCATTCATCTTATTAATTGACATACTGTTGTTCCGATGTTCGATTGGCATTTTTTCCTCTTGAAACACATCGATTATATAGTAAATGATTACACCAAATAAAACTAATGATCTGATTATCTGAAAAAACATTACAAAAGAATTCGTTAAATACAAACACAAAAGAAACTAACCTGTGTTATACAAAAAGGAAGTGATAAAGCTGGTTTTTCATTGAATAATGAATGAATAAAAAGAAGAAACGACAGCAATTCAAACAAGAATAAAATAGCATGAACCAATGGAGGTGGGAATACCTGAAATGATAACTTATAAATTTGTGTTATGTGATCGTAGGGTAAACGCAATATGTAAGTTCAGTTAAAATGTTGCACTTCGCACACCCACCAGTAAAAATTTGTCGATGAAGAAATATTCGAATATTGAAAGAAACAAAAGTAACAAAAATGATAAAAAGGCAAGAATTGCTTTCTGAAAATATCTTTTTGGTTGACCCAATGAATATCCAACAAACTTTTGCATTCAAATTGAGCGAACACCGATCACCAGGTTGTGGATGACTTAACCAATCATGAATGCCATAACCGAAGCTCATTTTCTGAAAATTTAGAATAGTCGCCAAATTAAATCATATAATCAAGAAGGAATAAATCGTTTAAGTGATTTCAGATATTATATTTTAATTGATAAGAACTATTATTACTGATTTAAACAGTGAAACATAAAAAAATCAATGAAAACAAGTGAAGCGTGTAGTGATTCGAAGAGTGAGAAGATGAAAAAGAAGAATTGAAAAGAATGGGAAAACACATAAAGTTTCTCTGTTGGAAAACCAAAGAGAAACACCGAAAAGAAATTTACAGATCAACAGGGAAAGTCGGAAACTCAAATAAATGAATAAATAGAGATAAATAACAATGAATATAGAGATATTGAATGATAACAACAATTGAATTGTCCTTCTTATTCATATAATGACTGATATCTCATGATAAAAAGAATGACAAAAAAGACTACCAAAAAGAATTTGGTAATTTATTTTAAATTAAGTTTAGTTTTTTAGTAAATTCTAAAACGTGGAAGAGTCCTAAAAATAATGGTTTTGTGAGTGTGGAATGAGTCATCTGAAGGTCAACTAAATACATTTCCCTCTTCTCCATCAGCCCTTTCAATTAATCCCGAGAACAAATCGAAAACAAATCGCTTTCCTTGAGAGTTTTACAATTTTAACGGTTTACAATCTTTTTTGTAATGTTATAAAACAAGGGAACTGTTGTAACATAAATATTTCTTTTTTGTTGCTTACCCTCAAACTTGCAGAGAACTCCCATTTTCCCAATTACCTTTTTTGTCTCTCAAAACTTTTTGTGAAAAATTGCAAAGATTTCAAAATTGTTTATGCAATGAAATCCAATCACTAGAAATCAATATTTTTTCAAAACAAAAAAGTTGGCAGTGAGTGAAAGAGTTTGGAGGAATCTTTTCCCTTTTTCTTTCATTTTTTGCTTTCTTTCATTTTTGCGGTGAGTCGGCTCCAACAAATCGAGAGCACTCAGAAAATTGAGCAAAAAGAAAAGAAATAGAGGGAAGGGGACAAAAAAGAGGCAAAAAAAAATACGATGAAACTAATAAAGTACAGGTAGGTCTTAAAAACAAAGGATTGTTAATAGGTAAATAAGGATATTGAAGCTGTACTTCAAGAGGATAAAAGTTAGTCGTGACTAGAAAACTTCTAGTCTACCTACGTATGGATAGATATATTAAAAAACAACCAAAAAATACGTAAGCATTCCAAAATGGGGCTTGGTTAGTAATCGCGATGGCCTGAAGGAAAATTGGGGAAAATAGAGAAGCAATTAAATGGGGGAAAGGAGAAAAAAAGAGTCGATTCACTCACAGAGCTTTCATCGAGAGATACATTAAGAGAAAAAGAAGTAAAGGGAAAAGATTGATGATTGGATGATGAAGAAGAAAAGAAGAGGGTCTTATTTGGAATGAGAAAAAATAAGGAAAGGGTATATTTGGGCCGGATGACAGAGGCAAGAGGCATATCCAAACACACCAAATAAAGGTGAGCACGCGACATCTTCTTTGATTACGTATGTGTATGCATATAACAAATATATTAGGAATGTTTGATGAAAAGATACGACATATATGTACAAAGTAGCAGCTAAATTAGGTCATTTAGAAGTTATACCAAGCTTTCTTGAAACTTGTAAATTTTATATCCTAGTTAACATGCTCAATGTTTACGACGACCTTGTAAAATCCATGATCGTTAATTTTTATCTTGAACTACTTGCTTGAGCTTTGCGTACCTTGCGCGGTACTTTGGGTGTTTAGTTTGTGTTTCTAGAATCGATCTTTCACAACAACTTCCGCATTACTAAAAAGCCATTTTATTGAAGCAAGTTCAAGGTGAGAATTGAGTTGGAATTTTTCTTTTCCGTCCATTCCTTGAGAGCAACCCGTTTTCCAATAAAGTGTATTTGGAATCACTGTTTTCCTGGATTTTAGCTCATTTATCATACTTCAGTTATGCCCACTTCAGCTTTAATTTGCGTGGTTGAATCATTAGCAAAAAGTTGTGACATGTCAACTGCTTCACTGAAAATTCAAAGAATGTTTTATGAAAAACTTTTCTTTTACCTGCTATTTTCTTCATCGATTTCAACTAGCTCTTCTTTAGCTTGTAGAGTTTTTTGAAGAATTGGCGGAGATTCAGTTAAAAGTTTTTGCTGAAAATGAAGGTTGTTTTCCATGCAACGGTAACATGCTTTTCCTGTGTTTGTTAACAGCATTTTTTAATACTCACTTGTGTCAAGAATGCTGCAACATTTATGTTAGCTAATGTTTTGGGAGCAAAAATGGAATCTCCTTGAACACACGCCAGTTCAATTGATGCTTCAGAGATATCAGGATGCTTTCTCTGCACATGACTTCGTAGTCTAAAAGGCTTGATTAGAAAAAGAATTTATTGGTTAACTACGACATAATTCTCCTGTCAACATAAACTCACTTTTGTTTTATATCATAACTCATCATGCATCCTTTCATCGGACAACGATATGGAGTTGATTCCATTTTATGATCCAGTAAATGCCTCGTGTATTTACATCGATTCTCAAAGATCAGACCGCATTGCATACAAGAAAGTGCAAGAAGCTAAATTGTGTGATTCGATACATAAAACTCCTCGGCGATTTTATGTATCGAATGAAAGGAAATGATAGTTGAACTTTTTACCAGAATTCAATGCCCACATTTGATTGAATTCTTTCTTACCTTTTCCGCCGTCATTGGCTTTGATCGTGCGTTTCGATTAGTTGCAACAAGATCTCTTCTTTTGTGTTTTCGAGGATCTCCATGGAGTAAAGAAAGATTTCCAATTATTTGACTTCCCGATAAAAGCTAAACTTTTTTGACAGTTTAATTTAACCTTTCAATTAAAATTGATGCTTATTTTTGATCTTTTTATTGGCGTTTTTTCTTGAAGATTAAATACCTTTGGAACCATGTTGTTTGGAATGATTCCCTCTGCAATTGTCGGTGAATTGGCTACCATCATTTTTGTGCTTGGATCTTCAGGAGGAGCAATTTTATTTACAAGAGGAGTAACGTTCTTTCTGAATGCTTCAATTTAGAGCAAAACTAAAATCAAATCTTACTTTGGTGAATTTGTGTTTGAAGTAGAAGGAGTCGCCTGAATTAAATTTTTTTATGTTTTTGCTAAAATTTATCGTTCACCTCTTGGCTAATTTCTTTTTCTTTCAAATTATTCCAAATTTTATCCATTTTATTTTTCCATTCAACGTGGCACTGAAAGATTTAACCTTAATAAACCAAACAATTTTTCCGACCTTTAAGGCTTCAATTTTCGATTTCCTCCATACTTGATAGGCATTTGGGGCATGTGTTGACATGTGCTCTCTCAAGTCATTCAATTGTGAAATAGGTACAGCACATTCAGGACATGAATATGGGACATCAAAATCAAATGAATGACCGGGAGTTGCCTGAAAATTAATATCAGGAAAGTTTTTATCGATCTGTGTTAACTTTTAATCAAAAAAAATTAAAATGTGAGTTGTTGCAAAATCGTACCATTTCTACAATTGAGGCCAGATTTGATGATAAAGGAGGACCCACATCTCTCAACAAAAGAAGCTTAAATTTTTAGGTGGTTTAAGTTAGTAAGTTTGTTACGTTATTATTATCCTGTATTGAATCATATGCACCACAAAGAGACTTGTAAACTGAGCTCTTAACGCTGCCAGAATATGCTAAATTTATTTAGAAATTAGAGCTTACAATTTTTAAATCTCACCAGGTCGAATGATATTGACATGTTTTTTGTGAACTCTTACGAAAAGCCGCTCCAAATTGTCAAATTTTTGTCCAATTAGACGAGATCGAGAACCGTGATTTGCATCAAAATGATGAAGAAGACTGAAAAATTGATTTTTATTAGCTGATCAAGTTTTCAAAAATCTCAAAAGATCAATTATTTTTCGTTTGAGTTATGTTTTGAATTTGAAGATGGACCTTTCAATTGAATCCATGTATGAAGATGGACATTCTGGACATTTTATAGCTAACGTGTAGATGGAACTTTTGGTTATCGAAGGAGAAACATGATCCTGAAAATGGCATTGGCATGTCTTGTTTAACTTTTTTGTGTGGCATATTAACACAGTCGCGACGACGGCATTTTGGGCATACCATCGCGCAGTTGTTACTGTTTTACTGTTTTAACTTGGTGAACATTCCTATTATGGTCATTCAATAGCCCTGAATCTCCTCTGGAAAACTAGTACAAAGTTACCGAGAATTGGAATGCGAAAAAAGTCCTTAAAAACTTTAGCTGACACTCAAAAATAATCGTCATTTGTACGACCTACCGGTGGGTCGTATCATCGTGAATGTGTTCAATATTCTTTTGATTTAAAAAATACATTGCTCCACATAACTATACTTCCACCTTCAAATTTTGCCATAACCAAGTTTTTATATGGTTTCAGAAAGTCGTTAAAACAAAAAAAAAGATGAAAAATATTGATACAGTTCTGTAGTTACAGTCAAATCCGGATATCAATCAAGCAGAAAATTTTTTGGCTAATTTTCAAAAATATCTTGTTTCCAATGCACAGATTTATGCTTGCACTCCTCATTTCTCCAATTTTAAAGAGTTTCTAAAGTTTTTTTTGCGGAGTGAGATACACAAAAACAAACAAAATTCGGTTCAGTTTCGTGTTCTAAAATGCACAGCCTGGTTTTGGATAACTTTGACTGTAAAAATCCTTTAAATTGAAACACACGCAGAAAATGACTGATTTAACCCCTTAAAACGCCTCAAAAATAAATGTTCCCAAAAGAAACCCTAGCTCATTTTTGATCTAATTTTCGGGTTTTTTTACTTGTTTTTGAATATCTTACTTCACAAAAAAAGCTTTTTTCATAAAAAGCCGTTTTTCCAAAAAACAGTGAATTGAGATCTCGAAAACGAATAAAGCCATCGACAAACGGTTTTCAGAGTTGAAATCTTGAAATTTGATTACTTTAAATTAACATTTGCAGAAATTAGAAACTCTTTAAAATTGGAGAAATGAGGAGTGCAAGTATAAATCTGTGAATTAGAAAAGGGGGATTCTTTTGAAAATTAGTCAAAAAATTTTCTGCTTGGTTGTTATCCGGATTTGACTGTAACATTCATAATTGTATCAATATTTTTCATCTTTTACGACAGTAACGACATTTTCTGAAACCATATAAAAATTTAGTTATGGCAAAATTTTAAGGTGGAAGCATAATCATGTGGAGTAGTGGACTACCATTAAAAGATGTGCTCCCAATTGATTTGCATCGTTTAACATTAATTTGCAACTTGGACATATCCATCGGGTTCCTTCACAATTCGAGATTTCATCATTTGATTTCGAATTCTCATGCTAAATGAAACCAAATGGTATCTTTCAAAATTATTGATTGCTTTTAATATCATTCAACATCATTACTCACTTCTCCCGAGGTTGAACTTTCCATTATGCAAAGAAAGTGATTCTAAAACATAAATGAGTCCAAAAGCTTGTGAGATAACAGCATCACGCATAATAGTGAAAAAAAGAGATACAAAATAAGCAACTCATTGATCGGTTTAAGCTATGCTAACTATAATAAAATGCAAAACAGAAACGAATCTTAACTTGTGATATATGGAGGAAATGAATGAAATGAAAGAGAAGGCAAAATAACAGAGAAAAGGAAAAGAGGAAAGGAGACCCTTTGCTGTTATCCTCATTTGCATTTGGGGGAGATGGGAATAGGAAAAATTGGAAAAGGGAAAAGGGACGATGCCACACAAATTTGCATAAATATCGAGGAAGAGGCACACCCCACAAATGCATTCTCTTCACAAAATATTCTATGTAAAGAATCAAGAACTGATGATTAGGTACGTACTATGACATTAGGATATACTAAACAAAAGCAAAATTTAAACTTTATAGTCAGATTTGTTTACCCATAATTCTCAACAATTATCATTTGTGGTTGTATTAAGATCAATTGAAAAATAGCATAAATTCTTCATAAATGCAAAAATTTGTCCAAATGTTTTCTTGAAGAGGACTTACCCGTTCTTTTTGTGAGAAGGACTCGCAAGGGAGAGGACGCGATCGATTCCACATGCAAATCATTTTGAGAGAGAGAAGGGTCTTTTTTTCCCGCTCACTTGCATAAATGCAAAGAGATTCAATTTAAAGAAAACCACTTCATGAAATTGAAAAATTAAGCAAAATTATTTTACTGTTAGAGTCGTAACAATAAGCTCAGGACTGAGCTTTGTTTTGCTAACACTCCCAATACGTTAAACAACGTTAAACCTAGGACTTTGTACCATTGTCCCTTACCGGGTCAACAGTCAACAAAAAATCTTTTTAGATATTTTTATGTAAACTGAAACTAATACTCAAAAAGGCCACTGTTTTTACATTGATAAAATACAAACATATACAACATCAGTTCTAGTTTCTATTAGCAATTGTGTTTCTTCAATTTAAGCTTGGATACTACCACTTTTTCACATTTCATTTTTCTCTCAAGCCATCGTTATTCAACACCTTACTCATGAAGACAAAATGAAAGGAGACATATGCTTGGACTAGATTACACCTCTTTTCTGTTGAAGCGGACATTGAAAGAGAGGTATATTTCTTTGCATAGTGAAGCCTTTTTATGCTAACAGTTTTGCTCTGATTATCGTCAAGGTGTCTTCACGATGTTCGCCATTCGACAATTTTCGTTTAATTCATAACATGTTTATCCGATTTCAACAAAAAGCCCTTTATTTCGTTCGTTCGGATTTCATCTCGGCGAACAATGTACAAGGTGCCCCAAAATTACCCGAACCAACCCCCGTTTGCCGCACTTTGCTGTTATGCGCTTTTTGGTTGACTATCTTTGCTACTTTTTGTTTCTTATGCAAATTTTGACTTTCGAAAATATTATTTACTCATTAAAATTAATTTCCGAGACATTCCGAGGTTCGTTTCCGGGACAATTCATCGATAGAATGATCTTGGAACAACTTCTGATCGATCGGGCCGGGGCCGAAAAGCTACCGTGACAACTATGACTTCTGATAGGAAGACTCCACTAATTTTTGTTCAACGGGGCGTTAAAGTAAACGCAAATAATTATCTGGATATTTTAAAGCAACAAATGATGCCTTGGGCACAAAACCACTTCAGAAACAAAATTTGATGCTTTCAGCAGGATGGGGCGCCTGCCCACAAAGCCCGAATTGTCTAAGGCTAAACGGAACTTCCCGTATTTCATGAGCTTCAAGGAGTGGCCACTACCAAGCCGCGATTAAAATCCGATGAATTGCTTAGTCTGGAGTGTTCTCGAAGCAAAGACCTGCTCAAAACCACATTCAAGCATTCATTCAATGAAAAAATTACTCCAAAAACCTTGGGCTAAACACGATCCTGCGTATCTTTTGGCCACCATTGACGGCTTCCCAAAACGTCTCGACGCTTGTGCAGCCGCCCATGGAGATATTTTCGAGAAGAAATAAACCAAATTGTTGAAAGCAGTTTAGAGAATAATGTTAATGTTAATTTTTGTTTTTTCGATGAAAAGGTTTTGAAAGCATGGGTTTTATTGGTTCGGATAATTTTGTATTCTCAATACATAAAATTTGAATTAATATCAAACTGGAATTGCTGTATTGTTGTGTAACTGCAAGCTTCACAATGCTCCAACCAGAAAAGCAAGCCATTCCCGTTGCTTATTTGAGTGCAGTATATCAAAGCACAGAAATAACTTGTATCAACATCGGATTAAACATTAACACTTTATTTTTTAAGGATACCAAAATAAAGTTTTTTAATGAGAACATCTAATATATCATATTCCTAACAACTCCCTGGTTTTTTTGCTTACATATGCACTAGTTGGACACGCCGGTCCTTTTATGGTTTGGGGCTGGGAATACAAAGCATGGTCGGCGCCGGCATTCGACCTCTCGCTTACCGTATGAACGCTCTACCAATGAGCTACACCGACATGTATCCCATTGCCGGAAGGGTAGGGTCTTATGCCTTACTCACTAGTCGATGTTAAAAGTTATCGAAGCAATTGCTTTAATTAATAACTCAACGACCCCCCTTCCCAATGAACCAAGAGATATCTCAGCGTGGGGGATCTTTCTATTGGTCTATTCATCGTCTCTTTTCCCTCTTTCATTTTTTCTTTTCCCTCCCACGCCTCTCCTCACTTTTCTTCTCTTCAATCTATTTTTCCCTCTTTCATTTGGAAAACAACAACTGGGATTTTGAGCAAGAAATAAAAGGAAAAGAACTAAAAAGAAAAGACGACAAGTTGGACGAGAAAAATTTTTGACGATTTTGCTCTTTTTGAAGCACTTTTGTGACAATCCATTCTAGCTAAGTGTCACTAAATTTCCAAAAATGACACCTTGAGTTCTGCAATTTCTTGAATGCTTACAGTTTTTCCGTGTTATTTTGTCTCAAAAGTTGGCTGGCAAATCAAAGCTTTGTATCCAACTATGTTTACCTTTTTGTCGTATACTGAAGTTACTTTAAATGCAAATGATTTGTTGTAGCTCGTCAATTCTTGTTGAGAAATTCCTCCGTTTCAACTAATTGTAGATTTCGTTTCTTGCCGTCTAATCCTTATCGAATATTTAGTTCTTATACTTAAACGATTTTACTTTAATCACATAACACGTACTAAAAATAATTTATCCAGTTTCAAAAGAAGCTTTAGATCCAGTGGTGGCAAACATTTAGAGGCTCAATGCTTTTGTTGGGTCCCTTTCTCTCGATTCGCTCATTTCCAGAGCTTTCTCTATTCCAAAAGAAAACCCGATTCAAAAAGAGGAAAACTCCTCGGTGGTTTACAACAATCTTTTCTTGCACTCTTTTCTCTTTTGTGAATCCTCTCATGTCTTTCAGTGATTTCTTTAGAAAGAAATTTCTCAAAGGTTCCCTAAGGGAAGCTCATGTACGTGGGAGGAGATCGGGCCTGGGACCTGTTTGAGAAAAAGAGCTCCTTTTTGTTGTTCTCTTGCTTTCTGATCAACCGCCTTTAGCAAATGATCAGTAAGGAGAAAGAAACAATCGATTTGGTGAAAATAAAGGGGGTGCAAATAGAAATTTACGGAAGTCTTGATAGTAACTTTTAATAGGAATAAAAAGGTTAGGTGGGTGTTCATTTTGAGCTTACTTTTAGAGTCAAAAAGTCAATAAAACTGACAAAGGATGACCTGGTAGCTATCCAATTCGTAGATTTGATAGGATATTAATTCACTATGAGTTTCTGCAATTTTTTGATAAATTTTGATAAGAACAGCGAGCAGTAGACATCCTTTTGTTTTAAATTATAAATTAACCTTTTCACAAGTCTGGTGAATTCCTTGGATCGGATTTCTCTTCATAAATCTTTCTTGTTTCATCATCAACTTTTTTCATCGGTACTATTTGTATTTGTATGTTGACCGAAGTGGAGAAAATCGATCCAAGCCGATCTGCAGGAAAAAAAGAAAAGGAGATTTAAGAGAGATCTTCTGCATGCTAATGCCTCATTCAATTCATTTTCATTTTTAGAGTTACTTTTATTTTCTTCTCTACAATTAACAATTGATCATTTAGGTGTTGTTCCTCAAAAATCGTCGACTCGACCGACCCTCGAAAATTTTCTTTTGCGAAAACGATCGGCAAGTTCATTTACTAGACTTCAAGAAATACATTTTTAGACAATTAGATATCAACAAATCGGTAATACTGTTGCTATCTTATTGTGAGTTAAGAGATGGTGAATCACTAATCTCTTCGAATATCCCGTTCTTTTCTTAAATTTTCAATTCTTCTCTTTATTTTCACTTAGCCTCTCCTCCCCCACATTGTTTGAGCGTTCCAATTTCTTTCTTCACTTCTCATTCGTTTATCTTTTAGAGGAAAAACTTTTTGAGGGCCAAATCCTGAAAGTCAAAAGAAAGTGACAAAAAGGTCAGAATGCAACCTCTCGAGTGTCAAAGAGCATTTAACTAAAAAGATATTTTAGGGAACTTGATGCTAATTGAATACATTTTTGCAATACATCGCAACTTTTGCTTTTATCATCAAAATCAATTTCAGATTCCTCGACCAATAAACGATGTCAGACGAAGCTGAGGTTTGAGTTCGGAAAGTTGAAACATTAGAAACTTTATATTTAGGAGCAGCTAGCCGAACGTATGTGATATTTGCTTTTTGTGAGTTTTTCTTTACAGCGATCGAAGAGGATGAAGAAGTGAGTGCACAACCAGCAGAAGAAGATCGAACTGAAGACCAGGTTTATTTTTTCGATAACATGTACAAGTGTCCTATGCCTTTTGAGATATTTTTGTAAAAATTTCCTGAAAAATCAAAGTTTTGAAGAGAATTTAAAAGGATAAAAGGAACCCATAAGTATTTAATGGTTAATACTTTGAAAAACCTAAACCTAAAACTCCTCGATCTTTGAATCCAAAAGCCATTTTTTGTTTCTTGATTAAAGTGGATTAACTAAAAGTACTTTAATACGAGTTTTTTAAGTTATTCATTCTTTTTTCCTTTTCATTTTTCTTATTCTAACTTTAAATTTTTTTTTTAATTAGCTTACTATTATACAGTAAAAGCTATTAGGTAGATATTAGCCTACGTTGCAGTTGCGAGTTCAAGCTTCACAACATTTGATTCTTTGGATTCTTTGGGAATTTCAGATACAAGAAAAAAATTAATTGTGTCTGAAATTCTTAAGCAGATTTTCAGACATTTTTTCATTTAGCCACTCTCCTTCTTGTAGCATCCCGTTTTCTCCTAAAGTTTATTGCTAGTAAAATAGTTCATGATCGCTTTAAAGACCGTTGCTTTAGACACTTTTAAAGTTTTTCCTGAAAATTTATTGAACACTAACCAGTGCCAGGCTTAGCTAGGCTTTTTCTCACTTTTCTTTTGTGTAGTTATTTGAGCCTCTTTCATTTTTTGATGCCACAGTTGCCCTATGCCCTAGCTAAAGAGTGAATGATCTCTTTGAGAGTAACGGAAGAGATCCATAAACTTGGATTAGAAAAGAAGATGAGCTGAGATCCAAAATCAGCTAAACGTCATAAAAAAATATCAAAAGCAATAGGTAGCCTAAAAACGAAAAGGGATTGGATCCTGTGTTGAGAGAAAACAGCCAAACAAATCACTCAGTATACATAGAGAACAAGTTTGGCAGAAAGGCAAAAGATTTGCGTTGAGAGAAATGGATTGTGCCTTAGTGACTCTGAAACTTGATAATTGTAAAGAAAGTGAAAACTGATAGAGTGAGCTTAGCTTGAAATGAGAAAATGAGAAATAAGAAAAATGAAACAAAAGTGGAAGAAAAAAATGGGGTCATGCCCTCAAGGAGAATAAGCACGACTGTTGTCATTTTTTCAGCTCTTTTCGTTTTTTCGCGGGTCGTTTCACCCCCTCACCTACACTTTGCCTTTCCTTCCCTTGTCCAATCCTTCTCCTTTTAGTTTTTTTCTTCTCCCATTCAATCCCTCAATCAACCATCTTTATCCATTGAACCCCTTTAAACCTAAACAAGTCTTTTCAAACAACCAAACAACACCGTTCATTCTTTGGCCAATTGTCGGTGGTGATTAGAATCGCCTTGAACTTTAAATTTAACACATTTTACTTCAATAACTAATCTACTAAAAAAGCATTTTAATAAATAGTCAAATACGTGGTCTAATGATTTAAATTGTTTCTGAATGAGGGCCAACCCGTCTTATGATCAACATCTTTCTTTGTTCTTTTCAAAATAATCCAAAACCCTCATCAAATTTTCATTAAAGTAATAAAGTAATAATAATTTCATTGCTTAATCTCATCCAAAATTTGAACGATTTTGTTCAGGTACCGGACATTACTTCAGCTGAGGGGTTCGACCCAATGACGACGAGTATGGATGGAATTGAAGAGTTGCCACAAGCTGAGGAAACTCAGGTATGAAAGAAATTGCTTGTGATTATAAACTTTCTAAACGATGCATTTAGCCGAAAAATTTGAACTTGCTTGGTCTATTGCTTTCTATTGCTATTGTTATTGCTTGGTCTATTAGATTAACAGGCCAAAGCTTGCTTTGCTTTTGCTATGACTTCTGCTCTTGAGCTAATGTGGTTCTTTGTAAAATTGTTCTTTGTATTTTTAAGATTGCAGCTGATCGTTGTGCCAAACTATACTCTTAGAGTATCTGCATAACATTTAAACCATCGGATCAAGCTTTGTTTGCATAAATTTCACTGCTAATGCTTTTTATGCTTCCAGGAAGGTCTCGATTCAGTAAAAGAAGAACCAGAAGAAGAATTCCATGATGCAGATGAAGGAGGAGAAGTACCCGAGGAAGAAGAGATTCCTCAAGAAGATGAGGTGCATGATTGAGCTGTAATGTACTCTAAACGACTTTCATTCGGTCTTTCAAATAATAAGGGCTTTGACTAAGAAAGATGCTTGCCTGTTGCTTTTATGAAAACAAAATATGTGAATTCACTGAAAACTATGTCTTTATCTAGGATTATTCAAATTCAGGTAGTGGAGGCCGAACCAATCGACGAAGGTGCGCCTACAGAAGAAGAGCCACCAGCAGAGGAAGAACCCCCAGCAGAGGAAGAACCCCCAGCAGAGGAAGAACCCCCAGCAGAGGAAGAACCCCCAGCAGAGGAAGAACCCCCAGCAGAGGAAGAACCACCTGCTGAGGAAGAACCACCAGGTAATAAATGCTCAAAAAATTAATTTAGCTAAATACAAGCTCGGAGTACACAGTGTTAAAAATTTTCATTCGTAAGCTTTTTTAACGACGCAAGTTCAGCGCAAGAGCCACCGGCGGAAGAAGCACCTGGTAAAAAACTATCTCTAATAATTGTGAGCTCGTATACTTTTAATGTAACTAAAATTTATTTTTTGCTTTCTATTTAGAATGGACAATGTCTAGACGTTTGAGCACTTACAAACAATACAGGGTGTCTCATGAAAAAAACGTTTTCAAATCGAATTTCCTAAAAAGTTATCATATAGTGTAGATGAATAAGGTGTTTGGCTAAAAAACTTAGTTTATATAGTAACTCTAATATGGCATCACGATGCCAGTATAAAGTTTTAATTTTATGGCAAAAATCTCATGGTAGTGATCCATATGGTGGTGGGAGCCATGGTGGCACCCATAATCTCATGTACAGGGTACCAAGATATCATAAAAAAGAGAAAAAACGTGAAAAATTCCTGAGTACAACTTTTTTTGACTTTGAGCTTTTGACACCCAAGCTGTGGCAGCCATTAGAACTTTTTAGGAAATTCGATTTGAAAACGTTTTTTCATGAGACACCCTGTATAGATAACTTCCATTGAATGCTTAACTTTAGCCGAAGAACCCATCGCTGAAGAAGCCCCGGGTATGAGAATGATTAGTGATAAATGAATGCCTTAGAATTGTATGCTAAATGGTAGTTACTAACTAGATGCATTAGTTAATAGTTGCAAAAACAAAACTTAAATTATAGCCGAAGAACCGCCCGCTGAAGAAATTCCAGGTGCATAGCATGAAATAGTTAGGGTATTTAGTTGAAGTAGATAGTTAGATTAAACCATTCATTGAAAATAATGTTATTTTAGCTGAGGAGCCCGTAGCAGAAGAAGAGCCACCAGCAGAGGAAGCACCCGTTGAAGAGGAGCCACCAGCTGAAGAAACGGTATGTTCAAAACTTATGAGCGCAGTACATCAATTGCTATAAAAATTACAAAAAATTGTTTTTTTCACAGCGATCTCTTCTTCACAATAAACAACAATGATTTTTTAAATTAGGTCGAAGAAGTGCCTGTTGAAGAAACCCCCGTCGAAGAGCCTCCGGCAGAAGAAGCGCCAGTTGAAGAAGAAGCACCTGTTGAGGAACCACCAACTGAAGAAGAACAACCAGGTAACATCAATTATTAAAAGGAAAAGAAGTAAATTAACTTTGATTTTAAATTTAACGATTTAAATTTCCAGCTGAGGAGCCGCCAGCTGAAGAGGAGCCAGCTGCGGAACCAGAAGCCGAGCCTGAGGCTGTGATGGAGGAGGTTGTCGTCGAAGAGGAAGCTCCACCAGCTGAAGAAGAACCACCTGCGGATGAAGCACCTGGTTTGTATAAAAGATATCAATTAGCAAACAGTAAACAAGATTATTTACATCAATAATTTTTCTAATTTACTTTTAGCCGAGGAACCCGTTGCCGAAGAGCCACCAGCAGAAGAAGTCCCTGCTGAAGAGCCACAAGCTGATACTCAAGAATTTAACTTTGAAGAACCGCCACCAGTTGATGATGTGGGTTTTATTGAAAAGTTGGAAGTTGAATAAGGTGCTCAGGTTGTTGAAAGTTGAAAGTTTTTTTCTGAATTCAGCAGCCAGATCGATGCCTCATTGCTGTGGTTTATTGCAGAGATTTGATTTATTTTTCGCTTAGGCCGCGGCTGAAGAACCAACAAGCCCCCTCAAATCGCCAAAAAAGAAGAAGAAGAAGGCCAAGATTGCCGAACCAGAAGTAGAGGCTGAACCAGAGCCGGTTGCTGAAGAAGCCCCACCTGCTGAAGAAGCTCCAGCAGAGGAGCCACCAACTGAGGAATTTGTCGATGTAAGTAAAATAGCATACCTTGATCTCAACAAAAAGTGTTAACTTTCAAGTAAAGTTACTATACTATTTTGAAACTTTTCCAGGCTTCCCCACAAGAGGAACCACAAGAAGTTGTTGAAGTGAGATTGCTTACATTTATGTTTGTAGCTCTTACCTATAGTAAAAGCTAAAAGCCTAATTGCCCTTCCTCTAGCGTGCACTTTAAATTTCCATCCAAATTTGTAATTTTTTGACTTTCCAAACTGTTTTCCTAGCGTCATTATCAAATTGCTTCCTGCTTGCAAATATATGGTAATATGTAGATATTTTAATCGAGTGCCTTAGGAGGTTCCTGCTCCCGAGTCGGCGCAAGTTGCAGAAGTGAGAATGAAACAGAATAGATCGATCTAACCTAGTTGAAATTAATGTAGACTAAAAATCGTGCATGTTTTAATATTTTATAAAATGGATAATTTGAGTAACAAAATTTTAGACTGCCCCTGAGGAAGCCAAGGCTCCAAGCCCTGTGCCTGAGAGAGTAAGTAAAAATTTTTGCTTTGTCTCTAGCTGAAATTTTCTCAGAATTAGTATTTTGTCTTTACAGGAAGCAACTCCACCAACTCGAGCTGCTCGTCGTGCATCTCCATCTCCACCACCACGACGAGAGCCCCGAGCACCTGTTGCTCAATCATATGATGATTATGATAAAGTTCGTTGTTTATGCTTGATTAATTGACCATAAGAAATATTATTCAGCTTTTATTGATTTTTCAAAAGATCTCTAGGATTCTCATCGCAAAATTCCCCCACCACGTGACCCTGTTTCTGAATCGTTCTCTTCATGGACTCCAGCTGATAGTGGAAAGAAATATCAGGTGGGAGTTTTTTGAAGAAATTATTCATTATATTGAGTCTAGCTCTGTGTATTTGCCAATGGTAAACTTTTAGTCAATCTCGAATTACGCCGGTGATAGCTCAGCTAAATACAGCAGTGGATATACATCATCATATACTCCATCATCCAACTCCTACACAAAGACTTTTGATGACTATGTGAGCACCGGTAAGTAACACATTTAGTTACAAAAATAGGGAGAAATGTGAGCTTTCTGAAAGACTCAAAGATTTGCAGGCGAATATTTATTTTGATTTACCTCAAATAGATTATCGACTTTGTTATTTTTAATATAACAATTTTCGGGATTTGTTGCCAATAGTAAGACCAGGCATCTTCCTTAAAAGCCAGTTTCATTTCAATTTCTTTTTCATTTAAGGTCCTTTCTCGAACGCTCTCTATTCGACTTCTCGTCTTGTTTCCCGTTCCCGTTCTCGTACCCGTGAACGACGCAACTCTCGACGAGTCCAACGATCATCATCAAACTATTATCGATCTATGTAAGTTTTGAATCAAAAGCCATAAAAGATTTTCGTTCATTTTGAACGTCTCATCACTTTTCTTGATCTTTTATTCCTTTGGCGAAATCCAAAAGTCTGTTTATCACGTACGTTTACCATAGTCCATTGAAATTTAGTCCTAGGACTAGCTCTTGCGTTTAATAACATTTGGATAAACTTGTACTTTTTGCTCCACGAAATTTTTTAATTAAAAATTTATTTTATAAAATCGCATGTGTCAGAATAAGTCACTTAACTAAGTAATTAGCAATTCCAAGTAATCTTCAACTTTTTCAATTTCAGGTTCAACTCAACCACTCTGCCATCACCTGCTCCAATGCATTCTCGTGAATATTCTCAACCACCACCATCAGCTGTTATTCGTGCACCTGGACGATCAACTTCTTTTGCTTCGTTCATCGATTATGCCGGACAAAAGAATTATGAGATTCAACGAACCAATTCAATGGTCGCCGATTCAGCCAATGCTCTCTCACGTTCCAGGTACTAGAAAATTTATTAAGCAGTTTTATAAAAGCAATAGAAGCAAGGAAGGGATATTTGTATTAAAAATAAGCACGTTGAATAGACAAAATTTAGCTCTCGCGGCAATGTGGATTTGTACCTAGGTGGTGGACGACTTTCGCGAGTTGACAGTTTCGTTTCCCATGTCAGTTTCCTTTCGAAAGTATTTTTTAGATATATAACAAACACAGCACACGTTCTAAGAATATAACCCAAATGTTAGTTCTAATACGAGGCAAAAAATACAACCCATTTTAGATGGAAACTCCATATGAGAGTTATCAACCAGCCACTTATGAACGAGTTCGCTCAAGCTCTGTCTCTCGACCGATTGGATATTCTGTAAGTCATTTACGAAAACAATCCACAAATTCCAACTTCTTTTTGAATCTCTTAGAATCTTTCAGCTTAATATTTTTTGCTGTAAGTCGATCTCAATCCATCTCAAATCCTATTCTTTTGTTTGCTCAACCTCTTGAGATTTGGCGGTTTTTGCCGTGATTTCGATCACATCCACCCACTGAAATCTCTTCAAAAAGGACTGACCAGCAAAAAATAAAAAATTCAAAGGATAAATCTTAATCAGAAAAATCATCAAACTCACTCATTTGCTCACAAGAGGCAAATACCCCTGGCTGACAGTTTTAAAAGCTTCACGTAATTTTGCCAATTTGCTCAAAACACTAACTATCTATTTCTCAGTGGAAAGCAAAAACTGAAACTTTATTTCTTATCAATTCTGCTAAAAATCGATTCGGATTTCTTTGAAATCCTCTTTCTGAACTGTCAAATTTCAACAGTAAACAATCTTGCGTCCTTTTTCTTTCTGCAAATTTTCTCTTAAACTTTCTTCACTCATAAGCTTCTCTTTACTTGAGGACACTTATCTCTGAGAATTTTTACTCATCTTTTTCTCACCTATATTTTCCCTGATTTTTCTTCTTTCTACATTGTGAATGCACGAATCTTTGGAGATCGCCATCGCAAAAATATCGATGAGTCGCTATCTGCGAAAACTTCAAGTCAGTTAGAGTCAAGGGCCCCTTCCTCAACAAACTTCTCATTTCGCAGCAAACTCATCATTTTCCCAATTTTACGACTCATTGGACACTTTTCATTCTATTCCATTTTTCATTTAATATTTAGGCGTACACTTCAACTCCTCTCTATCTTGATTCGGACGCTGTTCATCGGCATTCTCGTTACGACAGTACACCAATCGGAGTTCGTAGCTTGTACGAGGTTGGTAGAGAGCACTGTTTTGTCATTGTAAATATTGTGTTTTGTCTATGTCCAAGTCGGCCATGCTTGTTGCTCACAGATTTATCACGAAAATCACAAGATACGTAAATCGCTTTTTGCTAAAAAATCAATAGTGAAGCGCAGGTTTTTAAATGCAGATCAAAAAAATCAGCACTTTAAAAACAGAACTGGATTTTCACTTTATATTAAATATTCGTTGTTTATCACAATTTTACCAAATTTTGTTTACGCCCACCTCTCTTTTTCACGACTTTTCCATGCAAATTTAGAACCGTATCGGCCACTTGGAGAGGAGCCTTTCACGGGAAAGAATTAATAAAGATCGGGTGAGAAAAGGAATGGAAAAAGCTAAAGCGTGCTTTGATAGATACTAGATATAAACAAATACAAATAGAAAGTATTCAACTAATACCTGAATAGATATTGCCATTAACATTTATCATTTCCATTTTCACGGTAGTTTAGATTGCCGTTGTTTTATTTTGGTTTCTTTTGGAATGAGGTGAAGAATAATTTGATGAGAAAAGATTGTTGAAAGATAGACAAAAATAGAAGCTCACGAGTTAAGAGCTTTCAGGTATTTAAATAATAGCAATAGTTAAAACAAAGTAGCAAATCTTTAAAATTCCTTTTAAAATTTATGGGTTCTAGTTGCGTTCGCAGTATCAGGACTTGAGCTCAAAATTGGATCAAGCTTGTCGTCAGATGTCTCTTTTGAGGACTGGATCATATACACAGATGCCTCGTTCATCTGTTTTCTCGCATATGTATCCATGCTATTGATTATTTCAACTAGAAATCCCTCAAACCCGTTAAAATTCTTACAAATTTCTATTTCTTTATAACGTCTATGAGATTAATTCCAGGATTAACCTTTCATTAGGCCTATTTGGCTTTGAATTTTTTAAAAATCTGATCAAGCTTTATATTCGAATCATCCTGGAGTTGATTGAAATTATTTCTGCTTTCAAAACATTTTCAATTTCACAAACTTAGCAAATCTTTGCACTGCTGTCAATTAGTCTTTTCCGCTTTCTTTTTCCTAGTAATTTCTACAACATGCTTCTGCTATGGAATTTATTTTGTAGTGACTCGAGAGATTTTAGCGTCAATGGCGACAGATTCGATGTACTTAAACAAAAAGTTTTTATAAATTTATCGTTTGCAATGAAACGGTTCTTCAAAATACAATTAAAAGCACATGCACTGTTTGTTTCGTCCCACTAACATGTCCAGTAAAAATAAACGCAAAACATTTGTGCGATTGAATGATTTCTGTCCTCTTCTAGTTACATATGTATGTGTTGTAAGAAAACAATATGCTTTGTTCAATGCAAACAAAAGATAAAATAATACAGTTAAAGTTTTTTTGGTAGAAAAGAATATTATCTATTTGAAATACATCAGACATCGTTAATTAAAAGAAAATCGAATGTTGCCCTTATAATTTGTCATTTGTTGTATATGGAAGACATCGGTGTTTTGTCCGAAATATTTTGTTATGATTTTTGTTAATCGACAACAATTTATGCAGAACAAAGTGTATTTTTTCTCATAAAGATTTCCATGTTTTAATTCAAATTATTGTTTATTTCAGAGGAGCTACGGAGGAGCGGGTCGAGCGCCGACCCCTTCGCCCGTCCTTAGAGCGAACTATCGTGTCCCGGTCTCGTGGTACGCCGGTTACTAGTCGACGCGAAACTATCGAAAGGTTAAATTTGTAATAATTAGTTTATGCTTCAAAAGAAGAAAAATAAAAGTCGCGATAAATTAGTTTATAGAATAATGCATTGCATAACTGAAACACCTTTTCCACTCAATTTACCATATACATATTTTTTTCCAAAGATCTCCCCATCAATACATAGCTTTCATCTTTTTAGATGGCGTCTCGACAACGTGATGTATGGTGGTTTATACAGTAGAAATTCGTATGCTTCACAAAATTTCTCTTTGCTTGCTCATCCTCCATTTTCTTCTTATTACCCTCCTTATACTCCCCCAACAACAGGAGTGGAAAGATCAGCTCGTTATATGCCCTCTACTTCTTCAATCTACACGCATAGTCCCCGGTAAGTTAAATAAAACAAGATTTTAATTAGGATTAGTTGAGTGTGTCTAAAACAAAGCAAATCTAATTACAAGCATATAAAATATGATCTGGCCAAGGCCATCCCAAATTGCGACTCCCAACCCGGAATTTGGTACGAAGCTGTCTACTGCATTTACAATAAAAACTAGAAGCAAGATTAAGATAGTTTTCAAAAGTTGACCCTTTTTGTGAAGCAATTCAAATGTAAATCTTTTAGCTATGGTGCCTCGTTTCGTCATTCTCCTCATGTGAGTCGTGTTCCACCACGCGATGATGAGATGCGCCAATTAATGAATCGTTATTTGTTAGGGACATCAACTCATCGTTCTCCTTCTCGTTTTATCCCTGCTTCTTCTACTTTGAATTCTTCACAATCAACCCCTTCAAAAGCTTCTAGGTCTAGTCGTAGAGTGCAATTTAGATTCAATTTGTGAGATTTTTATGCTTCTTTATACTGTACACCCATCATCACACTTTACATTATCTACTTTCAATTAACGCACTAATCTGTTCAATTTATATTTTTCACATATGAATAACATTTCTTCATCTTTCCTTAGACCAGTATTCATTTTAGGCCATTTTCCAATCGTTGCCTTTATCTGCTTTTGTGTATTTATAACGTAATTTTCCGAGTAAATGCAAAACTTCATCGCAATTTCCTGATTACACACTCACGTAGGACTTTAACCAGCCTATCAACTTTTTATAAAGCCATACTATTCGATGCATAGAATACAGAGAAAGGAGCAGAAACAAGGAGCCATTGCTTTGATTCAAAATGATCCAACATTGAGTGTTTGCGAAAACTTATATTAGTCACGGTAGTGCTCATCAAAGTTTGCAAGAGACCAGATATCACAACTATAACAAAGTTTTTCTTCTAAAAAACCCCGGCTAATCACATTTTTAGTATGATCAAGTTAAAAGATATTTACTTTTTAGTTATCAGTAACTTTTGTGAAGGGGGTTTGTTTTGCCGGCAAAGAGAAAATTTAGTAAAAAGTAAAAAGGGAGAGGGATAACGGCTGTTAGGCAAGCAAAGAAAAGAAGAAATAGGAAATCAAAGATCAAGTAAGACTAAGAAGCATTCAACTTTCAGAATTTCGGTAGCCTGGAAATGCATGTTTTTTTATAAATAGCTGAATATTTAATCAAGAAAATTGGTACTGTATCTGTTCCCTGAATATCTTATGATTTCAACTATAATCTCAAAATATTCAATCAGACAGAAATGAAAAACCAAAGGTTATGGTTATTAGCCTTGTTTCGTATTTATTGATCTTTTTTTTTTTAAGGAACTACCGGAAATGACTCAACAGATGGAAACGGGGGATACTCGTCAAATGAAAGCTTCATAGAATGTTTTAATGAATGCTTTAAAGAATGCCGAGGCTGATCGTAGCTGTAATGAATGTCACAAAAATGTGACTTCCTAAATTGATTTCTATCAAGATATTTTTGGATGTTTTACTAGGGTGAATGCATTTTTGAAGTGAGTGATTGTTAATATTGAAGATTCATTTTTAATTTTTGGATTCGTGGCGCTTGTGCTTACACAAAGCATCATTCACATAAGGCCATTCCGTTATTGGAAAAAAAGCTATGTTGTGAAAAAGCGATGAAAAAGCATTTTCATTTGTTGTTAGTTTAATTGAAATTCTTGCCTTATTAATGCAATTTATTTTAGACTGATCAAATGTTGATGGGATTTCAACGAGAGTCAAGAAAAATCATTAAAACATAAGATTTGATCCCTGAACTGCACAAGGGACTTCTCGAGGGCATTGACATATTTGAAACGGTATTTTTTATCAAATAAAACCATTTGAAAACAATATTTCTTCAGAAGTTACTTTCGAAAGAAGAAACTCTTAAGGATGTGTCAACTTTGACCAATTTACACGAGAAACACTAGTCATTCACGTAAACTTTAACATTTTGAAACATAAAACATTTGTTGTTTAGAAAGATGAAGTCCAAATTTGAGTCATCTGCTGAGAATTACATGCCTCCTTTGTGCAAATTTGATACAGAAGTTAAGGAGAGTTGATTGGGTTTTAAAAGAATTTTATTTTACTTTTTAGGAATTGATTCCAACACTTGATGAGATCCCAGATGTCAAGAAATCCGTAAAAATGTAATGTAAAAAAATTACAGCTTGAATTGTGCGTCACTTTGTCACATGTAACAATGGATAAAATGTACACGAGAGATTCAAGTTCTTTTCCTTCTGATTACCCATTCTTTTCTCGAATTCGTAATTAATAGTTGTATAAAGCCAGCCAATAGCAAAATGTCCCAAAAGTTCGATACACAAAAAGTTGTGATATTTGAGTAAAGAGTAAAGAGAAGAGTTTTTTCAAAAGACTATTTATCTCAAATGTATCACCATTGTGCGCGATAATGAGCAAAATAAAGATCCCTGGCTTTTTCTTCCAAATTCAATAAATCCTTCGTTTGTTCAATTCGTTTTGCTTCATTTTTCACAATAATTGAGTAGACGATCCACGGAGAAAAAGCGGTGAAATACATTGGACACTAAAAGAAATCATTTATGAAATCTCAGGCCGAGTTTGTGCTACGATTGATGGTGCTTCTTCAATTTTTAGGACCATAATAGCAAAGATTATTTTCTGATTCGTTATTATACAAAAGCTCTTATTCTACATAATACCTTTTTACCACAGCTAATGCTTCTTAAAGAGCTTCTTGGAAAAATGAAAAGTTGGTTAACGCCGATGCACCCTAGAACGTTTGTCGAGGACTTACAAAAACGAATCCACCCACAGCCGATTGAAGCGGATCTTGCAAATTCAAATAACGCGATCCAAAAAAGACGACTGTGTAGAGAAGATAGATGAAAGCGTGGAAAAGGCTGAAGTTTTATTTTTAACTCAAAATTTGATCCAATGAATGACTAGCCCCAAATGTGGTTTTAGACCAAAAAGTGGAAGCTCAGCTAATAATAAACCCCTCAAGACTACTCCAAAAAATTTCTTGCTCATTAAAGTTTAGATATCTCTTCTCAAAAAGGTTTCATTTCAAAAAGTTTTAGTTTTTTGTACTTTTGACGTTTATTTATAAGCACGGAGATTGCTTGGAGGGAGAAATGGGTTAGCGAGTTGTAAATGTTTCAAAAATTGTGAATCTTTAATAATTTCCATGTGCTCAAAAAATGCTGCTTGGTGAAGCCACAGCCCTCCCATATGGCACAAAGAAATAAACGATAAAAAAGAGTAGCCATAATTGTGTACCTGTATGGTAGAAAGAGGCGCATGGTTGAGATCAACTGTCGGCGTGTAAGATTCACCGAGACATCGAATGATCTCTTCGCTCTGCAAATTTGGGCAATACTTTGTTATCCCTCCCGTCACACCATCCTTTCCCTAGCCAATTAGCATAGAAAAATTTGCTTAATGAGACTAAATATGAGAAAGAATAATAGAAAGGACATTTTCTTGTTAATTTTCCAATGCTAATTGCTGGGGCAATTCACTGTTGGGGCTTTCTCTCTCGACAAACCGATTCTCCTTTTTGTATGCATACATTAACCATAGAGAGGCCCCAATTGTCAACACTTCCATAACGCATGTCATCTTTGTCTCCGTATCCGAATTGTTTGTTGCACCTCGACAAAAGGCGACTTTAGCATCGGGCACGACGATGCCGACGATGATTTTCCAATAGAATTCCAAACAGGAAAGCGACAACTAGAAATGAACTTTGCAACTTTGAGACACAATTATGGCTTTCTACATGTATCTTTTATACATATATATATATCACAATAGGCTTTTTTAGAGCTACTGACTGAGCTGGGAAACTATTTATAAAGCAAACTCGTTTTTTCAGTAAACGTACCGCCATTGTGGTGATCGCCCGCTGGATGGTCGTCTCTCTTCCTTGCACTCTCGCCCCACCAAAGAAGGTGAGTATTCGAAAAGCGACCAATGACATGTTCAACGTTGGCAGAGTGAACACCGAAAACGTGTACGAGAGTCGAGAGTAATAGCACAATTTGTATGGAATCGTGGCCATACAAGGCGGTTGGGTCAAATGGAGAACGAGGAACATTCCCTGAAATTTGAATGACTTGAATCCTCGGAAGCCTTTTCTAACAGAGATCTTGATATCCTAAAAATTTAAATTCAATCAAAACATTTTAAACAGCTATACTTTTATTATTTAAAACACATGGTTGCACTTGCATAAATAGCGACATTTTAAGTTGGAGAGCCCGACATTTAACAGAAAGAAAAGAGCAAATTAAACCCCATCACCCACCATTATGTAAATCATAGCGACAGCTTGCTGTAAATGTATCAAATAGCAGCAAATGATATGCTCCTTGAAAGCCGAATCGAGTAAAACAGAGGAAAACATTCGTCTGGATGTGGCAACAACAGCGATGATGGCCATTGAAGCGAAGGAGATCTGTCCGATGAACATGAATTTCAGGGGAAGGTATCCGGAGAACATCGATATTGATGGACATTCAGTTGCATTCATCTTTGTAATAATTTCACTTCAGAAAGAAATCTTGTCAAAGAATGAGTCAAAACTATCATTTCTCTTTTTCGCATTCTTTACTCGGGTAATCTTTCTATTCTTTCCATACAATTCCCCTGAGGTCACTAATGAGCCCACGAGTGATAGTTTGATCACATTCAAAGATTTTTCCTGCTCGTATTATGGCTAAATGGTTAATCGATGTAGGAATGGGAAAATTCTCAGAAACGCAAATAATTTTTTTGCACAGCTGAGGTACTTTTGATGTACTTGATGCTTTCTTAACGACATACCGTGGTTTGGAGCTAGCAAATATAGAGTGTTCCAAACTTTGCAAATTGCTTTGTTTAAAAGTTTCATCAATTTTTTAGATTTATGCTCTTTATAAAGAGGACGACGTTCTCCGTTTGGATGCCGAGTGTGCCAGGGAACAATCCACATCCAAAGAGTGACATTCAAGGCAAGTCTGTCTAACGGGGATTGTCGTCAATAATTTTTGTTGAAAAGACGAGAGTTTAGAAATATTGGTACTTGTCCATCTTACCCCTTCATTCAATTTGCATTTATTGATTGTGGGGATGAGATCGACAAGAAAGTATTGGCGTATTTGTCGATCTTATCCCCCGCAAAGCTTTTCATTCAACTGGCATTGTTGAAGGTTAATTTGCATTAGAGTGAGCAAGGACCCATATTTGTTACAATATACATCCACAATTTTGTGGGGATAAGATCAACAAGTACGCCAGTACGTTCTTATCTCCACAATCAACAAATGCAAATCACCGATTCCAAATGAAAATTGGTTGTTTGTGGAGATGAAATCGATAAGTACCAAAATGTTTATTGTGAATGTGATTCTCTAGGTCCAATATATCTGGGCGTTGGCTTATTCTTCATCACTTTGTACGCATTGTGTCTGATTGCAATAGCACAGCAAAAGTTCAAGAAAAACAAAAACATAATTTTCTTGAGTAAATGCAAAACTTTATCTCAATTTCCTGATTACCCACTCACGTAGAACTTTAACCAGCCTATCGACTTTTTATAAAGCCATACATTTCTATACGTAGTATACAGAGATCAAAAAGTTTTTGAAAAAGAAATGATAACGTAAATACATTTAAAAGCTACCTGTATTAAAAGATGAGAACGTGTATGACAGAAACAAATAAGTTTAGCATAAAATATTTTCTAAAAATAAATTTAATAATATGAGTATTAAGAACTATTTTCTTTTTGCTGATCCATCAGATAACTTGATGCCATTGAAAGAAAATCTGTGAACAGAAAACGATGTCCCGAATCACAAATGATAATACAATTTCCACAAGATTTCTCACAAGCAATCATTTGGTCATCAGCCATTTCGAGACGATCAGACTGAAAAACGTTTGAAAATTGATTGCAAGGCATCAAAATGATAAGTTAGTCTTAAAAGTGTACTAGTCTTATAAAGTTACCATTCCCACAAGAAGATCAGCTGTTAGTGTATCAAGTAAACAAAGTTTTCTTTCTGCATTCGCTTCATCTCGACCCATCAAAGCAACCAAAGCTATTCCTGTAAAAAATTTACAGCCTTTGATGATTTTATTTTGTTTTGTTTAATCAATATTCAACTTACCTAAGTTAGTTGGAGTTATCTGGTCGATTTTAAAAATTTTCATCGTGGAGATTTCGGTGAATGAATCAGTCTCGAATGAATTAATGTCCTGCAAATGATTTGGACGTAATCAGCAAAAACTTTCTTTCTCAATTTTAGTTGTTCTCCATAAATAAAAACAAACCACTTCTTCTCCGAATGCAATCGCAATATTGGGTAAATCGATTCCCTTTTGAATTTCTCCACAATTTTCGAGAAATAAAAACGCCTCGATCTTTTTGAATACCACAAATTAATAAGCCATCCCTGAAAAAGATTTTTTGCAATTCAGTTTACAAAACCTGAACTTTCAATCGAGTAATTTTCGACTAACCGATCGTTGGGAAGAATTTCTTTCTTTAAAATGAAACGCTCCCAGCCAAAGAAATCCTCAGCGGAATGCACTTCGTGAACCCATTCCTAAAATTTTAAATAGCTGTTTAAACGCTCAAAATAGAAAAAAAAGTTGCCAATAACTGACTAGATGGTTTTGTGGGAATTTTTCAATGAACAATCCAGATTGTAGATATTTGATCGATTCAGTGGTTTCTGTGAACGATTTCTTCACTGTTGGAATTTCTCGATTTCCATAAACAACCGTTGGATCGACTTGCATTTCCGAAATGAATGAGTGTACCTGTAAGTTGTGGGATACTCGAAAAATTATTGTTAGCTAATAGTAAGCCTTAAGCTCATTGCTACCCACACATCTTTTCATCCCTATAGGTATAAATCCTCTTCTTTGTCTTTATTTTTATCATAACTTTGGGAGACTGAATGAGTACAAACCTTATTCAAATTGATAACTTCTCTTGGTGGAATAAGTGGAGGATAGGTCAGTGTTAATACCCCCTTCTTATCAATTATCCAATGTGCACTATCCTTCAATTCTTTTTCATTTTCCGGATTAATATTGAGACGATATTCATCGAACTTATCGATCGGAAAGAAACAACGGAGGACTGACTGAAAAAAGGAAATTAAATCTGGAAATATTTCTTGAATTTACATACATCAGCAGCTTCAAGAAGATCATATCCCATGAAACCTCGAATACAGAATAGAGATAATTTTTGAATTTTCTCCATTTTTGTTGGAATTTCAGCTTCAGTCGATGAACCAAATGACAAGAAACTATTCACATCACGACTGAAATATGTTTTTTGTTTTTGATGCCGTTTTGCATCCACATGCTTTCAATTATTCCAAGCAACTTCAAGAAGATAGAGAATAATCCTATTCCTCATTTTCAACGGTCCTTCAAAACTCACAAAGCCAGCCGTGTAATTGCTCCGATGCACTTCTCCAGGTCATCGCTAAAATTGAAATTACTTTGGTTGACAACAGCGATTCTTACCAATTCTCCACAACAGCATCATTAAGATTTTTCACCGAATAGATCAATGTCTCAGTAGCTCTTCTAAACATTTTTGCCCATTCTGGTCCAATTTCTTCTTCCGTTTCATCTTTTTCTGTCCTTTTATCGTCATCATCATCTTCTTTTTTGGTATCGTTTTTCTCTTTTTCTTCTTCTTCGTTTTCTTCTTTCTCTTCATCTCCATCTTCAAAGTCTAAGCTATTTTCATCGTCTGAATCTTCAATTGATTCGGCAAGTTCGATCATCTGTCTAAATAGTATTTTTTGTAAAGAGTAAAAAATGACGAAAAAAATCAAGCCACCAAATTAAACTCTACATACTTTGTTTATTAGTTAACCCTGTAAACTAATTAATTACTACCTGCCATAATCTCCCGTAATTTCTTCAGGAGGAGGTGATAGAATCAATTCCATCAAATCGATAAATGTCGTTGATTCGCATTGTAATGATTCCGAATATGGAACGAAAGCACCCGGTATCCAGGCAATTATTTTTCTAAAAGATAGCAAAGATTATGCGAAAGTGATTTTAAGATCTGAAATTTGAATTCTTTATTTTCTAAAACCTACGGTATCTTTTTAGTGTAGAAATCCACAAATTCGTTTGCCACCGAACCACCCCATGTTCGCTCGAAAAATTGTTGGGTCTATATAATAATGTTAAAAGCAAGATATTTTTTAAAGTTTTATCGGTACTATACGGTTATAGATCCATCCCACCCCAACCAACTATTCCCATGTGCATAATTCGGTTATATCCCCGAAATGTACATTTTTAAAAGCTTGCATACACACGATCAATGGGTAATCATTGGAGGATAAGTGGAAGCAATGCGATGGATCGTTTTGTTCAACTTCTGAATCAACGATAAACTTCGCTTGGTAGCTGTCCAAATAATTTTTTTCTTCAAAATAATAAAGTTTCGCGGGCTTTTTATCTCTATTTTCGCCGCTCCCCACAGGCCTTCAATTGATTGTGTTTATGAATTAAACTGTTAATTTTGAGGGTATAGCCGTATTGATATGCTTGGGGGCGGGTATCACCGTATAGTGACAAAACTGTAAATTTTTTTTCCATTCCTTTTCCTGGCACTAGCCATTGACACACCTGTATTGATAGACCTGGACATCTACGACACGTTATGTTGTACGAATTCCTACAAGGACACAATGGCTTCCAGTGTTCAGCTAATGATTGTTTATGGGGAAGGATTAGCTTTGCATGTGACATGTGCAAACTGTTTTGCTCAATTCCAAAGCTCAGCTCTGGGGATAAATCTTCGAAGACAAAGGGAGAATCACCCAGTAGCTGGATAATGCCAAGTTGCTCCAAATTTTTCAAACCAACAACAGGCTTTCTTTCCGGGAAATCGCAGAAGAGCTGTCAGTTGTGGTCATCACAAAAAAAAGTGGTCATCGGTTTGAGCCTGAAAAATTTTCTCGTTGATTTCTCAAGGCTCATCATGTCAAAAATGGTTTTGCCTCAGGCATCACACAACAAGATGTAGCTGTTTTTTTTTGATGTTTTTGTGAATAGGGGTCATGCAACGGCCACATTGAATTTAGAGAAACAAAAAGTAGAAAGATTTTTGGTGAAATAGAGGAATTCAAAAGTGTGTTTTTCCTCTATACGTGGATTTTGAGCTTCCCGGCCGATGTATGACCCCCCATTCACAAAATCATCAAAAAAATCAGCTTTATCTTGTTGCGTGACGCCTGAGGCAAAACCATTTTTGACATGATGAGCCTTGAGAAATCAACGAGAAAATTTTTTCAGACTCAAACCGATGACCACTTTTTTTTCGGACGCCATTCACAGCTAGCTTCATTGCATTTAGAAGAGTGACTTTCCTAGCAAGATTAAGCGAGGTCAAATTATCCGAGTGGCTGCGATAGATCGACAGTAGAACTTATAGAAAAGATAAGAAATAAAGACCCCGCAAATTAGAGGATAGCCTTAGTGAGTGTATATTAAAATTAAAATACATTTTCTATTAATTAGATTTATTTACAAAATGGGGGTTGAATTGCTCGTAGGCATACCGTAGGGTTGAAACGACAGTGCAATTTTGCGGCGACCGCTATTCTTTTTCAGTATCATCACTAACGACCCTTATTCAACAAAAGTATAACATAGAAAAAATGTCTATTTAAGAATAATTTTTAAAAGCATTAGCTTTAGACAGATTAAAACAAAAAACCGCAAACTCACGCCAACCCAAAAATTGACTTAGAAGTTTTGATTGAAAAGTTTGATAGTCTAACGAAGAGCCTAATCACTATGTGATGTTTATTGAAGAGCTAAATATTAATACTTTTTTATATGTTAATTAGATAAATTAGATCGTTTCTGAAGTCGGAGAAAAGAGGCCAATTACGGCGGAAGTCATTTTCTCTAATAGGCACACAACCGACCCTCTTGCAAAAATGGTCCGAAAAATCTGTAGGCTTTAAGCTGGATAATTTCCCCCAAACCATTATATTCTCTAGACATTGCCTCAAGTTATTTTCTTTTTTCAAGAAGGTAGCTTTTGGTTTGGCGAGCGAGGGCTTGGCCAATGGTCAAGAACTAACAAATTTCCTCGCCTACTTCAACGAGGTTCAGTCAGCTTCCGTTTGTAAGAAAAGATTACACGTCCTGCCCAATAAATAGGAAGATATCATACTTGGAAATAGTCAATACTATTCGTAAATAATAGGTTTTTAAGAAATTGCGATGCAAAAAGGAGAAAAAGACTTCCTCACCAGCCTGATAAACCAACCTCAAACTGTGGTCCAGCATAAATTGAATAGAGTAACTCGAAACCGAAATGAATTGATCCAGCTTCGCCTTCGTTGAATTTATTGGATATTTTCTTAATAAATAGGTGTTTTGCGGCAAAAATTATTAATTAGTGAAAGAAAGGATACTTATCAGTTATATCCCCCAAAAAAGACCTGTGCATTAAGTCGATTATATCCTCACAAAATGAACTAATTTGTGGGGCTATATCCGACTTGATGCATGGATCAAAGTCTTGTGGAGTTATGACTGACTAGTACCAAACAAAGTCTTAAACTTTCTGTTTTAAAACCCAATAATTTCACCTCCAATTCATGATCCCATCCACCCTGAAAACATTGGTAGATTTCAGAGATTGCGAAATAAAAAACATAAAGACGAGCAAAGCTAAACGGAGTTTTGTGAATCTTTCAATGTTTTGTTTTGATACACTCAATGCAATATAGACTATTGCATAACCAACCTTTCAGTGAGTTTACAAAGTTTCTCATCGGGAATCGATCCAAAGTCCAAATTTATTCCCAAAAGATGAGTGACCGTCATTGTTCGGGTTTCACTCGCCTTTTCTACTGTCTCATTCAGAGAATAGCCTAAATCCAGCTTTTCATACTATCAGGGACTACTTGCATTGCTCTTATTATGCAGTTTAAGGCTTGACCTTTAATCATGTGCAACATATATGTCAGTTGTATCGAATCATGTACCCTTTACGAAAGGAACACAACTCAGTTCCGAAAAGATAAATGTATGGATGGGGTAATTTCCAAGGACCGACAATAACCAATTGTGTTAGCTAAACTTTTCATGACTTCTTGACTACCTAAGTTCTTGATTGAAAACCTTTTCTCTGAAAAACTCCATCGTTCTTAGAATGAATTGTCACTCTTTTACTGAGTCATTCTGAGCCTTTAAAAATTGAATAAAACCCAACCTATTTTTCCTCCTTTTGCGCATGCAGGTGGAAGTCCTTGTGATGTACATGATAATATTAACTATACGCTGCTTTAATAAATTGCAATGAAACTTTACAACAAACCGTATATCCATCGTTCGGTGATTTGACCGATCCTTTCATCATTTGAAAATCATCGATTCCTATCAAATACAGACCGTTTGAATCTGAAAAATTTCAGATTTTCATTTTCGTTTCATGATGCCTTGAGATTACCGAAGAAATCTTGTGGTGGTCGAATGACAGCAAGTTGAAGAATACCAGCAGCTAGGACAACAATTGAATTGTCATCAAGGTGAATCAAAAGAAACGTGTTATTGATCGACCTAAATAGAAACTTGCATGAAAGCCACCTTAATGCACTGGAGATTTTTATTGTAGGGACTTCAGCTTGGGTTTTACTACCACTGTTAAACATTGTATTACTACAGATAATAACATCTTGATTATGAGCCCTAGTTTCAAAAATAGTTAAATTACTATCTTGACAAACTTTTTATGAGATCTCAACAATTCATAGCATTCCTCGATCTTTCTTTTCGATCTTTCTTCCAACCGTTCTGTTGTTGATTTCTAAACAAAAAATGTTGATTTCAAAGCTCATAAATAAAAGAATAATTCTCACGGATGGAATCCAATCCAAGTTGTGGCCAAGATATCCATTTCGGGTGTCTTTCTAAATAAGATTTTGATAAAATATGATTCAAACAGCTTTTTTCTTTTAAAATTTTTTTTGTTTTTAAAACAAACCATAAAATGTTTTCCAAAGAGATGTCCGGATTCCCATTTTACGTTAATCACTGTTGTGATTTTGTCGTCTTCTGGGATCACTCTGAAACTCTTTTACGACCTGGCCTTCTAGGTTTTTAAAAAAATTTGCTTATTTAAGCTTTTGAGCCCAAAAATGCAGTAACGAAGGACAGCGGTTTTTAAAAAGGAGGTGGCCAGTCCTAGCTTTGTTTACTCAGAATGAGTTCTACAAATAAAATTTTTACCTCCAGCTGAAAAGCAAATTTCCGAATTCGGTATTGAACAAGAAAAATTCTCCCTGCTTTGTTATCACACATAAAACATTTCCATCCGGGCTCCAGGTCAAACATTTTAGCTATAGAAAATTTACAAAATTAAAAAGAAAAATATACCGTGCACGAGACTGAACTCGAGAAAAAGCATCGAGCAACGTTCTCCAAGTTGATCTAAAGATAATAGTAACATTTTCCGCTAATAACGTAATTCAATTAAAACAAACCTTCCAACAAATATTTGACTGTGATTTCCTCTTGACAACAACATGGTCTTTTCGAGGTGAATAAGCAAAAAGATCATGATAAATTGGATTCCAAACAACACAAGTTGACTAAACAGATGAATTGTAAAATTTTATAACTTAGCGTATTTGGCTACCGGTTTACGGTACAAAACTTAGGTGACCATACTCTTAAAAGTCTTCAGTTGTTTATTCATTCAATCACCTCAATCCTTATTCGATTAAATTCATGTCTCACTCCACCATCAATTAGATGAACATTTACTCGGCGAGAATCATCCATTTCTGAAAGGGGATTTTGGAACAAAGGATATTTATTGTACTTACAGTGCACGCAAATTATAAAACCTATTTAGACGTAGAATATTAATAATTCATTTCATCGGCTAATCCTTCTACGAATCCCATAGGAAATTAAACTTAATGAGAACCAAATTAAAAGAATTTGCGTTCAACTCATAACTCACTAAACTCTAGCTTTGCTAATTGTAAATTATTAATCAATAATGGCAAATAAAATAAAAGACAGTTGGCATGATACAATTATACTGGGCTGAACATTCTCTTTTGATCACTGTTATGTTCTTTTTTGAAAATGTTCACGGAAAACTCGTCATTTGTTGCTGTAAGTACTCTTTATATTGATGTTGAAACCTTTATATTGATGAAAATTAAGAAAACTACCAAAAATCTTATTTTATAAAATGTTTTTAGTAACACAAATCTTTCAACAATTCATACAGATAAAACACGCAAGCAAGGCAAGAATCCTTTTTGCCAATGAATATAAAATGTTTTATAGACGAAAATTTCTGTAAGTTTTACACAAATGAGAGTGTTTTGTGATTGGCAAGATTTGAGCAGCAGGGTAATGTTTAAAAAAAGTTCTGTTCTGAAGATGTTCTGTTCTTTAGATAGGACAAAATTTGGAATTTAGCAAATTCAGAAATTACCTAAACCATTCCAAAATGTGTTGCTGTCTGAATATTCATGAAAAGAATCAAATATGTGCAGTTAACGGAGATTATTAAACAAATAGAAAATAATGATAATCTTTGAATGAGCGGTGGGTAAAACATAAAAAAGTCGCAAATTCAACTTAAATAAAAAAAAGGTTGGTTGGCAAAGAACATCTAGAGAGCAAAAGAACACCCTTACAATTAGATGAGCAATATTGGAGATTACGGTAGCCATGGATTCCGATTGTCTATTTGGTGAAGAGCATCATTGGAAGTATTTGGTAAAGAAAAGATTACCCGATTCATCTCATCTTTCATTTAATTATCTGAAAAAAGAAGTTCTAAAAATGTTTTGGTGAAACTATGGAGTTAGATTTCGAACCCTTCCTTTATTAGCTATATTGTTCAAATTTTAGATATTAGAGTGGGTACTTTGATTTATAGACATCAACATCTGACTGCAATTTCAAATAGCAAACTCTCAATAGTCTTTCGTCCTTCGAAAGAGCCTTTAATTAACTAACATATGCTCAAATGTGCTTTGTTCTCAAAAATGTCCCAAACAAACGCCACTATTCCTTCGAATTAGATTTTGAATATATAATAAATTTTAAATATATATCTAAGCTCACTTCTTGCTCGTTGTTGAAGTAGTTTTGCCCTATCTTGTGATTCTCTTTCATCAACAGCCAATTGATTACATTCTTGAGAAACAACACAAAGGTATTCCCTTTGGATGTCCGACGAATAGAGGGCGGAAGCAACGGGAACCAACTGCAAAGTGAATGAAAATATGTAAACTTACATGCTAACAATCTCCTAAAATATAAGTTTGAAAAATTGTCGGTTGGTACGTCTGTTACCACGACTAGGCTTCACGAGTTATGTTTTGCTGAGGGCAAAGCATCGAACTAGAGGTCATCGGGGGTGGGGAAGACTTGGTAGTGGTCAAATTTTTTAAATTCATGTTTTTGATGTCAAATGTGCAAATTTCTGAAAATGAATGAATCGACCGAAGTTTTGGCAAGAATGAAGGAAAAGGGAGCTTTTATATGCAAGTTTCCATATGGTGCTTTTCAAGGCAAATGTCAATTTTAGTAAAGCAGCAACGTAGGTGATGCCCAGCCCAGCTGGTAGGTTTATAAAAGTGTTGTAAAAAGTTGGAATGAGCTAGAAAAATAGTGAAATTTAAATGCAATCGAAAAAGTTCTGGTCATTCTAATCATTGAATAAATTCTGATAATTTTACTCGAGGAACACTTTTTTCTAACCTGATCTAATTTCCACCCGTCTGAAAGATTCGAAATACAATTTGTCAATTCTTCTCCATGACATTGGAGTACGCGATAAACCGTCTTTTTCTGAAAACCAAGCATTGTATTTGTTCCTGAAGCTTCCTATTTATATAAACACTATTTTCTAATTAGTGAGTGAGTGAGTACCTGTGATAATTCAAGCTTTTTGCCTTTAATTCTCTCCAAAACCATATGTGAAAGGACAGGCAGGTTATAGAAATCAGCTTCATGTAAAACACCTAGAAAATAACTGGATAGATTATTTTTTTTACAAAATTCTTGAACCTTCCAGTGAAATTCCCGGATTGATGACAAGTTTCCCATGTCGTAAATAGTTTAGAATCGGGGCAAAATATTGTGGATCTCGATCGATAAGAATCGCTCCACTCTCGTCCTAGAAGATATCCGTTTTAGGTATTTTAGTGGACACTTGAATTTGACAAGTTAGTTATTATATCATCTTTGTGTCTTATAAGTAGAAACTCACCCTATCACTTGTCAACCCTCCGTCATCTCTGATCAGTTTTGAAAGAAAACTCTCTTCACGGCACAAAGTCATTTTTGTTGTTTGGAAAATCTAAAATAATCATGTAGGGTAGTGCGCTTTAAGTTCATTTTCATTCTTCGTTCACAATTTTGTTTTACTGTCTTATCACATTTGCTTTCAAAATCTTTCACTAACTTGTCCTCCAACATTCAATTTTATCCAAGCAGCTTCTGATGATTTTCGGCTCATTCCATTTCCATTATAACTGCTTGGTGTCGATGTACCATTACAATCAATTGATTGACTATCTCCTATAAAAAAATTTTACTCGCATGCACTCTATTTTCTGAAAATTCTACACAAACCCTCAAAACCATTCATTTTTCGTTTATCGCCAAACGAGTTTTTTTCAGAGGCGAAGCTTCTATAGGAAATCTGAATTGTTTCAAATTCTTTTTTGTTTGTCTCACAAACGTGAGTTCTTAAATGCAAAAACAGTAAGTGGAGAAATTGATACAATACTTGTATCCTTAAAGCGTAGACAAAAACAAAAAGTACTATGGGATTAAACCCCTCCGCCATACCCCAATGGGAATAAACCTCCACCAAATTTGCATTTAAAATCATTAGCATTGAAGTTAATATAGATAGGATTTTCTCAACTTTTCTATTATTTTTCATTCATTTCCTGTCTATTCGCCCAGATGTTTTCTCTTCCAACAACCGAGACTGATGTCATCGATTATCTCCGTGAAAAAGGTATATTTAGTACCGGATCGAACACCTTCTACTCTTCCTCATCAAATCAAAGAGTTCATTTCTCCCGGGACGAAAACTATTCGGATTGCTGGCGAGGCTACAACACTAGCGAGACTGAAAACGCCGGTTACACCCATGCAACAGTCAACCATTCGACTAACTTCATCAGTCCACATGATCCGTCTATTAACAAAACTTTTTTAATTTTTTTAAAACTCAAAAGTAGCGGGGTTTATTCCCATTGGGGAATGGCGGGGGTTTGATCCCATAGTACCAAAGAAAATTCTGGAATATGTGAAGGCAATATTTTCTTCAATGGTGCAAAGTCAGGTTTTTGGTGGGAAACTCTCAAAGAAAACAGTGCAAAAAAAGTGTAATTTTTCCGATAATTTAATTCTCTCGTCCTTTTCTTCGAGAAAAGCCAATAATCAAAGGGCAATCTAAAGTAAATCAAAAATTTTCTGAAGGTTTTTGGGAAAACACGGAGATGGTTGTATAGCTATAACACAAAAAGATTAAGCAATTCTAATTTAGGAATACAAAAAAAATCTGGGTCTTTATTAGAAATTCTCGGAGAAAGAAGAAATTTACTTGGTGTTTATAAAGTAATCGGTTGTGACATGAAGACAGCACATTTAATCCATCGAGCTGAAAGATAAATTGGGATATAAGAGTGTAAAGATCTATGTGTATGAAGAGAAAATTATAGAAAATATAGAAGGTTTTTGAGATATAAATCCAATAAACGACATAGAGAAAAAAGAAAAAGAGCTTGTGTTGAGAGGCAGTCGACAATTTTCGTTAAACGTTCAAAAGAGCACAAAAAGACGATGTAAATTGGTCTACTTTGTAGGGGAATATTGTGTTTCTGCTTAAATTTTGTTTTTAGAGATAATGCAAATCTCATTGACAGATTCTTGCTGCACGATAGTGGGTCTGTAAAAAATGTCAAGACGATAAAATCTAATATCTTTCATTCCAGCCAAAACAAAAGATACTGAGGTTTCTCAAGTACAGTACCTTTAAGGATTTAGAGCGGCAAAAAATGTTTGTGATAGTGTTTATATTGTGTTATATCATATAAAAGTTAGCATAAATATTTATAGACCTTGTTTTTCAAGCATTTCTTCTTTAAAGGTACACGTATTGCAAATGAAAGCCACACGATTTAACAAATATCTCAATAATCTCTTTTTAGGCACCATACAGTAAAAGTAAATATAGAAATACAAATAACAAAAACTAAGTGTGATATATAAGGTCAATATTAAAAAACCTGCTTTTGGTGCGAATCGTACAAAAGGCAGGGCTTCTGACAACGCTCGAGAATTAAGAAAAGCATAATTTCCAAAAATTAAAAAATGAGCTCTTCGTTCTGTTCTTCTTCGGTTTCAAATTCATCATTGTCAACTTTTCCACAAAGTTTTGGTAATCTTGCCGCCTCTTCATCGACCTGGAGTTAATACTTTCTTAGATAGTTACTACCAATAACTCCCTTCACTATCATCATAATGAATAGAGTTATTGATTAAACATAATTTCCTCTTTAGTTATTTCAAACAAACCTCGCTTGGCGTTTTATTCTTTGTTTCAGGCAATTCGTAGTAGAGAAAAGCAATTGAAAGAGCAACGGGAATGACAAAAAGAAAAGCATAAGCAAATGATTGACTTGTGGCATTCTTCAGAGGTAGATAAATCATCAATAAGAATGATCGGCTGAAATTATATTTTAGGTGTTTTTTAAAGAGCTGAAATTTCCTTTAAACCTTACCAAGCCATTTGTACAGCAGCTGTCCATCCTTGAGCTGCGGATCGAGCTTTTAAAGGCAGCAATTCTGTGGAAACAAAATAACAAAGGGGACCAGGCCCGATTGAGAACCACAATGTGAACATTCCAATTGCGAAGATTAGCATCCAACCAAAAAATTGCCACTGAATTAACATATTACATTATATTACTTCATCTCAATTTTTCTTTGTATTTATTGTACTTACTTGTGTTGTACTAAAAATCCACATCAAAGCAACAATGATAACATTTGTGATTAGAATACAGATATTCGAAAAAAGAAGAAGAGATCGCCGACCATTGCTTTCAACCACTTTTGCTGCTATATAAACCGCAAACTGAAAAATAAAAATTATAATTACACTGCATTTCAAATGATTTTTTCTAACTCACTAATGAAATAAGTGTGAATCCGACGTTTGCAATCGAGGCTTCCATTTGTGACAGACCCGTTTGCTTCAAAATTTCTACAGCATACCCGTTGATCACTGGAAATGGGTTTTTTTGATAGATCTGTGTTGCAAACTTCAAAAAAGTCTTCAAAAAATCACAAAGTTACCTGCAATTCCAGAAAAAGCCATCACGAATGCCACAACCATTCCGACAAAAGTCTAAAAATTTGCACTTAAGAACAAGCCTTTATAAACAAACCCTTTTTCTCAATTTTTGATCTCTCATCACTTCTAACATTCCCATTGTTTTTTGTGAATGAGCTGTGTCTTCCTAAAAAGTGAATGAAACGCTTATTACTGTTTTCGAAATGATCAGAAAACTCTCAAAGTCGTACTCTCATTTCGTCGATCACTTTCAAGGCAGTTGTTTCATCGCAACAATGAAAGAATTGGACTGCTCTTCTTGCATTCCATTCATCCCCTTTCGATAACAAAAGACTAAAATTAAATCTCGAATAAATTGTGGGTTTTTCCTAATTTGAGTGGAACGACTTTTGAAATTGAACAAAAGGAAAAGTTATAGTAGCTTTCGATAATCATATTTTATTATAGAAAAAAGAATCAAGAATGAAGGATACTCGTTCCTGGTCAAATCTTATTCTCAAATGTTTTTAATTTTTCAACATAAATTGTAAATTTAAACTTACCATGGGCTTTCAGGCAAAAATGGAAGACAAGCAAATGAGGCAAGCATCAAAAAAAATTCGACGACATAGATTAAAGCCCAGAGATTTGTTGTGCCAAAAATGTTTGGCATGGCAATAATCGATCCAAACACAGTACCTATAACTGGATTATTTCACTGGTCTCCTTCTCCTTCACTCACCAACTTGAATCATCGAGCCGGTGACGAGGCCAACTTTTCCTCGACATCTTTTTGGGCTGAAACTTTTTGAGATACCTATTTAAAAACTTTTTAGTAAATATATTACATTGACCTTTTTGCAGTCTGTTGTAATTGTTTGAGTTTTTTAGGTATATTACGTAATAACTTGTTTATGATCCCTTTCCTGTGTTTAGTCCCTATTTTATGACCCCCACAAAATTTCGATTTCCTCCTAGCCCTGGTCTTACCTAACTTCAGCTAGATAAATTGCAGCAAGACCAAGACTCATCGTCATTGAGATTCCAAGTAGAATTCTCGACAAAATATACAGTTCATAAGAGGAAATCTGAAAAGAAAACTATTAATTAATTACGCAATGAGTATTGGATATAGGTATGTATAACAATTTAACAAAAATGATAAAGCAAACCCATGCCGAAGTAACAGCCATTGCAATGGAGATCTGTCCAAGAGAAAACGAAAGATACAATCCATTTTTGCGTCCCAATTTTTCGGCGGTCAATCGAAGAACAAAAGATCCAAACAAAGCTCCAACAAAAAGAAGAGCGACAATTGTTGACCATAAAGTCTATGATAATCATTTAGAAACTAAGACTTTAAGGTTTTTAAACATTTACTCAATTATTCACTTTGACTTATTTAATTTACTTACATCAAGCGCTTCCTTTCCCAAATGTTCTCCATAATGTTCAATATGACAACGATTGACAAAATCAATGAAAACTTGTTGGGTTGGATTCGTAATGACCAACTAAAAATCTGATTTACGGCCTAGTCAAAATACTTTCTTCTCCATGGTACTTAGTTATCAATTAATTGTAAGTTGTGTTCATTGAAATCACTCGGGAGACCGAGAAAAAAAATTTCAATTTCCTAATTTGCTATACAAAAACTAGCAAGAAAAGTGATTAATTGTAAGAAAAAACATTTTAGAAGTTTTTTTACCATTGAGGAGCTATGTAAAATAAACAAGTTCACCTATTAGAATTATTATTTCAAAACATAGTACTAGTCTTAATTGGTTATTTTTTGCATAAATTGAATTCTGACTTGAAATCCAAAATGAAATGACCCTCCCATACAAACAGCAATAGCAATCAACACAAGCTTTAATGGAGGATTTGTGCTTGTCGTCGATTGAGTATTCGTTCTGAAATAGGTAGGTAAAGCCCGGAATTATCACTGAAAATAAAAACTTGAAACAATTTTTCGACCTACATTCTTGTAAATTGAGCCAATTCTGGTAGTGCATATGTTGCCTTCAAATCTGGATTTTCAAGCAAAGGACTTCTTTTTGTAGGTTTATTCATTTTCTGAAATCGTGAATTTTAGCAGTATGCAGACAAAAATCAACGTCAACGTCAACAGATTAACGTAAAGGATAAAGTTAAGACATTGGAAATAACTTTCATACAAAACACTTAATGAAATGTCAAGTCCGTAACTAAAGGAGATTATTTATTTGGTATTATTTTATTAGTTCTGAAGAACTCAAAACCCGAAAACATTATTTATTGTTAGTCTATGAAGAACAAAAATTGTTGGGGAAAGCTAAAATGTGCACGATAATCCGGGAAAAGCGATTGGAGGAAAAAAGCCCCGTTTTCCTGTTTCAAAATGAAAACACCGCCTTTCCCTTTTCCTTGATTCTTTGTTTGTTTTGTGACATGTAAAAAATGAAAAAATGAAATTAAATGAATTAATAGGTAAACAAAACAAAAACAAAATGAAACGAGATATTACAAAATTTCCAAAGCTTTTCAAAATGTTCTGCTATATTTAAGACTAATACAATTTAAGAAAAAACTCCACTTGAAGACTTATCTCAATCACTTTGCTGCCACTTTGTTGCGAATTCATCGAAAAGAAATTTCAATTTCAAAGAAAAATTTGAGAAACACAAAGAAAAAGAACTTTGTTCTTTGGCATCACATAACGTTTCTCATATAAACAAATAAGTCGATTTTCTTTTCAATAAGAAACAAATAAGGCTTTTGAATACTATCTACCTATGAAATGAGGCTTTAAGAATTTTGACCGTTCTGTGATGAATTGCTCTAAGAAAATTATGAATGAAGAAGCTTTGAGATAAGTAATGAGGGATTTAAACTCATCAAATGTTTACACTGCAGCTCTTAAAAAGGGCAAGTACATAAGAAATTTTGTGTCCTTTTAGATGAAGCGAATGTTTCTTTCTGACTAAAAATGCCCTTTCAGGGTTGAAGTCTGTTATTGATACTACGCAAGTCAAATGATTCTGAAAAGAGTAAATAAGCCTCAGACAGAGATAGGTTTTAGTGATGTACATATTTTTTATTTTTTTATTTATGGGCAAAGTGCAAGAAAGAAATTCTGGCTTACGACGAGTAATTGTTTTAGATAGATAAAATTAACTAATATAAAGATGCACTTTTTGCTCGGGTTTTGGTTAAAAGCAAAATGAAGCTAACTATAAGTCTTTTTGGTTTGGCAAAGTAATCGATTGCAAAGATTTGTTTTGGTCTATCCGATTGTAATGTAAAAATTTTGTTAATCATTCTGTAGATTCTGGCCACAAAAAATGGAACACCACGGAGTGGGACACTCTTAAAGCAAATTTTTTCATCTTTTGTGTTTCATTTCGACTGCATAAAACTTTATACTATCAAACTGTATTTATTTATTTTCGTTTACCTATATATATTCTGCTGCGTACTCCCACTTGAAACGAGCCTGAAGATCGTTTCAAAGTCGAACGTTAAATAATCTATTTTGTTGTTTTGGTGTCTCGCCCTTTCTCTCGGTTCCTTGTTTATCACCTCTGAGTCTTTAAAGAACGGAAAACGATAAGAAAATAATTTTCTCCTCACAAGGTCGGGGTTTTTGAAAAAAACAAGAAGTCTGTCTGTTATTTCTTCTCACGGGGTTGAAAGACTGGTTTCGGTCAAAGTTCTACATTCGAAGGCCCTGCAACCTGAGCAATTGCAAGTTCTACAAAAATATAAAGCTAAAAAACCACCTTAATGCTTTAATCATTTGTATGTTCTCTCTTTATACATACAAATCAAGAAAACACGAAAGTTGTAGTCAAAGCATTAATGAAAGGAAAATACAACCCTAACTGCGCGAGATTCTATTGGGTCAATGTATTGAAATGACTAAATGTTCAACAAAAGCATTTATACGCAATTAACCATCGAATCAATCAAAATACTTTCCATTATTTTCAATATTTTTTTCATTCTTGTGGGCCCCCTCGAATCCACCAGTTCGGCGCTCGCGTTTCTCAATCTATTACAGTGCGTTTCAAATTCTCAAACGCACCCTCTAAAATAGCGAATTTTGCATTTTGAACACCGGCTACAACTATTAATCTTTTTCTATTAGAAAGAGCATGTATTAAAACCTAAGAAATACGAAAAGCAAGCATACTGTAAAAGCAAAAATTTTCAAATAGAAACTTTTTACTAAATCAACCGTTTCAAATTCTTAAACGCACTCTCGCTTTTGCTGTTGTTATTTGAAATTTTTCCGTTTTGTTGTGCATATTTTTTTATTAAATTTATAATTTTTGTTAATTTCCAGGTAAAATGGCACACGGAAAGCTGCTCTGGGCGGATTGGCGATGCGTAAAAAAGGCCAGATTGATGCTCGTTTGAGGGTTGGCGACTCAATAAGGAAAATCGCAAAAAACTTGGGCCGATCCGACTCTGCCGTGCGAAATTATAGAAAGTCCGAGTTCGTTTCTGCACCAAAGAAGAAGCCAGGACCAAAACCAAAGCTTACACCGCGAAAGCTAGGACAACCATATTGTGAACAAAATCCACGGAAAAACGATCAATGAAGTGAAAACGGAACTGAAAATCTGGACGCTTCTGGAGTCGACAATTTGGCGAGGTCGTCACGGAAAACCCACACATATCGATCGACAATTATTGAACATGTAAACCGGTCGTGAAGCTTTTGCACAAGAAAACCCGGTTGGCGTTCGCCAAGGCTCATAGCGGGACCAGGGATTGGTCTATGGTTAGAAAGCCGATTATGTTTCATTATTTTTTTACGTTTAGGTGACCGATCCCGCTGATGAAGGAATGGGATTTGGATGGCCTGGATGGCGTTGGCTACTATTGGAGGGATCGTCGACGTGATCCAATGGTGTTTGGAACCAGGAAACTTGACGGTGGTTCTGTGATGGTTTGGGCCGCCTTTGTGCTGATGGAACGGTCGCTCTGAAGATGGTTTCGAATCGGATGACTAGATAGATATCTTGAACAATTGCTTGCGCCGTTTTTGCACCTAATCTGGCATTCCCCATGTGTTTCCAACACGACAACGTCAGTCTCATCGAGCCGGAGATACCTGAGTCTGGCTGAAAAGCAAGAACATTGCAACTTTGGACTGGTCTGCTCAGTCTCCCGACCCTCAATCCGATAGAAACTTTGGTAGGGGGAGTATACTTGTCCGAGCTGGTTCTATAAGAATCATCGTCAGTTTCAAGACGTTTCTACACTTAAAGCAGGAATTTTTTTCGGCTTGGAGCGATCTCGACGTCTTTGCGCTTCAAAATCTCTATCAATTCAATGCCAGACCGCATTTTTCAAGTAATTAATCGTTCTGGTGCGTGTACAGATTATTACTTTGATTTTTTATCCTTTTCATTTTTATTTTGTATCGATAAATAAAAATACTTTCGTAGTGCGTTTAAGGAGTTGAAACGGTTGATTTAGCAAAAAGTTTCCTATTTTGAAAATTTTTACTTTTATTACAGTATGCCTATTTTCGTGTTATTTGGGTTTTAAGACATGCTCTTTCTCAAGAGATAAAGATTAACTAGTTGCAGCGGTGGTCAAAATGCAAAATTCTCGCTATTTTAGAGGGCGCGTTTAAGACTTTGAAACGCACTGTATTCAGGTGAACAGTTTAGAATTGATTTGGAAAAACAAACATGGATTGAAATACATTAATGTTTCAAAAAGCTTAACTATTTTTTGAGATAGTATTTTTCTGAATGATGAATGAAGAATGATGGAGCTGGAGGCCATGATGAAATCTAGATTTTTGAAAAAATTCAACTATCATAGAAGCATTTTTCGAGAATTTCCAAAAATTTTATTGCTCTCATAACTGAGGAGTTGATTTGAATCTAACATATCGCTACTCCAAGTTTTTTTACTTAACCAAAAATCAAATGATGAAACTTAAAAAACCTTGGTTAAATTGGCGTAAAATTGATCCTGTACCATGCCTCTCCGCATGAAGCATCAGAAGATACGCCTGGAAATCCAGGAAAACATCGACATCGGCGAGATCCACAAACAGCCCAGGAGAAAGCACCACGCACATCCGCGCGAAATAAGGCAAAAAATCATTTTCTATAGGATTTTACGTTTGAATAGCCAGGATTGACGCAGAAAATGTGCTGAATCCGAAAAGCAAAAGAATTTTTGAAATCCCTCGACAAATTTTAAAAATCGAGTTTTAGCAGTGATTTTACTGTGTTAAATTTCAGCCATATTTTATTGTCGGAGCAAAATTTTGGAAACAAAGCCTAAAAACAAAAATGTAAACCGCAAGTTTTATTCTACGGGCTTTTCTCTCTATCTTTTGATACCAAAAGCATGAAAAATTGATCAACCCTATAAAACGTTATAACCTTTTGAAAATAAAAATGTGGTTCCTATGGTTATTTTATTGCTTATCAGACCTGGGGGCATTTTAATTAATCTTGTTTTTAATGTTGTTGTTTCAATACGAACTTCAAAATGTTATTTCAAAACGTTTAACATATACCGTTGCAAACTGTGCGCTCATTCCTTTCTTGGATTAATTCCTGTCGAGGCCTGAAAATTCAAAAGCAAAGTTCATAAAAACAACAACTTTACTTAAATCCGTAGACATCGACACTTCATCTTGAAAAGAAGAAAAATAGCGAAAATGGTTTGATTATGGCAAAAAAAGTTTAATTTTGCTCTTTTCTCTTCGGGTTCCCGGATTAATCTATCCGCGTTGTAGTTGCCATAACCCAGGAACCACATTTTTATTTTCAAAAGGTTATAACGTTTTTATAGGGGCTGATCAATTTTCATGCTTTTGGTATCAAAAGATAGAGAAAAGCCCGTAGAATAAAACTTGCGGTTTTACATTTTTGTTTTAGGCTTTTGTGTCACAAATTTTTGCGCCGACAATAAATAATATGGCTTCGAAATTTAACACAGTAAAATCACTAAAAATTCGATTTTTAAAAAATTTGTCGAGGGGATTTCTAAAATTCTTTTTATTTTCGTATTCAGCACATTTTCTGCGTCAATCGGCTAGCTAAACGTAAAAATCA